ATGTTTGTACACTAGATTTAAAATTTTCAATTTAACACCTTTTTATTATTTTTAAAATGCAATTTTACACTTATCCGTGTTTGTTGTAAAACATGTTCTATATGCCGTCGATACAAAATCGTGTCCAGCCTATAACTTCGTTATTTGAAGTCGAATTTTAAAACTATTTCACAGAAATGATCACCACATTGAGACGACGTGTCGCGCGCAACATTTGGGTCGCTACCTTGCCCATTGTTTGGCTCTGTGCGTACTATACTACGTTATACTTAGTAGTCTGACTTAAATAGCCAGTTTCATGTGTAGGTAGATAGATCTCATTGCGTAGATATGCAGTGCATAAGAACAGTAACTCTGCCTTGCCTATTTTTAGAGTCACTGCCCTTTTTTTATTTTACACTGTTAACTTTTTCCGGGACATTTCTGTTAAACTACAAGAGGTATCAACAAGAAACTAAGTCTGTAGATAAATCTCATTGAATAGAAGTGCAGTGCAAAGAACAGTAACTCTGTCTTGCCTAATTTTAGAATTATTGCACTTTGAACTGTGTCCAGGACATAACTCTGAAACTACAAGAGGTGTACTTTTCTGTGTCCAAAACCTATGAGGGGAGCATCACCCAGTTTAAACCGGCTATTGTTTTTTGTGTAACATATTGATATTATATTACATGTATAACAAGATTAAATATATTAGAGGTCAAATCATTGCGACTATAGCATCTTGATTGCAATGAAACTTTGTTTAAATTAAGTTTATGTTAAGACCGGGCTTAAGATAGCCTAAGCAAAAGTAACTGTTACTGAAGATAGAAAGTCGGTTTGCGGTCAATAACTAAATTTAGAAATTACCTATTTTCATCAAAAAATTTTGTATAGCATTCTATTTGAAAGCCTCACTTTGATTTACTTTTGAGCAATACATGCTTATTTCTTTTACTGCTTCATAATTGGCTTGCGGCCACGGCCGCAAGCCATTTGTTTTGGAAAAGTTGTTCCGGTAAGGTGGTTCCTGCTTACATTTGTTAGTGCATGATTGAACGGGAAACCAGTCTATGTTTCCGCTGCAATCGTGTTAATCGCATCTTTTCGGCCCTTTCCGTCACTCTTCGGATTAATGATAATAGCCTAGGCAGTTCCGATTGCAATCGTGACAATTCGGGCGATTCCGTCATACTGCGGAATCAGACGAAGTAAATTACGGAAATCTAAGCTATTTAGTTACTTCGGTAATCCCAGTTTGTTTATATAAATAGGATTTCTATTTTGACTTGATTTATCGGTTTAAAGCGTAAGTACGATAGAAGGAAGACATAAATTATAAAGAAATTGTTCCGTTTCAATTCTTTTTCAAGACGCAAAAGTTAGTTTCTTTTATAATTGGTTTTTGTCTTTATTAGTTTTATACAATAGAGGGTGGTTACTGTAGTAGTATTCCGTCTCCAAAATGCGGTAAGCAGTCCTGCTTACCAAAAGATCGTGACCGAATCACACAGAATATTAGTGCATGATCGAGTTATATTTAGATCTACTGAGTCTTTTATTTAAACGCAATTCTAACGTAGAGTTTAAACGTCTTGGTGAGGTAATCTAAAACTAGCCCATGCATATCATTAACATTACCACGTGCTGATCTACAGATAGCGTATCCTGTGTTGTCGGTATATTTGTGATCATAGATATTTTAGGTGTAACATAGTTGATACATGCTTATTAATTGGTTCATGTAACGAAGTCTTTTAGTGCATTGACTTGTCTATAAAGCTGCTATACAACTGCCAAAACGAATGACTCTCTCTGCGAAAAAAGTGGAAATGAAATGTGCACACTTGTTTCCCTTCAGTATGATAGATAGATCTCCACGTGGGAGAGCCAATGTTAGTATTTTCACGACTGATTATTTTCTTTATTAGTTTTATACAATAGAGAATAGATTTCAAATCGTTTTTGACAAAAAATATTCGTTTTTACAAAAAAAAGTTGTTACTGTTATCGTCAGCATGTTTCTGTTCAGTTATAATCAGTGGACTTCTGGTCCTTCTTTTGTCCAAATTTGCATGCATAACACTGGTGCTCAAACAAATGAGCATAGGTGCTCGTCCAGTCTTGGGCTTACCCTACCTATCCCTTTAAAAGTGAAACTTCTTTTTACGAGAAAAAAAAGAAAGAAAAAACTTAATAAACCCTTTATGATATACAGATATCGTAATTCAAAAAAATTGTGAATTTTTTATTTTGAAATGGATGGGATGATGGCACAACTGAGCAAGCCTTTCCTTTTAAAAGGAAACTTTATTTTTAAATTCACATTGAACATAGCACATAGTTATATTGTATGTTGCTTGTATTTGTATTTCAACTACAACTAAAACTTTCAACAATGGCGATAATTGAAAACTTGGTTTCGTTGCCATGTTTCTTGTTAAAAATGTTTTCCCATCAGTTATTGCAGAGAAACAAATAATAGCATTCATCTAACAATCCATACAAGCAAAATGATTCTTTTTACTCAACATTTATGAAAAATGTAGTATAAAAATTATATTATACAGCTGCTTTAAGTAACAGTACTAACCATACAAGGGATTGCTTTAATGAATTTAGAACCTGCCCTTTCGTTAACATGTTTTTGCAATATAAATGGCCTTTCTAATTTTCTATTTTATAAAACAATATTTCAAAATCTATGAACACACAGTATAGTTTTTTATGAAAACATAATGTTGGTTTTCTGTGTGTGTGCTTGTGTGTGTGTGTGTTTTTTTTTTCACCGTTGTTTTTTTTTTCTTTTGGAATCCAAATTGATTCTCAATGATTTTGTAATATTTGCTAGATCATTTTGTAAGTCGATTCAATAAACCTTGAGAATATCTTTTTGCAATATAATTTATAAATGTTATCACTCTGTAACTTCTTGCTTCATTAATGTCGACCCCCTCCCGTAAATATTGGTACTATAATTCCAGACCCCATGACATTAGATATTCTCCAGATTCGAAAATTCTGTTAAATAATTTTAGTATTATCTAAGAAATAAATAGAAATGAGCGGTTGTGTATTTCCGCGATCAGTGTATCAGTACCATTACTATTATTATAATTTTGTGAAAAGATCGGGATTCGCTCCTTTTTTCTGACATAGTTATTTTACAGTCAATGACTTCATCATAATAACCACTTTAGGTGTATCATCGAAACAATATAAAAATTTTAAAAAAATATGTATAAGTCGCCAATATCAAGATTTTCTGCTGTTAGTTGAGATTTAGAGTATTGTTCTGTAATTCTTGTTCAAAATTGACGCGGCTGAGATTTGCTTAAAATATTAAGATTATTTTTCTTTTTTTAGTTATACTTATACTTTTGTATACGTTTGATCTTGTTATTATTCTTCTTTGCATTAATAAATTCTGAATTGTATATAGTTTATATTATATTTTAAACAAAAAACATTCCTTGGTTTTTTTAGTTGTTTTCTTGCGGTAAAACAGTTCGAGTTGAGCAGTGTTTTATTATTATTATTATTATTATTATAATTGTTTGTGTTTACTATTTACGTTCTTCCAAAAACATTGTGAGAACATTCATTTAATACCTGAGTGAAAGAATTTACAAGTGAATCAATATCATCGCATAATTACATCCATTTAAAATATATATAAAAAGACAGATTGCTTTGTGTTAAGAATTGAATAGAATTTATTTATTTTGGTTATATCCCATCGGATAAATGTGTTATTATCAGACAACTCTCTATGACTTTCTCTATTTTGCGATTTCCTAAAAATATTTTTTTGTTAAACCCGAGTTCTCCGAAAACATATAATCAATATAAAACAAGACACAAGTAGGATTCTGGCTTATTATTGAAAGCATATATATCGACAATTCTAATTCAAAATCAAGATGTTGATACTCATAAATAGCCTGACGTCTGTAATACGTACATCACTTTCTAGGAGTAAAGCCTTTTTGTTAATTTGGAAAAAAAAACAGCAAATTTAAGAAACATCGACGTACCAGAAACTGACGTCTATTCTTCTGAGAAGCACTGGTTGAAGGAAATCCAAAACGAAATATATGTGTAATATCACTCCATTTTTTTTTAAAAAAAATTTGGATATGACACGGGTAAGAAATAATTTACTGTGGAGATTTATACAAATAAACAATTTTGTAATGTTTTAAATAAGTTAATGAGTAATTATTGTTAAATGTTAAGATAATCTTTATACAAAAAGATACTAAATATATTGAATCGATTAAGAAATAAACATTCGAAGTCGTATCAGTTAATGTAACAGTTATTGAACAAAAATATGTTTTAAGATCTAGAAAGTTACGTAAGTTAGATATATAGCTTAATAGGTTTTTTTTATCAAATGTCAATTTTCCTCCATTTCTTAATAAAAAAGGGGGGAAAAGTTATTTTATATATCAATGATCAAACAAATTTAATAAGTTAACAATTTTCAAAGAACAAAAACATTTAAAGAATATTAATTAGGAAAACTTATAAGATATTAGATTAAACAGAATTGTATGTATGATAACAGTAGAAAAAAGTACAAATGTTTACCCCCCCCCCCCCCCTATGTATGTATATACATTGTATGAAAACCATTAATTAAGCACTGAGTTATTTCAAAACATGGTTAGAAATATGGTAAAGAATATTACATTAAACATAATTTATGTCATACATGTAAAGATATACAGGTTAGCTTTTGTGTGAATATTTATACAAGTTTTGACTTCAAGTATTTCATTGTTCGCTTTAACATTGACCAGGCAGTCTATTACATAGATCTACCATTCCATTCATGTACAAGACGTTTGAAGAAAATTAACATAACATTGATTTATTATAGTCTGATACTATCTTATTTATTAAAACAAAATTATAGTTTTAAATTATATACATTTATTTAAATAACCCATCCGAGCTACGGTGTTGAGTTACAACAGGTTTTTAAACGGTCTGTTTATATTTACGGACTCCTGTGGGAATTACATGTACACGCGATCGGATTACGCGAGGTTCGTTTACTACAATCAGATATGTTTATGAACGGAATATAGTTAATAGTTGTTCACCGCGGATTGTATCTGTTATGTTTAGGTGTATATGCATCAAAAATCTTAAGATATGGCGTGCCTTTTTGCTCGAGTTTTAAGGATAAGACCGTTAGGTCAAATTGTTATCAGCGGAATACAAGGTTGGACTAAATCTGTAACGTATTCCCCATCGTTATCGTCACGAATGGCTTCATCATCATCAGCAGCATCAAAGATGGACATCAGTGGGATATATCCACCAATTGTTACACCTTTCAATGCTGACGAAACGATTGCATATGACAAACTGCAACAGAATATGGAAAAATGGAATAAAATTCCGTTTAGAGGTATACATGATTGTTATTTTTATAAATATGTTCACAGGGACTTGTACACTGGTTGACTTTCGTTGGATGAATTTCTGTACACAAGCACGAGGACATCATGCGGGTTTGGCGTCATATTAAGATTATTTTTCTCGTGTGTTCTATTAATTGATGTTTATTTTGTATTTAGAATAAGAAAAAAATAGGAATACATATTTCAAAATGATAAATATTTCTAGAAAATTTAAATTTTACGTTATACAAATTAATTATTAGAATTGTCATGATTTTTGTGTTGCCTCTACGGAGTAGTGGCGACATATAGGGATCACTTCTCCGTCGTCTGTCTGTCTGTCCGTCTGTCCGTCCGTCCGTCACAAAACTTGTCCGGACTACTCCTCATAAACTACTGGTGCAATTTCATCCAAACTTTACAGGAATGATCAGTACCATGTCTACTTGTGCATGTTGTCAGCATTTTCCGGTTCAATGATTTTTGTCAGAGTTATGGCCCTTTAATAATTTTTGATTTTAAAGTTTGTCCGGACTACGTACTTCTCTTATAGCACTAATGCAATTTCAATGAAACTTGACAGGATTGATCTGTAGCTCAAGTCCTTGCGCATATTGCACGGGTTTTCCGGTTGAATGATTTTTGGTTGAGTTATGGCCCTTTGATAAAAAGGTGTTTTTTCTGTGTGTTGCCAGATACGCAAAAGCATGTCCGGACTACTCCTCATAAACTACTGGTGCAATTTTATCCAAACTTTACAGGAATGATCAGTACCAAGTCTAGTTGTGCACTGTCCGTCTGCCTGTCACAAAATTTGTCCCAACATAAAATTGGCCATCATGAGGCGACACATGTGATCACTGATTGCTCTTGTTCTGATATTAAGTGCTATTTTTCTTTTATTTTTGTGCATAGGTTATGTGGTTCAGGGATCAAACGGTGAATATGTGTTCCTTAGAGAGGATGAGAGAATAGATCTCGTGCGCAGGGTGTCCGAAATGGCGGGAAAAGATAAACTTATTATAGCCGGTGCAGGCTGTGAATGTATGTTAGTTTATTTATTAACCTTTCGTAATCATTACGTATGATGGTGTAACAGTTAAGAATTAAATATTCACTATTCAGGGGAGATGATGTGTAAGTGGTCGTTAGAACCGCGATACGGTATTCCGGGGGTCCCGAGTTCAAGTCCCGATCAGGTTGCAAATTTTTCTTACCCTGTGACATTTGGCGCCTAACAGAGGACCGTGATTGACTATTGCCCAGAGTTTAAATTACATTGCTCTGTATCTCGACGACAAGTTTGAATGTATAATTTTGATATAAGTATCACATTTCGACATGATATTAACACTTAGAACGTGTTTGTGAATTTAACAAACCGTTCAATTTGACCTTGTTATCATCGTTTTAGTAACATTGTAAAAACTGGTTTGTAAGAGAGACACTTTTGCTGGTTGTTTACATTAAGTAAACCATCTATTGAAATTAATTTACATGTAATTTAATATATGATAAGAAAGAAAAATAATGATCATCATATATTAATTAAACGTTACTATAGCCAAAGTGACTCGTATGCGGCGCGCGCAGATTTTCTTTCAATAGAAAATATTTATCATTTTTCCTGCAGAAATGTCTTCGGTTCATTTTGCCATATATCAATCCATGCAGGAACAGCTTCTTTATTCGATTCTGATCCCTTAATTATCTACGTGCAGCTATACTTGGGAATTAATAAGCGTGTTGCAGTGTCTTTTTCCAACAATATATTCATTGCCATCAGAACGAGTGAGATTAACTTGAGTGTAACATATGAACAGGCCTCATGCTTATAAAACTTTTTTCTGAGTTCTGTCTCAAATCTCAGGATTTTCATTGGTCTGTGTACATTCAGGTACGTATATTAACGTTAATATACGTACCTGGTACATTTTAAGACAGTTTCTGACCAATCAATTTCCTGGGATTTGAGTTTGAGCTTTGAGAATTTCTTTTAAACTTGGGTCTTGATGGTCGTCTTGTACGCATGTCGCCTATTTAGTAAACCAATAATTGTGCGGAGTCAACGACGTTATGGAATAAGCTACTGCGTGACATATTCCAATTCATGATGGTGTTATTTTGCATACGAAATGTGGACTATATTTATAACATTTACAGCAAAAGTTTTACATTATTTTGAATCATCCCTCGTACATATCATTGATATGCAATAAGGAAATTCAGTTTACACAACTGTAGATCTACTTTGCTGTTTTACGACTGCTGAATTAAATTGTCCTTTTCTGAACATGGTCAGTGAACGCCATCATCATAATATTTTGGTCTTACATGCCAGTATAGTGTGAATTAATACTAATCGGAAAAAGACGGTTTTGAGTACGTTAAATCCAAAACTTTTTTGAACGATTCTTTTAATAATTAATAAAGCAGCTCTTAAAGTTTGATAGATATAAAACGCTTTTCCGAATTCCCTACGTAGCGAGTACATTAAATTTTCGCTAAACAGTAACGGGGTAGGCAGACGTTCACTGGTTAAAGAAGAGTTTAACTAGATGTGTGACTGAATAATTCAAAATGTCACGGAACGATATTAATTCCTTATCGAAATTTAAGTGATTAAAACAACGTTAAACCTTATAAATGGGACTACGATAGTGCTCTTCGGCAGAATAAAATATCAATTTCTGCCGTGAAGGCCTAAATTAGCCTTAATTTTTGCAATGATTGCATTGCTTTCCATGTAGTAAAGCAAAAACCTATACTATAATGTATTTTAAACGATGTCGTATTTTTTAGCTCACCTGTCACAAAGTGACAGGGTGAGCTTTTGTGATCGCTTTTCGTCCGGCGTCCGTCCGTCCGTCGTCCGTCCGTCGTCCGTCCGTCCGTCCGTCCGTAAACTTTTACTTTAAATGACATCTCCTCATAAACCACTAAGCCAATTTCATCCAAACTTCACAGGAATGTTCCTTTGGTGGTCACCTTTAAAAATTGTTCAAAGAATTTAATTCCATGCAGAACTCTGGTTGCCATGGCAACCGAAAGAAAAAACTTTAAATATCTTCTTTTAAAAAACCATAAGAGCTAGAGCTTATATTTTTGGCATGAAACATCTTCTAGTGAGTGTCTACCAAGTTTGTTCAAATAAAAGCCCTGGGGTCAAAATTGGCCCCGCCCCGGGGGATCATTGATTTTCCCTATATGCATATAGTAAAAACTTAAAAAATCTTCTTTTAAAGAACCCAAAGAGCTAGAGCTAAGATATTTAGCATGAAACATGTTCTAATGGGTTTCTACCAAGTTTGTTCAAATAAAAGCCCTGGGGTCAAAATTGGCCCCGCCCCGGGGGGTCATTGATTTTCCCTATATGCATATAGTAAAAAGTTAAAAAATCTTCTTTTAAAGAACTCAAAGAGCTATGGCTAAGATATTGAGCATCAAACATGTTCTAATAGGTGTCTACCAAGTTTGTTCAAATAAAAGCCCTGGGGTCAAAATTGGCCCCGCCCCAGGGGGTCATTGATTTTCCCTATATGCATATAGTAAAAACTTAAAAAATCTTCTTTTAAAGAACCAAAAGAGTAAGAGCTAAGATATTTAGCATGAAACATGTTCTAATGGGTGTCTACCAAGTTTGTTCAAATAAAAGCCCTGGGGTCAAAATTGGCCCCGCCCCGGGGGGTCATTGATTTTCCCTATATGCATATAGTAAAAAGTTAAAAAATTTTCTTTTAAAGAACTCAAAGAGCTATGGCTAAGATATTGAGCATCAAACATGTTCTAATAGGTGTCTACCAAGTTTGTTCAAATAAAAGCCCTAGGGTCAAAATTGGCCCCGCCCCAGGGGGGTCATTGATTTTCCCTATATGCATATAGTAAAAATTTAAAAAATCTTCTTTTAAAGAACCAAAAGAGTTAGAGCTAAGATATTTAGCATGAAACATGATCTAATAAGTGTCTACCAAGTTTGTTCAAATAAAAGCCCTGGGGTCAAAATTGGCCCCGCCCCGGGGGGTCATTGATTTTCCCTATATGCATATAGTAAAAACTTAAAAAATCTTCTTTTAAAGAACTCAAAGAGCTATGGCTAAGATATTTAGCATCAAACATGTTCTAATAGGTGTCTACCAAGTTTGTTCAAATAAAAGCCCTGGGGTCAAAATTGGCACCGCCCCAGGGGTCATTGATTTTCCTTATATGTGTATAGCAAAAACTTAAAAAATCTTTTTTGAAAAACCCAAATAGCTAGAGTTAAGATATTAAGCATGAAACATCTTTAAGTGAGTGTCTACAAAGTTTGTTCAAATAAAAGACCTGGGGTCAAAATTGGCCCCGTCCCGGGGGTCATTGATTTTCTTTATATGTGTATAGCAAAGACTTAAAATCTTCTTTGAAAAAACCCGAATAGCTAGAGTTTAGATATTAAGCATGAAACATCTTCTAGTAAGTGTCTACAAAGTTTGTTCAAATAAAAGCCCTGGGGTCAAAACTGGCCCGGCCCCAGGGGTGTCATTGTTTTTAACTATATGTGTATAGTAAAAACTTTAAAAAAAATCTTCTTTTAAAAAAACCCAATTAGCTAGAGCTTAGATGTTTAGCATAAAACATCTTCTTATGGGTGTCTACCAAGTTTGTGCAAATAAAAGCCCTTGGGTTTAAATTGGCCCTGCAACGTTGGGGGGGGGGGGGGCTATATACAGGTGAGCGACCTCAGGGCCATCATGGCCCTCTTGTTTCGTTTACACAGCAACCAGAGATACCATCGCTATGTGTGAGAAGATGGCGAAAGTTGGAGCGGAGGCGGTGCTTGTTGTGACGCCATCTTACTACAAGTCGCTTATGTCAAACGCTGCACTAATCTCTCATTATACCAAGGTATATCTCTACATTCCTCTTACTAGGTAAAATTGTTCACAGGACCGACAATTTTTGGCTTTGGCCCACCTTTTGAGAATAGGTGAAAATTTATTGACATTAATAAGTCATCTTTACTTACTTTTTGGTCCATTAAATGAAAAACTACATATAGTAAATCTATAGACAAGAGACTGTTTGTAACGTAAATAGATTGTGTTTGAACTTGAATATATTTCGATTATATGTTTAAACCGAGGATGTTATTATACTTTTATTTTTAAGGTTGCGGATGCAAGCCCAGTGCCTGTCATTTTATACAGTGTCCCGGGAAACACCGCGATAGATCTAGCACCGGAAGTAGTCATTCAGCTCTCGTCACACCCAAATATAGCAGGAGTAAAAGATAGCGGAGGTGACGTAAGTATTTTATTTGTCACTATATATATCTTACATTATTTTTTTCATTTACATTTCCCGTCGCAGTGTCTATCTTTACTGATAAATCTGTTTGTACTGCCAGTGTCTCTTCACAAGTTGATTTCCCTTATCTCAGATATTTTGTTTTTCAGATTGCAAAGATAGGATACATGGTGCATGCAACAAAGGGAAATGATTTCCAAGTTCTTTCTGGATCTGCCAGCTTTTTACTGGCTTCGTATACATTAGGTAAGATCAAAATGGTAACATCTGTAAGTCCTTTCAGGATCTAAAGTTGTTAAAGTGACAAAATTTCTGATATGGACAAGATTTTGTGGCTTATTATAATCAAGTGGAGTATAACTGAATGGAATCGTCACCAAAATGATCGTTGCTCATTGAAAATAATTAAACCGAGATATTTTAGTAACATTTGTAAATAAAACTAAACAGTCGGTAATAATAAATTGTCTTTCAAAAATATTCCTAAATATATGGAAAAAAGTGATCCTTCGGAAGCGTTAAAACAGCACAATTACATTAAAATTTCAGACTCGGTTTGATTGAATCTGTACGTACATGAGGGATAATGAAAAAGTGCACCATCACTCACGCCCCCTAGCACCGGCTTGATCGGTACTAATTTCACAACACCTAAAAGTGCTGGACTCAATGAAAACCTGATCCGGTCAGAGATTTCTTGTATTTTTTGTTGTTGTCAATCTTAATATCTAATCTTAAAGTTCGTACTTTTCCCAGGTGGCGTTGGTGGTGTTTTAGCTCTAGCTAACATCTTAGGTGAGCAGTGTTGTGACGTAGAAAAACTCTTCAAGGCGGGAAAAATGGAGGAAGCAAAGTTATTACAACATAGGTTAATTGATCCAAATATAATGGTAAGTCAATTAAAAGACATGTTCTATCTTTTTCAATTAGAAAATATTACGTAAGACTGAAGATGAAGTCCTTTCCATACATGTACAGGTACATGTATTATAAATTTTAAAGTCCATGAATTAGAATTACAAACGCTGTTTATAATGCTTTGAACTGTCAAAAAATACTTTTCAGTCAGTTGGTTTTCGATAAGATGAATAAATACCTATTAACCTTTACATTGGACCAGACAGTATAATTAGAGTATATGAATTTGGAAATGAGTTATCATCTCTTTTTTAATCCTGTACCTATCTAGAGCTGTGGATACCATTATACATGTATCTCCAGTGTTACACAAGAAACATTTTTTATGATTCAATAATTCCCAAGCTCAAGTAAATGATAAAAGATTTAATGGTTATAAAAAAAGCCTTTATGGAATAAATTAAATATTTTCTGTTTATACTAATAGGTAACAAAGAAGCTGGGCGTGCCAGGTTTAAAGAGAGCCATGGAGATGTTGGGTTACTATGGAGGTCCTTCAAGGTCACCACTTCAACCAATCACAAAACAGAATGAGGAAGCCCTCAGGACTGTACTGACTAATGAAGGATTTTTGTAACAACTATGAATATGGATCTGTATTAAGTTATATTCTCGCATCTATAGATCTGCACATTTGATTGATTGATTTTTTTGATATTTAAAAAAAATGCGTATGCATATACAGTGTATGTATATTCAGAGGGAAAATTAGTAAACACAATATAGTGATAATGATAGTTCTGCTGCTAAGCCTGTATATCTATACATTCCGCCATTTGATAATAGAACAACAACTGTGATAACTGAATATTTAGAGAACGGAATACAGTGTCAGAAGAGGGATTTTTTATTTACAGTGTAAAGCTCTCAAATTTAGAATGTTATAACAACATTGTTTATCATAAGAATGTAATATTTTAAAACATTTTGACTTGATAGTAAATAGAACCTCACAGTGAATATTGAATGTTTACTACTACGATATGGGTGGTTCTCCCAAATTTTATAATATACATTTAATACAATGTTTTGTTATTTTATATACAGATTTCTGTTGATATTTCTTACAGGAAAAAATGTACTCAAAGTTATACAATGTATATTGTTATATGCAATCTCGGAATATTATAATTGAAAATTGTTTATCATTTTGTTGAAAATACATAGAATCACTAAATTAACATTTGTTTGTTTTGTAATAGCATAGTCATGGGACAAAATGCCCTGTAAAAGCTCCAGTGTCAAACAATGATGCATGCTACTGCAGAATTTATTGCCATGTTGGGTTACTACAGAATTATTGCCTGTTACTTTTACCGTAATGGTCCTAGCTTCTACATAATTTATTTATAATCTATTCCGAGCTATTATTGCTATTGCTGGCTGCTGGTGTCAAATGTGAGACAGCATCGTCATGCTTCCAGTCTTCACTATTCAGTATTACACTAACTGTTACACCGAGAAGAACCATTAATTTAGCTTGGTAGATGTTGCACATTTCTATTCTATGTCGTTTGTTGGATTCAAACCTACAGTGCTGAAGAGCTTGGCAAAGTTTTTATTATCCATCATTGACAGCCTAAAGGATTTATCTTGAAATCAACCTTGAATTTGACTAATAAATAGATTTCCCTTATCTGGTCACATAAAGACTTGAATGTTATTTATTTATAAAATCTAATTTTTTGACCTGTAACATATCACTTTCTAAAGCAGATAGTATTTCAACAAAATGTGTAAAATAAACAAGAAACACTAGACAGGAAATGATAAAATTTAATACCTTAACCACAAGTTTCATTTACAAATATATAATATTGCTTAATAACTATATAAAGAAAAGCGAGTAGTAAATGTTTATGTGTAATTGTGAATAATATAATATAAAAGATTTGTTTTTTCGTTACATTTCAATGCATAATGTATAATGTATTTATTACAGATAGAGATATGTACCAAAGACTTTGCTAAAGTCAAATTTAGTAACAAATAAAAAAACAAATAAGAATAATTAGGCATATATGTAGCAAAGACTTTTCGAAAGTCAAATTTAGTAACAAATAAAAAAACAAATAAGAATAATTAGGCATAATCTATAAACAAGAACATGGAAAGAAAATTGGCTCAGCCTTTCTGTACATTGTCATACATTGTAATCAAACAGTTTGACTTTTTTTTCTTTGATCTGAGATATAAAAAAATACAAGTGAGAAGAAAAAAAATATTAAAGAAAAAAATGTAAGAAATTTTTGCAGACATAAGAATAAAAAAATAACATGTCAACATATATATTTGATATACGGACATAACTTACTGCTTGACTGATTTAATTTTAACAATTAAGATATATACCAATCACAACCACATTAATACATGTGAAATATACAGGTACATGTAACTGGAAAAACATTAAGAAAATGTATAAGCATCTAAACACATACCTACTGTGATAACTTGCATGTTATTTTTCAGAAAGTTTTAGTTTATCTTATTGCTTTCAAAATTATAAGGATTATATTGCAAACTTCAAAGTAACACCTGGTGTCAAAACCATCTCTGCTAGAGCTTAGAAATGCATAGAGTCCAGTTATTCCAACCCATTTAGTCGCCTCTTACGATCTCGCAGAGTTAAAGGGTAGCTGCAATTCTTATGCCACATCTATTTAAGGCAACCCCTCAGCCCCGACTTACATTTAAGTGAATAATCAGAAATAAGTCCCTGGTGCAAGACTCAAACCCTTAAAGGTGAGGGGCAAAAGATTCAAAATAAGCAACCTTAACAACCTGGCCATAAACGCTCCTCCCCTATCATGATTAATTGATAGTGAAATTGATACAAAAGCCTTTATATCAATTAGGAAATAGAAAAATTGTGCTTGCATTTTCAGACAAAATTTCACCATTTTTTATTTATGTAAAAAGTAATACAAAACCATATGAAAGATTTTAACTCTATTCTATTTTCTTTTAAGTAATTGCACCTATATTGCAAGAAAAACAAGACAGTAATTATAAGAAAAGCTAAAATAGTGAGGTAAATATGTCAGAAAAATATCAGTGAAAAATATAAACCCAAAATGTGTGATATCAGTTTATACATACAAAAGAAAAAAGCGAGTTAAACAAAATATAGCTATACATACTAACAATGTAAAGCCCTGTACTTAGCTGTGTTTTAAGTGTTTTCTTTTCTTTTCAATAATGTTTGAAAAATTAATAAGAATGAAAACTTTTAAAGAACAGCAAAATGCATATAAGTTTATATATAATAAACCTGTACATATGTTGATATAATAGTAATAATATGCAATTATAACATAGCTAAATGCTGAAAGTGTATTATAAATATGCAACTATATGTACTGAACTAGTTATCTGCACATACTTTTATAATGAACTTTATATATGTACCTTTTTTCTTAGCAGATAGAAGCCCATTCTTTATTCTAGTGAAATAATTTAAAGTGATAATATGAGTAATATTAGTGTGACTAAATTGGCTGACTATAATATAAGAGCAACTATGCTATTTTCAGAGTAAAATTTAGCAGGCTTTTCCAGTATTAGATATAAATTTATCTAATTAATAAATTTAAGTGCCCTTTCCATCCCTTAATTATGTAATAATAAACAGATTTAATAGACCTTCTCATCCATATATTATACATTGTTTCTCTTTTTTAATGACAATAAGCAAAAACTTCACATTCATAATGTAATGTATTGTTTAAGTACATCATTTGTTAAAACTTCCTTAATTTGAAATTAAATGAATACCCTAAATAAATTATTTTATATAATATAATAAGTAATTTGTAGGCATTTTCGTTGTACTTTTGAAACAGACCTGCCAAATGCCTAACAACTGCCATCTGGTGTTCCTTTAATACATGTGTATACTTGCCAAAAAAAATACAATCTCATTTTCATATTAACAAAAAAAGGATTCTTACCAAACTTAAGTATATTCTTATTGTAAACCATTCTACAAATAATTCTTATTTACCAGATATTTCTACAAACAATTCATATTGACCAGATATTTACTACTTTTAATCTTAATAAAAGTTCTTATACATGACACAAACATTTTTAATGTATCAAATATTTTATACAACCTATAACCCAATCCCAGTCATTATAACTAAAGAAAAATAATTCTACATGTACTTTGATACTTAGTCTTATAGCACCACTGACCTTTACTCACTAATTAAACAACTATCAAAAACTATACACACAACAAGAAACACAAACACAATGAAGTTTATAAATATACAAATTTGATAAATAATCCCAAATGTTTTTTTTAAATCAAAAGACAATAAATTACTGGTTGACACAAAGTTTGATACCACATGGCTCATATTACTAGTTGGCACAAAGTTTGATACTAAATGGCTCAAATGACTTATTTAACACAAAGTTTGATACCACATGGCTCAAATTACTAATTTGCTACATGGCTCAAAGTGCTGGCTGAAAAATATTTTGATACCACTAAGTGACAAAACTCAAATTAATAGTTGGCACATTACGTTCCATACCACATGGCTCAAAAAGACAATAAATTACTGGTTGCAAAAAAGTTTGATACCACATGGCTCAAATTACTAGTCAGCAAAAAAGGTAATATCACATGGCTAAACACGATGTTTGATACCACATGGTTCAAACTAGTGGTTATCACAATGGCGTGATTTAATGGTAAACACTTAGTTTGATACCACATGGCTCAATTATTACTGGTTGACACATTAAGAAAGAAAGTTTGACACAACTTGATTCAAAATCAACTGTTTCAATTTGATTATTTCGAACAAATTACAGACCTTTTTGCACACATCTGTATTTATCTTAATGAATAAACAATTTCCATACAATAATTATGTAATAGGTGGTATTATAATGTATCACAAAAGCTGTCATTATCAAATACCATGAAAAAATATGTAAAATATATCTTAAATATCATGGGTTGTTTGTATAGCACTAGAAAATATAATGTATCACAAAAGTGAATACTAAAGTATAGGTTAACAATAAAAAAAGCGCTGCTTTTAAAGTAAACTGGTTGGACACTTACATCTCAAATATATATTTCTGTTCTAAGGTTAATTACAAAAGAAAACTACACCATTTATAACCAACAATATCTTATTGTAACTGTGCTACTATTAATTTTATAGTTTTCTTATATTTTCAGGAAGCTGATTATACTTAAGATCTAAGACTAAATCAGTGTGTTTGTAAATTATTTGACTTATTCTTTTCTCACTGATAATGCCAAAAATGTAATGGAAATCTTACCATTTTATATTGCTGGACAAATATTTTTTTCTTAAAATTTCCTTATCTCATTTATTTAATTAAATATCTTCAGAATTCAAGAATAATAGACATTTATGTATAGTGGCTTATACTGTAACATTTATTTTTCTAAAACCAAACCAAACAGAATCTTTGTAATGTCAGTGTCCTATCAGATTTTAAAATTTGATCATGTTGGCTTAAGTAGCAAGTACAAATATAAATAGTTAACATTGTATAAAACAGCAACAGAATTTAATAGAGAGAGAGAAAGAAAAATAGACCAATACGGAAGCACCAATTAAATAATGTATGCATAGTGTATTAAACTTATCCCTACACACTAGGTATACTACAACTTATTTTATTATTACATTATTATAAACAATACCAAATTATTTCTTCATCAAAGCCACTTACATTTTGTTACATTCTTTAATGGTTTACTTAATCCACATTATATGTTTGACAAGACATGCAAGGGAGAGAACTCTTCACCATATTATTTACAAATCAGATCTAAGTTGAAATCGAACTTCAATTTTACAAATTTATTGTTGCTCAAAATTGGCATATATTTTCATTTTCTATGTTCAAAAATTCAATCGATACACTCACTTATTATGTAAACAAGAGGGCCATGATGGCCCTAGATCGCTCACCTGAATTATCAAACTCATCCAAACAATTACCTAGACAAGCATTCTGACCAAGTCTCATGACAGGTGAGTCAAAAATGTGACCACTACAGTGTTAACAAGGATTATCCATATTTGAGCAGTGCGACCTAGTTTTTTACCCAGGTGACACATATTCAAACTTGACCTAGAAATCATCAAAACAAACTTTCAGACCAATTTCCAGGATACTTGGATCAAAACAGTAGCAACTAGAGTGTTAACAAGATTTTTCTATTTTTAGCTCCGGTGACCTAGTTTCACATGCGATTTCGAACTAATCCAAGCAATTACCTAGACAAGCATCCTGACCAAGTTTGATGATAATCGAGTCGAAAATGTGACCACTAGAATGTTAACAAGGTTTTTCCATATTTGGGCGGTGTGACCTAGTTTTTCATCCAAGATGACCCATGTTTGATCTTGACTTAGAAATCATCAAAAAAAACTTTCAGACCAATTAACAGAATATTTGGATCACAACAGTAGCCACTAGAGTGTTAACAAGATTTTTCTATTTTTAGCTCATGTGACCTAGTTTTTCATCCGAGATGTCCCATGTTCGATTTATTCCAAGCAATGACCTATTCAAGTTTCCTGACCAAGTTTGATGACAATTGAGTCAAAATTGTGACCACTAGAGTGTTAACAAGGTTTTTCTATTTTTAGCTCCTGTGACCTAGTTTTTCATCCGAGATGACCCATGTTCGAACTCATCCGAGCTATCACCTAGACAAGCATCTTGATCAAGTTTGATGATGATTGATGCAAAAATGTGACCGCTAAAGTGTTAATAGGTTTTTCTATTTATAGCTCCGGTGACCTAGTTTTTCATCCGAGATGACCCATATTCGAACTCATCTGAGCTATTATCTAAACAAGCATCCTGACAAAGTTTGATGATGATTGGGTCAAAAATGTGACCACTAGAGTGTTCACAAGGTTTTTCTATTTTTAGCTCCTGTGACCTAGTTTTTCATCAGAGATGACCCATGTTCGAACTCATCCAAGCAATTGACTAGACAAGCATTCTGACCAAGTTTGATGATGATTGGTTCAAAAATGTGACCACTAGAGTGTTCACAAGGTTTTTCTATTTATAGCTCCTGTGACCTACTTTTTCATCCGAGATGACTCATGTTCGAACTCATCCGAGCTATCACCTAGACAAACATCCTGACCAAGTTTGATGATGATTGGGTCAAAAATGTGACCTCTAGAGTGTTCACAAGGTTTTTCTATTTTTAGCTCTTGTGACCTAGTTTTTCATCCGAGATGACCCATGTTCGAACTCATCCGAGCTTTCAACTAGATAAGCATCCTGACCAAGTTTGATGATGATTGAGGCAAAAATGCGACCGCTAGAGTGTTCACAAGCAATTGTGGACGGCCGGACGGACGACGGACGACGGACGACGGACATTCACCGATCCTAAAAGCTCACCCTGAGCAAGCTCAGGTGAGCTAAAAAAACAAAACAACAAAGTTCCCAAATAAAGTCCATATGCACTTCTGAAATCTGTACTGCATTTAAATCTCATTTTTTTGGTGCTTTTATCACTTTTATAAAGGTGGAATCATTATACCACTATAAAAATGGTATCATGTTCCAATCTAGATGTTTATACAACATGCACAAAGGTGGTATCATATTCCACTATCTATTAAGGTGGTATCATGTTCCATACTAGATGTATATGTAAAGGTGGTATCATGTTCCTCACTAGATGTATATGTAAAGGTGGTATCATGTTCCTCACTAGATGTATATGTAAAGGTGGTATCATGTTCCACACTAGATGTATATATAAAGGTGGTATCATGTTCCACACTAGATGTATAATTATATAAAGGTGGTATCATGTTCCTCACTAGATGTATATGTAAAGGTGGTATCATGTTCCACACTAGATGTATATATAAAGGTGGTATCATGTTCCACACTAGATGTATATTATAAAAGGTGGTATCATGTTCCACACTAGATGTATATGTAAAGGTGGTATCATGTTCCACACTAGATGTATATATAAAGGTGGTATCATGTTCCACACTAGATGTATATGTAAAGGTGGTATCATGTTCCACACTAGATGTATAATTATATAAAGGTGGTATCATATTCCACTATCTATTAAGGTGGTATCTTGTTCCACACTAGATGTATATGTAAAGGTGGTATCATGTTCCACACTAGATGTATCTATTTAGGTGGTATCATGTTCCACACTAGATGTATATATAAAGGTGGTATCATGTACCACTATAAAGGTGGTATCATGTTCCAAAATAAATGTATATATAAAAGTGGTATCATATTCCACTATAAAAGTGGTATCATATTCCACTATAAAAGTGGTATCATGTTCCACTATAAAAGTGGTATCATATTCCACTATAAAAGTGGTATCATATTCCACTATAAAAGTGGTATCATATTCCACTATAAAAGTGGTATCATGTTCCACTATAAAAGTGGTATCATGTTCCACACTAGATGTATATATAAAGGTGGTATCATATTCCAAACTAGATGTATATATTGTATATATAAAGATGGTATCATGTTTTTGTCATACTCTACACAAGATGATAATGGCATCACAACAAAATGTTCCTTTTACAAAAAAAATGTTTCCTGAATTTGATCACAGTACATTTAGGCCTTTCTTTAGTTATTGCCAAGAATCCAGGCTGAAAAGTTGCCCTGAAAAGATAAGAAATTAAAATTAAATTAAACATTAATTAAAACATGCTTTAGAAAAAGTATTATGCAATGAAAATTCTAAACACAACATTTGAAACTGAATAACGATTCTGACTGTGAAAAAAACACTGTATATGGAATTTAAATTCAGCTTAAAAACCCCAAAATTTAAAAAAAAATGTTTTGGTAATTTTTTTTTTTTTTTATTTATTGTTCAAATTGTCAAGAGTGAAAATTTAACAATTAAAGAAAAAAAGTATATGAAATCTTACACACAATACAACGTTACAAATGTTTATTGATTAATGAAAAACAAGGTAACAAAATGTTGACTTACCGGGAAGAAGTATATGAACAAGAAGACAAGCAGTATGAGGAGAAGAACAAGGAGACCGATGATGAAATACCACTTGTAGTTGGCCCAGATAATGTAACGCAGGGTCTTAAATGGTGATGTAAACCACAGGAACGATGTCTCTGGTCGACTGAAATGTATAACATGCCTCAATGTATAAAATGCCTCAAATTTAAAAGAGAGCTACGCAAAATAATAATCAGATTATTGTTTCTTGAGAATCAAGAACAAGATTACTGGCCAGTACTTACATAATGCAAAACAATTCCACTGGCATTACTTATAAATGTTATCATAATGTAATGTTCTTATTCGAGGTATGGATATTTAGTCATATCAACACTGTCATAATGATTTTTAACTAGAGGTCTTCTCCACCTCTAAGAAGGTTCCCCATGTATCACTCCAGCCTTTGGCAAGCAAGAAGTAAACAAATACCTGATACCAATTCAAATCTAATGATCTTAAATTAAGACAACTGTCTGTGTACTTGCAAGCTAAGATCAATTATAGAAGTGAACTTACTTTGGAGGCTCAAGAACTGGGTTCATGTTCGGTTCATCTCTGGCTTTACCTGCTGGTCTAACATCCGCTTCATCCTTGGTAATCAGCTCAATTTCCATTTCAACTTTACCCTGAAAGTATACAAAATAATAGTAGATACTCCTTATCACATCTAATTCTTCAGTCTTGTCATATAAGAGCAACATCAAAATAATTGATGTGTATGTCAGAAAAAGGTCACTAAACAGTTTTACTGGTGAATGTAAAACTATAGCCCAAATGCTCACCTAATTTAAGGCCCAAGTAGGCACAAGAGAGGAACAATCAATCAAGCTAGATGAAGTGCTTGCTCACATGAAATTACTTTCAGTCTCAAGATATCAGGCTTACAACCCACACTGGTAAGCACTGATGGCCAAGATTTAAATACATAATTTAAATCTTAACCACTCGCACACAATCAAGGTCAATGGATCTTTTTAATACTATCAGTCAACAAGAAAATAAACAGAGTATAGTACCGCTATTCTTCTAATCTTATTTATATAAATTGGAATAACTCCTTATTAATTACTTACAGTTAGTTCTCTATGACCATTCTTCTCATCATAGACCGGCCAGAACCCTCTAAGTCTCTTCTGTTCAAATAATGACACAGTCTTCACATTTGTGTTTCCCATGGTGATGTCCGGTAACTGTTTCAGATCACATGATCCAGCACGTTTGGAAGGCATTGGCATATTGTTTAAGTTAAGTTCTACAGTACCTGTATAAAGATATAGCAGTACCTTCAATATTTTTCTACGATTTGACAAATCATTTGTTATTCCATAATATCTTTCTGATTAGCAAAATCTTGGTTAGATATAGCCAATCAAACACATTTTCTTTCTGGCATTTTTGTACTTTGTTTATATTTCCATACTCATAAATTAATCCCTTTAATATTGGATTAGAACTTTTTTTCCCATGCAATTGACTCATAAGCTATAGTTTTATCAGTTAATGAATACTTCAAAGAGGTATCTGTCAGGGGCAAGCAGCTGTGTCCTTGATAAAAAACAAACTTAACACTAATTGTTTAGTACTGGTTGATTCCACTTGGATGCTACAGATTTGAGAATAAGCCTATTAGCTAACAACTTCCAACACAATCAAACTAAAATAAATTTTGTAACTATACACTAAAGTGTTTATCATTCAAACTTCATAAAAGGACTGATTTAATTTAATGAGTTTAATTTATGTCTGTTATCCAGTTTATCAAAGGCCCATTATGCCTCAGATATGCTATCATTTTAATTTCTTTAACAAGATTTAAGTTTTGTATATTGTTAAAAAATACTCATTTGCCATATAGATCTTTTGCGCTGTTAGCAATTGGTATAATTATAGTGAATTAGTATTTTGTATGGAAGTCAAAATACTACTTTTTCACATTTTGCTACCTTTGTGACACATTAGTACATGTGTAGTGCTATTTCTTAAGTTGTTTAACATGCTCTAAATCATTATAAAATCATTTTAAACATGTTTGACAATTAAAATGAATTCAAAAAATTTGAGTTCTGAGGAAAAATGTACCTTTAAGAAATTTGATTAAGAAATTAAGAACTTATAATCTACAAACTACAGTAATAAAGTGTTTACCGAGAAAGTCGTCAAATGAGAATTTGTCGTTATCCCAGACCTGTATCATAAATATAGCTGGCAGACGCTGTTCTGTCTCATCTAGACTCCAAAACTTCTCCTGATAAAATACAACAGGACAAAACATTATATATACACACTATCAAATATTCAAATAATAAAATTTAAACCCAAAACCTGAAGAATTTATGTAATGGATTCGTCCAGCTATTATTTTTGGAACTGTCAATTTTCAATATTAGGGATATCAAGATGAAAATCTAAATTTGGTCCAGAAAACTAACCAGAGAGTATAATGTAAATGTCAATGAACAACAATGTCAATTAGGTGCTAACTGTTTTAAGAGATTTTATTACAATTATTCAGAAACAGTGACCATATCAAATTTGTTTAAATATAAAGAATTCTTTGAATTTTCAATAAAGAATTGCTTTCAAATGTAATATGAAAGGAACAGAACAGAACTGATACTTTATTTAGATTTGTGCAATAATTATATATCATCTATAATAAGATAACATTTACAAACATAACATCGATATAATAATGGTAATGGAAATCATATTTTTTCACAATTCATCATCTAAACGGCTAAAGTTCATTTCTAAATTGGGTAATTTAACTAACCACAATGTTAATGGCCAAAAAACAAAGAGAAACAAGCATAATTTGCATTAAGAACTTTTTACCATTTTCGTACAATTTCCTCCATAAAATCTTACCTTTTTCTTCACAACCATACAGTTCTCAGCTGGCATAAACTCAAATGGGAAAACAAATCTCCAGTTAAAGTTTCCTTCCCCATTTAGTGACCTTTAATAATATAACAAACATTTTACCAATGATATCACATTTAAAAAATTAATCAATTTCATTCATGCATATAATTATAATACATTGTATTCAAAAACTTCAATTATTTTGTAAAATAAAACTTAAAAAAAAAGAATTTGGTTTTAAAATGTCTGAGTAAAAAAAAAAAAAAAATTAAGATAATGTGACCATCACAATAAAAAATGTTATAATAAATTATAAAGACAATCAAATAACTCATAATATGGATGTTATATAATACAAGGAAAGTTTCAAAATTCTTTTTTTGATCATTTCATAATTCAACATAAATAATCAAAGCAAGAAACAAGAAACCCAGATGCTTCCCAAATAGGCTTTGGGCACAGAAAAGTAGTTTCTTGTTGATACCTCTTGTAGTTTCAGAGTTATGTTCCTGACAAAATTCAAAGTGTAAAAATGAACAAAGGGCAATAACTCCAAAGTTAAGCAAGGAGAGTTATGGTTCTTATGCACTGCACTTCTACTCAATGAGATTTATCTACCAACAAAGTTTCTTGTTGATTTTTTGTATTTTATAGTTTCAGTAATGTCCAGGACAAGAAAAGCGAATGGACGGACAAACAAAGAAGCGACTATATGCTCTCCCTTTGGGTAGCTTACAAACAATCTTTGTTTATTACTTGGGATTAATTTAACTTTTTCAAAATTAATAAATGAAACATGGGCTAATTTTGTCTCAAACATTGTTATATAAGAATGTACCTGTAATGGATATCTGTTTTCTGTTTCTCCTCAGCTCCTTGAAGCCAGCCTGTTACATATATATCACTCATTTTCTCTCCAGTAATAGATGTCTCATCTAGGATCACGTCCACAGTGTTATATATCACGGCTCTCAACATGTATCTAATATAATATATATATTTAGTGTCCAGCTTTATTTGTCATCCAATGAAAATGTATTTCTGTGCGTTAATTTTCATAGAAGAACAAAAGTCGTATACTATATCGAATTCCTTTCATAGTCGACTTCTATTTTTCATAGTACTTCATAGAACCGCATAGTGAAGTAATAAAGTGAATGATAATGAGGCCAAATAAAGCTTGACACTAAGTATGTTAGTATTCATCCGCAGCTGTTCTACAGAAATTAGAAACATTCTCCTGTCGCTATCGCTCCCGTCGAAGTTTCTATTTCTGTAGAACAGCACGGATGATCACTAACATATACATAGTCAAATTATCATGTATCTAAAATAACAGACATAAATATAGTCAAATTAGCATGTATCTAAAATATCGGGCATAAACATTATTGTCAAATTAACATGTATCTAAAATTATAGCCATAAATATAGTCAAAATGCCATATATCTATAATATGACTTACAATCATACTAAAATAAAAGAATTATTATCAATATAGTAAAATTAACATTTTACTTAATATTCTTAAAGTCCTAAATAAGATTTGTCTTCTACTATAATTTTAACATTTTTTTTTAGTCTGAAAAGATGACTTTTTGAGGAACTGTGAAAGCATTTTTAACTGCCTTAGGATTTTTAAAAATAAAAAAAATTAAAAAATCATAATTCAATTAATTATTTATGATGCAAGCTACATTTGTAGAATTATTTCCAAGTAAATATACATTATTATTAAAGTAACATGTATTTCCATTTTATCATTAGTATTATCCTACATAACTATATATGCACCAACATCACCATTCATAAAATATTCAGTTATCTCATTTGACTCATGTGGCATTATAAAAAAATGTCCTATTTCTACTGGGTACATACGGTACTGAAAAGTTAAACCTGAAGGAAATTTTACAGATATATGAAAACTTACTCTTTTGGTTTTCTGGCCTTGATATCAAATGGTGGTCCAGGTTCTCCCATAGACTTGGGGAATATATCCACCCACATCACCAACTTGCCCTGAAAATTTAGTTTGTAGAGGTTTGTAATAAATTTTTATTTGCATTAATTTTTATATTTTTGCTTAAAACAAATACTTTAAGAAGAATAGTGCAAAGAAGAGTCGTGTATAGATCTTGAACAAGCATAAATAAAAGCCTTCCCAGTATGGCAACTTTCTTAATATCCGACTAATACAACTATGTCAACCTTTAAAAATAACAGTTTAATTCTCAGGTTTAACTTAAATCTTGTCAAGTATTCAACTTTGCTGAAACAATTTAAAACTAAACTCATTGAAGTGCTAAAAACAGATTATCTATAACCTTTATCGTTAAAATATCCAATCACTTTTAAAATACCTGTTCAATATTGGGCTGCAGTGGGTTATATATTGGCCTTTTTTCTACATGCTCCTTCACTAAATCCAATGTGTTGAGAATATGTAGGGCTAGTCTCTGGTCAGCTGGACCATGATCTGGTGTTATCACCTTCCCTGCACCTTCTGTAATACATGAAAAATACACTTGTATAAACAAAACTAGTTACATGGCCCAATATATATTTAGGTTGTATGTTTATAAGTCCTGCGCAGCTGGGCAAAGGTTGTATAGTAAACTTGTATTCCTACATGATGGTACAGACAGGAATATCTAGCTCTCGGGTAACTGTTTAGCGGAGACTTGGCAGAGCCTTGTTACCACCTTAAACAGTTACTTTCAAGCTAGATATTCGGGTCTGTATCGGAAGCCAGGGTAAGATTCTTATATTGATTATCAGGAGATGTAAAGTCTCATCAATATGGAAATTCAAAAGGCAATACTAGAAAACAAGGAAAGAAATATCAAGAAAAACACTGCCACATTATTACTCCTTTAACAGTTTCTTCTATGATAAACTTATAATATGACATCCACAATTCTTATGAATTGACTGTCACCCAAATAAAAAGCTGTATACATGTGTAATGTATTTTAACTAAGGTTTTAATGATAAAAGAAATTATCTGTTCAGTATTAATACATACCAAATTCAGACAATTTGTAGACTTTACGTCCAACCTTGGCACTATTATTTCCATAAAACATTGGCAGTGTCATATTTCTGTTCTTACAATATTCCTCCAGAACTTCTTTAGGTTTCATTGCATCCCTCCATTTGTTAGGTCCCTCACTGTAGCAAAAAAATATTCAATATTGATGGATTGCATCTTAAATCACAACAAGAGGGCCATGATGGCCCTGAGGTCGCTCACCTGTATATAGCCCCCCCCCCCCAATGTTTACCCAAGGGCTTTTATTTGTTTATTTGAACAAACTTGGTAGATACCCATAAGAAGATGTTTCATGCTAAACATCTATGTTCTAGCTCATTGGGTTTTTTAAAAGAAGATTTTTTAAGTTTTTACTATACACATATAGTTAAAAACAATGACACCCCTGGGGCAGGGCCAGTTTTGACCCCCGGGCTTTTATTTGAACAAACTTTGTAGATATTTACTTAAAGATGTTTTATGCTTAATATCTAAACTCTAGCTATTTGGGTTTTTTCAAAGAAGATTTTTAAGTTTTTGCTATACACATATAAGGAAAATCAATGACCCCCGGGGCGGGCCAGTTTTGACCCCAGGGCTTTTATTTGAACATACTTGGTAGACACCCATTAGAACATGTTTCATGCTACATATCTTAGCTCTAGCTCTTTGGGTTCTTTAAAAGAAGATTTTTTAAGTTTTTACTATATGCATGTAGGGAAAATCAATGACCCCCTGGGGCGGGGCCAATTTTGACCCAAGGGCTTTTATTTCAACAAACTTGATAGACATTCACTAGAAGAAGTTTCATGCCAAATATCTAAGCTCTAGCTCTTAAGGTTCTTTAAAAGAAGATTTTTTAAGTTTTTACTATATGCATATAGGGAAAATCAATGACCCCCTGGGGCGGAGCCAATTTTGCCCCCAGGGTTTTTATTTGAACAAACTTGGTAGACATTCACTAGAAGATGTTTTATGCCAAATATCTAAGCTCTAGCTCTTACAGTTTTTTTAAAGAAGATTTTTTAAGTTTTTACTATATGCATATAGGGAAAATCAATGACCCCCTGGGGCGGGGCCAATTTTGACCCCAGGGCTTTTATTTGAACAAACTTGGTAGACACTCACTAGAAGATGTTTCATGCAAAATATCTTAGCTCTAGCTCTTTTGGTTCTTTAAAAGAAGATTTTTTAAGTTTTTACTATATGCATATAGGGAAAATCAATGACCCCCTGGGGCGGGGCCAATTTTGACCCCAGGGTTTTTATTTGAACAAACTTGGTAGACATTCACTAGAAGATGTTTCATGCAAAATATCTAAGCTCTAGCTCTTACAGTTCTTTAAAAGAAGATTTTTAAAGTTTTTACTATATGCATATAGGGAAAATCAATGACCCCCAGGGGCGGGGCCAATTTTGACCCCAGGGCTTTTATTTGAACAAACTTGTAGACACTCACTAGAAGATGTTTCATGCCAAATATCTTAGCTCTAGCTCTTTGGGATCTTTAAAAGAAGATTTTTTAAGTTTTTACTATATGCATATAGGGAAAATCTATGACCCCCTGGGGTGGGGCCAATTTTGACCCCAGGGCTTTTATTTGAACAAACTTGGTAGACACTCATTAGAAGATGTTTCATGCCAAATATCTAAGCTCTAGCTCTTAGGGTTGTTTAAAAGAAGATATTTAAAGATTTTTCTTTCAGTTGCCATGGCAACCAGAGTTCTGTATGGAATTAAATTCTTTGAACAATTTTTAAAGGTGACCACCAAAGGAACATTCCTGTGAAGTTTGGATGAAATTGGCTCAGTGGTTTATGAGGAGATGTCATTTAAAGCAAAAGTTTACGGACGACGGACGGACGGACGGACGGACGCCGGACGCCGGACGAAAAGCGATCACAAAAGCTCACCCTGTCACTTTGTGACAGGTGAGCTAAAAACACAGTTTATATATGTTTATATATGGCAACTGTCCAAAAATAGACTTCTGTTTTAGTTTATAAAAAAAAACTTAACCTTTATATAACAGAAAATGTTTGTTTTTTCAATTTTCAAATAAATGGCTTGCAGAAGTCTAATATTTTCTTACATTATGTACAATATCAACAAATAATTTATAACCCTTAAATTTATTTAACTTCATATTTATATATATATATATATATAGGACCGACTTTGTACTTGACAAAGAGGTGCTTTAATATTTGTTTGTTTGTTTGTTTGACTGGGTTTTACATCATAACGACACAGTATAGGTCATTTGGCGACGTTTCAGCTTTACTGGTGAAGGAAGACCTCAGGTGCCCTTCCGTGCATTATTTCAGGCATAATGGGGGACCTCAGTAGAACCACCGACATTCCGTAAGCTAACACGATAGCTTACTCACATGAAAGAATCCAAAGTCCCTTTTTGGATTCGAACCCACAGCAGTGAGGGGCAAGTGGTTTGAAGTCAACGACAAACAGATGAGGTAGGTGCTTGAATATATTTAACATTATAAATGCCTTTGCTTTATATACACTACAAAGTCAAACACGCTTCACACTATTCCCCTATCAAACAAATAGGGATAGAAAATGCATTATTACACAATATATGCAAAACATATAAACAAATGCTTCTAAAACATATGACATCATAAAATGACACCAATTACCCAAATAACATTATGAAATTATTTCTAAGCTCAATGTAGTTCCATGTTTTTATCATTCTTGTTTTTATAGCATGTTAGAATGGAAATATATACTGATTTTTCTTGCAATAAAGTATAACAAGAGGGCCATGATGGCCCTGAGGTCGCTCACCTGTATATAGCCCCATCCCCCCCGCAGCGGGGCCAGTTTAAACCCGAGGGCTTTTGTTTGAACAAACTTGGAAGACACCCATTAGAAGATGTTTCATGATGTTAAGTTTTTACTACACACATATAATGAAAAACAATGATTTACCCCCCCCCCCCCCCCGGCAGGGCCAATTTTAACCCAAAGACTTTGATTTGAACAAACTTGGTAAAAGATGTTTCATGCTAAACATCTAAGTTCTAGCTCATTTGGTTTTTTAAAAGAAGATTTTTAAGTTTTTACTGTACACATATAGTTAAAAACAATGACACCCCTGGGGCGGGGCCAGTTTTGACCCCAGGGCTTTTATTTGAACAAACTTTGTAGACACTCACTAGAAGATGTTTCATGCCAAATATCTAAGATCTAGCTCTTTTGGTTCTTTAAAAGAAGATATTTAAAGTTTTTCTTTCGGTTGCCATGGCAACCAGACTTCTGCATGGAATTAAATTCTTTGAACAATTTTTAAAGGCGACCACCAAAGGAACATTCCTGTGAAGTTTGGATGAAATTGGCTTAGTGGTTTATGAGGAGATGTCATTTAAAGTAAAAGTTTACGGCCGGACGCCGGACGAAAAGCGATCACAAAAGCTCACCCTGTCACTTTGTGACAGGTGAGCTAAAAATGCATGGTTTATTGTTCAAACGCTTTGTAATTAATCACTCAGGCCTATTGGCCTTCATGATTATATTCCTGCGCATTCTACATAAATGCACTCAAACTTGATATCCATTTTCCTAAATAAACAAAATTTAAATAAACTAAACTTGTACTATAAGGAACATCGTTCAACAACAATAAGTGAACAATTGGTAATAAAGCTACTTACATACAGTATGACATGGGTAAACCACAAGTAGCCCTGTGTTTAGACAACAACCTATTCTCTAGATCTATCACTGTTTCACCAATCAGATCATCACTGCTCACTAAATCATAGTCCATCACCTTGATTGTTAGATCTTTATACATCGGTAATACAGTTGTTACCTCAAACATCCTGAAAAATATATCAATTCATTCAACATGCATTTATATTGATTACATTTCCATAACCATATTTACATTGAACAACTTTTCTTGCATATCAGACTGGCGTTTCCATTAGTTTTACCCATACCGGAAATTTCATCAGGCATGGGGGTGCCAGATGAGTCGCATACTGTGCAATGGCATGCTTAGGATGACATAATTTTACCGTTATGAATGAAGTTAACGGGTGTAATGACATGTTTTCCATGGAAAATTGTTTCATTAAGAATATAATGGAATATGGTAGAATATGCAAGAAAAAAATATCTGAAATATCTTTGTGTTTCAGATCGGAATATTTGTCCCTCGGTAAGCCTCATTACAAATATGTTTTCTTACATTTGTGTATAATTTCATTATTCAATTTCCACAAAAAGTAAAAAATAACTTGTATGAACTTACGTTCCAAATACGGGGTCGAGACAGTTTGGGATATAGTTGTCTCTACTGTCCATAGATTTATTCCCTATCTTGATCTGTATGTATGGATCTGCCTAGAATAGTAAATATATACATACAGGTACATGATTATACATTTAATGAATAAATTCAAAGCTAAATTCATATGATACAAAAAATCTGAATACAATTTATCTGCACTTGATTTCAAAGAAATAACTAACCATAATGTATATTGGCAATCTGGACCCTTACCAAAAACAAAAACTTTACTTGTCCATAAGTTTAACAGAGATTCAAGAGTTCAGGCCTCGACTTTTTACCCCTTCACTTTTCAGTGATTTTCACTGTATAATTATAAGTGATTTTCTGGCTCAAATTTTGGATAGAAATTAAGATTAATCTTAACCATTAACTTTCAGATTAATTCTGAAAAATTTTTCATTATCATTCTCTCATTATACAGTGAAACCTGTCTTATATGAACTCTTCCAAACCAGAAGAAAAGTTTGGATTAGAAAGGTTTCCGGATTAGACATTTTTTTGCATATCTGTAAAATAAGGGGGCAGGGGACATATTTGAATGATGGCCCCAGGTCAAATTTTTTAATAACTCAGACGTGGTGTTTTGAAGGTACTGGAAACTTCTGATATTTCTCTGTCATTGTAATTATTTCTTGTTTGTGTGTAGTAAATGAGAAGTATTTTTGGGTTTTAAAATACCCGAAACTAAGCATTTTGGTAGCTTTGTATGTATTTGTGACTCTCAGAATGAAGGTGAAAAAGTTAAAAATCAAACTTTGACAGTTGGCGCCAAACAAGTAAGAAATTTTGGATAAATTTTGTGAAAAATCTAATTTTGGATAAATTTTGTGAAAAATCTAAACATATGACAGACACTTTATTGGTCATTTTTGAAAATTCCATTGCTTGCACTGTGCGTAGTGATATTTTTAAAGGGATCGGGCGGATTCTGGAGTATGCTACACCTTCATGAAAATTGCCCATATTGGTATATTTTAGGTGTGATTTTGGCTGGGTGGGTTTATATAAATTGCTGTCAGTCATTTTTTTCAGGAGCAATGCATGCAAACTATTATTTTCTTCAATGTATGTCATATATCATTGAATAATGTTGTGCAACTGGTTATCTGCCTGTGATACAAATTTTGAAATATTTGGAGTTGTGTTTCTGGCTACACTGAAATACAAAATTGTTCATTTTTAGGTCCCCTGCCCCCTTAATGTGAAGGGTAGAAAAGTTAAAGGAAAGAAACCGAAATGCATATGAAATTGCAACATAAATATTTTATTTTTGCAATCTTATAAACTGAGACATATTGTTCATTTTAATGCAAATAAATACAAAACTAGAAATGAGTCCATAGGACACGGGTGCCCCCACACTCCACCAATTTGTCAATCTTATGTCTCTAGGTCAAATTTTTTTTTTGACTACATGTGCCCAAGTTGAAAACTAACAAGAGCTGTCGGTAAGACAGCAACGCTCGACTATTCTAAGTGCTAGATAGTAAAAAAAATGCTTGATAGAGTTACCTCCTTCTGTTTACAGGTTGGGGTCATGATGGTGAACAAGTGTGCAAAGTTTCAAAGCCATATGTCAATGGACTTTGAAAATATTTGAACTATTACAAAAACTGTAACGTAAATTCTAAGTCGAAAAAGGGGCATAATTCTGTCAAAATGCTTGATAGAGTTACCTCCTCCTGTTTACAGGTTGGAGTCATGATGGTGAACAAGTGTGCAAAGTTTCAAAGCCATATGTCAATGGACTTTGAAAATATTTGAACTATTACAAAAACTTTAACGTAAATTCTAAGTCGAACAAGAACTGTCGGAGGACAGTATTGGCTCGACTATTCAAAATGTTGTCACAAGGGTGATTTATTGAGTATAATAATGCTAGTTACCTATGAATACATAAAATTGACTGAAAAGGTACACAGGCTTGTTATAAAGATGTTTTATCAAGTAAATCACTGCTTTATTATTATGAATGCATAAAAATGTCCCCAAAAAGGCACAAACTCTTCAGTAGTTATGGAGATAACAGCTTACAAGCAAAATTTTACTATGAATTTTTAAGTTGAAAAAGGGGAGAAAAATCAGCCTAAATGCAAGATAGAATTATGGATCTTGGTCAGTGACCTACAATTGTGATTCTAAATGCATATGTGAAGTTTTAAATAAATATCTTTAATAGTTATTGAGATATGTAATACTTGCATGTAAACATTAACCAATAGACTAAGTAGAAAAGGGGAGATGAATCAGCCTAAATGCGAGTAGAGTTATGGAACTTGGTCAGTGACATACAATTATGACTCTCCAATTATGACCCTAAGCATGTGTGTAAAGTTTCAAGTAAATATCTTTGAATAACTTTAACCTTTAACCAAAATTTATAAAGGGGCATAATTCTGTAAATATTATAGGCAAAGTTATTCAACTTGTCAATATGATGAACATTGTTACTATAAATAAGTATTGTAAGTTTCAATTGAATATCTCAAGCAATAATTGAGATATTTGAATTTACAAAAACTTAAACCAAAATTTCTAAGTTAAAAAGGGGCATAATTCTGTCAATATTGTAGGCAGAGATATCGAACTTGTCAATCTGATGTATTTTGTTACTATAAATAAGTATTGTAAGTTTCAATTGAATATCTCAAGCAATAATTGAGATATTTGAATTAAAAAAAATTTTAACTAAAATTTCTAAGTTAAAAAGGGGCATAATTCTGTCAATATTGTAGGCAGAGTTATCAAACTTGTCAATCTGATGTATATTGTTACTATAAATAAGTATTGTAAGTTTCAATTGAATATCTCAAGCAATAATTGAGATATTTGAATTTACAAAAAACTTTAACCAAAATTTCTAAGTTAAAAAGGGGCATAATTCTGTCAATATTGTAGGCAGAGTTATCTAACTTGTCAATCTGATGTATATTGTTACTATAAATAAGTATTGTAAGTTTCAATTGATTATCTCAAGCAATAATTGAGATATTTGAATTTACAAAAAACTTTAACCAACGCAGACGCCGACGCGGACGCGGACGCCGACGCCGACGCCGGGGCGACTAGAATAGCTCTCATATTCTTCGAATAGTCGAGCTAAAAATCTTTTATTAAGTAAAGGGCAAATAATACAAATACTGAATTAAGCCACAAGAAAACCCCAAGGTGCATAAGTACACATGCTGACCAACATGTAACTTGTAAACTTTCAGGCCTACAGGTCATAAACTTTTTGAGTTACGTGCAACACAAGTTAAATATTGTTAATTTTTACTAAGTCAAGGGCAATAACTCTAAAAATACTAAAAATATCCACACAAAAATACCCAGGTGCAAAACTACACATGCTGAGCAACATTCCTGTAAGGTTTCATGACTCTAGGTCAAATGCTTTTTTAGTAACCTGCGACACATGTTGAAAATTGGAAATTTTTACTAAGTCAAGGGCAATAACTCTAAAAATACTAAAAATATCCCCACGAAAATACCCAGGTGCACAACTACACATGCTGAGCAACATTCTTGTAAGGTTTCATGACTCTAGGTCAATTACTTTTTGAGCTACGTGCGACACATAAAGGGAACTGACGGACGAACCGATGGACACAAGTACCTCTGGGTATGTACGGACGGACGGACGGATGGACAAGGGTAAATCTAAATGCCCCCCCTATAGTGGGGGCACAAAAATACATGTATTTGTTCTAAAACTTACCAGTCCAGTAGGATCATTAGGCTGTAACCCTTCAGCTCTGATACAGTATATTCTTATGACACAATCCTCTGGTTCACTTGATGGCACATTGCCAAGAACTTTCACTGGAATCTCCTCATTGGGATCCGATGGCAGTGGATACACTTTAAATGCACCCTGAAAATATAAATGAGCCGCGTCACGACAAAACCAACATAATGTTGTTAAAATCTCACCAACACAGCTTTATTGTTGGAGGAAGACCAATCTCCTACGCAGTGATCTCCCCTTAACAGTACAGAGATCTCTGCCACCACGATCTGATATATCAGACTTTCTGATATTTTATATTTTTTAGCTTTTTAATTTATTTTTCATTATTTTGTATACTTTTGATAATTTTTTGATAAACTATAATGAACGTAGGTACGAAAAGTTAAAAATAAAACAAAAAGAAAAATGACTTTCTATGCAACGGTCAATATTTACATTTGAATATTGACGTTACGTCATGTGACTTTCATCATCATGTGACGTCTGTGAAGGCAGTGATTACAATTCTGCCAAGGGAGGTTATCACTGTGAGGAGTTTGGAGGAAGACTTCAGGTGCCCCATACATGCATTAATTCAAGTATGAACATGGCACCTGAGTAGAAACCCTTTAAACCCTAACCATGCTTAAATATCTTAAATGCACTTGCTACTTTTTACTCTTGACAAAACAATTCATCATTTCTAGGGACAATTTTGAAATAAGAACATACTGAATATATAGTGAACAGTGCAGATCATGATCAGAATGCACAGATGTCCTGGCTGATATTGGTCTTCAATTGCAGCATGATTAGCCAGGAAACTTGGGACTTATATCTTGCAAATCATCAGATTCCATTTTATGATAAAAATCATATTAAATTTGTCACAAAAATAATTAAACAGGCAGACTGTTTTGTATATTTGATAATAAACTGGGCCAGAATTTTTTTACACACAATAAAACATGTAACATGTGATAAATGTTACCTTGAACTGTCCAATGATATTAGATTCTTCATCATCATCATCCTTGCCTCTCTGAAGGTCAAATGTCTCACAGAAATCTACAAACTCTCCAAAACCATCTTTCTTCTCCAGTTCAAATTCATACACCTGTATGTAGACATAGACCATTTAACGTGATGTCAATGAAGCATAAAATTTATAATCATATTGAGCTTAGTCTAAATCCACACCTTCTTTGCTGCTTACATACAGCAATTACAACTTCTGACAACTCCACCAGCGATTTTACTTTTTTGAACAGTGGTCTATCTTAATTTGTGTTTGTATGCTGAGGACAAGAATTCAAATTCTGCACAGCGCGGGATTTTTTTTTTCTGATGCATTTACAAATCTGGAAAAAGTTAAATTGCAAGGCATTTGTGTAAACTTGAGGATAAATAACATAAAAGAATATTAATTTTTGAAATGTAACATTTTGTTAACTTACAGCAATTTTGTCCATATCTTTGTTGAGGTATTTCTGACATTTCTCCGTCTCACCAATAGAAGCGTAATATTTTGACCACCAGTCTATATCCTGATAATCTACCTCTTCCTGCAACAAATAAATAACAAATAAATAATAAAACAACAAATAATAAATCAACAAAAAATAATAAACAACAAATAAATAATAACCAACAAGTTATTAACAACAAATAATAAATCAATCTCATTAAAATCATGATCCTCAAAATCTTCGCCAGGTATCAAAAGGTAATGGAGCAAAAACAATGATCTGATTTTAAAGATTGATAATATATAAACAATAAATGTAATTAATAACAAATAATAAATAAACAACAAATACAATAAACAACCAATTATTGACAACACCTGTACACACCTAACAAACTCAAGTTGAATGATTCCATTTTCATAAAATCAAATTTTTCAAGAATGGATAAAGTATTTAATAAAGGTTTCATGAAAAAAAAAATTGTTATAACATATTACAGGTTATATGCAACATATGATTTAACTTTTACTACCACTATTTTATCATCATACCCTATTACAAATTGAGTAATGGCTTTTCACAAACATCACTAAGTGAACGAGAGGGAATTCAAAGTTGATTAAGTCATATAAGTCTGTAACTTAATTGCATAAATTGACTTCAAAGGTTATGCACTAGACTTGGAATACATGAAAATTAGATTCTTTACAAGTCAAGAATTCTGTATAGTTTGACGGCAAAAGAAATTCACATGAAAGTTAAATTATAGCAGTACTGTTATGCATTCTTGATTTGTGAAACAACATAGTTCTTTAATTTCTTTAATAGTTTATAATTATACATAATTACATATTTCACATTAAATTAATATACACCATTTATAATGGCATAAGTAAAAAGATGAACAATCAAAATACTTATCACCAATCAAAATATATATATTATAATCAGCAAAGGTAGAACTCTGTATCTAGTCTGAGAACCATTGTGTGAATATTAGTATGAACAGTATGTTATTAGTATAAACATTATGTTATAAGAATAAGTATAACACTGTTATAATATAGCCGTATTATTTTATGCTACTGTGAATATCTCTGATTAAGGAGATTCAGATATAAACTCTGCAAAGAAATATGAAAGCATAATAAATTTTTAGGTCCAATATAACTAAGTTGTAAGGATTTAAAACTATGCAAAGCAATGAAAGCAAAAGCAATTTTTTGGGTCCAATGTAACCAAGATGTAACACAATTGTCACGCTATATGCAAGCAGTGGTAATGATTTGCCAGTTGCACCAGTATACTGGCCACCTTTGCAGACTGATTAGACTCTTATCTATACTTTTTGCTTTTACTATTTTTTATATTAAAATCCATTCTATATAAAAATGGACAGTTTTATAATTCAGAAGTTCATTATATAGCTTAAAGGAACTCCAATGAAGTCCAAAAGCCTAAAAAAACATAAAATTTGATTATTTTTGTTATTAATCAGCTTGAGCACTTAAAAGAGAAAGATATGCAAAAGCTATTCAGAAAAGTACTCAGAAATAGATTGAAAATCGTTTTTTCTGTGCTCTTCTTCGCCCGATTTCAATTTTGCGCAGTTTTTCATAATAAGAATAATTATTCTGGACAAACAGATTGAGGGAATAGTCTGAAATTTTGCACACAAGTCCTTTGTCTACCCTACATCAAATGGAACATTTATCTAGAAAAAATATTTTCAGTCCCGTCATATCAAAACACCTCAGTGGAGTCCCTTTAAGTAAGGTACAAAGTTGTAAAGAAACCGTATATTGTATTGAGAATGCAATTTATCACATGCTATCTGATTTATAGTACATGTATATTCCATACTACCAAATAAAGGGAAAGGAAAAGCACAATCAAGAATGAAACAAATTTTTTTCAATGTTAAAACTAAAACATTTACACTGAATCTGAAGGTTTTGGTTTTTGCCTTGTTTTTCTTTATTAAAGTTTTGTTATTGTTGTGTTCTTTGTATGGGGGTTTTCTTTTGGGTTTGTGTTTTTGTTGTTTTTTTTTATGAAAATTAAAGCAAACAGTTTGCAAATTTTCACACAAAGAGGTCAACATCTGAGGCAGCTATTTTAAATGACTGTGAAGACTGCAAATTCAAATAAATTCTTGAATTACACATTTCTTTTAATTACTAAAAAATAGGCTTGTTAAGGGGTTATGTGCAGGACTATAATTATATAATTACATTTATTTCTAATTTTATAAGTCTGTTTTGAAAGTTTAACAATATTAAAATACAATGCCCATATACATGTACATATATTTTCAAAGAGTAAAGAAAAAAGCCAAACACTTTAATATGAGAATGATAACTAAGCTACTTTTAGATATATATGTTTCCTTTTGTAATATAGAGCCTGACCTATATCACACAGGACAGGAGTAATGTGTTAGTAGAGTCGAGTGTTATAGCAAAGCTATTTTTAGAGGCAAAGACAAACCTCTCGGGACGGCTTATTCAATGGTTTCAGACTAGAGAGTTCTTCCTGAGGGTAACTATATGTCACATCTCCAAACATCTATAAATATACATGCACTTACTCTTGAACATTTCTCATAGAAACTAATTTCTACAAAGATGGCCAACCCAAGATTTGTTTTTTAGCTTATTGTGTTTCATTACGTGCACATCTTTTTGAACTTCGAGCAGCATTATACTTTAACACTTTACCTGCTAAATTTGTGTTGTTTTGAATTTGAAACAGTTTATTTAAATTTTAAGGGATTTCATTAGCAAAATAAATGTTACTTATTTTAAATATCAAGCTACTTAACTTTTATAAACTTATATAGTCGCATGTTCAGACTGCACAATTTTCTACTGGATCACTTTCAGTTCCTGCACTTTAACAGGTTAGAGTCAACTTACATAACTTTATAAACTAGTGACATTAATGACTTGCTGAGACCATCAGTAGTGAGACAGACTAACAGGCTCTTCTATATTATTGGCTGCTATATTTTCAATATTTTGAAGCTTTTACTTCCTCAAACTGTTAATGGGCTGTTCCAAATTCAAACCAAGGCAAATCTGCTACTCAAAATGAGCAAATTAAGGCTTCAAGATGCTTTGAGTATCACGAAACCTGACTTAATTAGTCTTCTCCCAATTCTGCCCATAGAAATAAATCTGTTCATTATCAAGAAGAAAATAGTCATTGAATATTTCCCTTTTTACAAATTTTTCCTGCATGTATGACACAAAAACATCACATGAGTTGGCCACCTTGCTCATTGACACCAATCCACATGTTAAATTTAATGTTTGGGGTTATCTCATTTTGATTTTAATATCTGGATGACATCTATAAGATATTTTCTATTATTTCCAAGAATGAAAGAAATGAAAGCAGATTAAATCAATTTAAAAATATAGTATAAAATTCAGAAAGTTGACATAGTGAATTCTTTGGCATGTCTTTCAAGTTTACAAATGGATAACTTGTTCCAATAAGGTCATGCATTACGTTTTCCCAAGCACAAGCTCTACTACATTCTTATTACAAAACTCTATTCCTAAATTCCAATGTTGGCCTTTGAAGTATTATGTATAAATTAACATAAACCAATATATTATGAACACTTGATTCAACATGATACAAAAAAAATGAAAAGAAATAATCATTAACTTTCACAAAAATGAAGCAAATATAATAAAAACTGATAATTCAGCATCAACAAAATTAATAATGATGAGAAGAGAGTCCAGGATGAGAACAATAAAAACATACAGAATATCATTAACAAAAATTTCAAAACAAGATGTAGTCATCAAAAGCCATAAATAATATAAACTTTATAACTGACATCCAATTATCCTAGCAGCTCAATCCGAGCAGTTTAAAAGCTCAAGTGAGCTAAAAATAGAGAGAAAAAAAGAAACAAGAGGGCCATGATGGCACTGAGGTCGCTCACCGGTATATAGCCCCCCCCCCCCCCCCCGGGCCAATTTTTACCCAAGGGCTTTTATTTGTTTATTTGAACAGACTTGGTAGACACCCATAAGAAGATGTTTCATGCTAAACATCTAAGTTCTAGCTCATTATGTTTCTTAAAAGAAGATTTTTAAAGTTTTTACTATACACATATAGTTAAAAACAATGACACCCCTGGGGCAGGGCCAGTTTTGACCCCCAGGCTTTTATTTGAACAAACTTTGTAGATATTTACTTAAAGATGTTTCATGCTTAATATCTAAACTCTAGCTATTTGGGTTTTTTCAAAGAAGATTTTTAACTTTTTGCTATACACATATAAGGAAAATCAATGACCCCCAAGCGGGGCCAGTTTTGACCCCAGGGCTTTTATTTGAACATACTTGGTAGACACCCATTAGAACATGTTTCATGCTAAATATCTTAGCTCTAGCTCTTTGAGTTCTTTAAAAGAAGATTTTTTAAGTTTTTACTATATGCAGATAGGGAAAATCAATAATCCCCTGGGGCGGGGCCAATTTTGACCCCAGGGCTTTTATTTGAACAAACTTGGTAGACACTCATTAGAAGACGTTTCATGCTAAATATCTTAGCTCTAGCTCTTTGGGTTCTTTAAAAGAAAATTTTTAAGTTTTTACTATATGCATATAGGGAAAATCTATGACCCCCTGGGGCGGGTCAATTTTGACCCAAGGGCTTTAATTTGAACAAACTTGGTAGACACTCACTAGAAGATGTTTCATGCTTAATATCTTAGCTCTAGCTCTTTGGGTTCTTTAAAAGAAGATTTTTTAAGGTTTTACTATATGCATATAGGGAAAATCAATGACACCCCCGGGGGGGGGGGGGGGGGGGGCCAATTTTGACCCCAGGGCTTTTATTTGAACAAACTTGGTAGACATTCACTAGAAGATGTTTCATGCCAAATATCTAAGCTCTAGCTCTTATGGTTCTTTAAAAGAAGATATTTAAAGATTTTTCTTTTGGTTGCCATGGCAACCAGAGTTCTGCATGGAATTAAATTCTTTGAACAATTTTTAAAGGTGACCACCAAAGGAACATTCCTGTGAAGTTTGGATGAAATTGGCTCAGTGGTTAATGAGGATGTCATTTAAAGCAAAAGCTTACGGGCGGACGACGGACGGACGGACGCCGGACGAAGAGCGATCACAAAAGCTCACCCTGTCACTTTGTGACAGGTGAGCTAAAAAGAAAATAAAATTCTAAAAATAGCATTCCGTTAACATTCAAATTTAATCTCACAGTCATCAATGGAGCCATAGACATTACAAAAGACTCTCTCGCTATTAGTTTGGATCCTGATTTTACTTTTTTCTTTTTCTGTAATAATAATGAATCATGCTTATCAAAAGCCACTTTAATGTCAACACTAAAAGGTAACATAAAGGGATTTGGCTATTGCTTGTCTTGTTTGTACACCCACATGTAGTTCAGCAACATTTTTGGTCACATTTCAGCAGTGGGTTGACAAGATTATTGTTTCCTTCAGTGTATTAGTATTAGTTACGGATATATTTCTACAAAATATTTATTTTTTTGCAACAATTAACCACATAAAATTTCTAATTCAGCCACAGTCAAAGTTACACAGAATCTGTATCCATAAAACTGTCTCTTTTATAACATTAACCTTAAACCCTGAAAAGAATTAAATGCCAAATATTTCTTACTTGGAAAAGAAACTCTTCATTTTATCTTGGTTTGTTTCCAACTAACATTACTACTACCTGACTGGTTCAGAATTAGAAATAAAGCTGTTAATACTATTTTCTAGAATTAGCTTAAATAAGACTCCAATGACCTTGACCTACCTTTTTAGGAGATTCACCTTCTGCTGGCATGTCCACAACATGTTCTCCACCAGGGCCATTTCCAACAATTGCTGAGAAAAATTAAGATAGGTCAGTATTTTGAAGATCAAGCAAAAAACTATTAAATTTTAAACTTGGAAACTAAAACATATAGTTATCACATAAACCATGGCACAGACGTGTAATAAAGCCATTTGATTAAAATGATATTACACTAAATTTGAAGTGATGTCATGTACGTTATAAATTACCATAAAAGCGCGCTAATGTTAATGTTACATTATAGGCGCGTCCATGACAATTTACAATTCTTTTTTTAGGTATGTGATAAATAGAAAATTATATTTGTATAGATTCAATGCTAAATTTATTGATTTATTTATTCTATATTTATCACTGGACAAAGCCATCTTCATAATTGATGCATTTTAACTTTTATTTCTAATATCAGTATGAGTTTGTGTTACTGGAATAAATGGGAGAACGAAATGGTTGTTTAATCTCCAATCCATTTTTTTGGATTTTCCAATTTGGAAAAATTGTTTAATCTCTAGTAATGTTATACATATACCTTGCTGGTCATCTTCATCGAGATCGCCCTGCATGACGGGGTCAATGCGGAATTTCTCTAGAGATTTCAACACATGAAGACCAACTGTAGGTTTACGTCCAAACTGTCGATGGTCCCTAACTCTGATGTTTACTGGAGGCATGTACAACTCTTCTTTTGGAAGCATCTAATTATCATAATAGCAAACCTCGTTAGTGATATATGATTGGCAATCATATATTGTCAATAAACAAAATTGTATAAATGCCGATACAAGTAATTGAAGGGATTTAGCCTTCAGCAAAGAGTCCCAGGTCTGACTGCATATAAACATTTTATAATATGTCAGGTCTTTAATGTACTCTAATGTAATGTAACCATTTCCAAATTGTTTAAATTATATAAATTATGTTCAACATAAAGCAACATTTCTTGCCCATTTTGGGCTAAATTGTAATGAAATGAAAAAAATTAAATTCTTTATCATTTATAAACAATTACATTTAACTCCCCCCAGACATCGTATTGATACTTGTGTCTGGCCCCTTTCTTTCTAACTTTTTCTAAGACTTGTAACACATTAATTAAAATGATAACTCAAGTAGGATCCTGTGTAACCAACACTTAAGAATTTGATTTAAATCAACAGTTCATGTCTATCACATATTTACAAGTGGAGCTTTATAACAAGTTGCTGCAAACACCAACATTCTTCTTTCCATTAGTTATGCAAATAACTTAAATGCTAAGGGCTGAAATTTGGAAATATATTTACTTACCACATCAAAGAACAGATGGGGTGTACCAAAGTTAGGATTCCTTTTAGTATTTTTGATCATGTTTGACTGCACAACATTACCAGATACCTCAAACTCGATGCTTGGTGATGTAACAGAGGAGAGCTGGTATTTCTTCATGTTCCTTACACCCCAACATAACACCTGGAAAAAAATAAATACCGTAAAATCCCAATTTAACGCCCCCAGGGGCGTAACATTTTTCAAAAGAGGGGCATTTCATAAAGATAAAAAAAAAAGATACAAAAAAAATCTTTGATCTTGCCGACAATCTGAGGTAATCAATGCTACTTTCCTAATTCAAAATTTGTCAACAGACCCACTTCTAGATCTGTGTAGTTGTCCAGGTGCAAAGCTATAACGATAGTGTGTGTACTGAAAATATGTTTACCGTTTTGTGTTTTTAACATTTACTTTTTTCAAATAGACTACACTCTTTTTACTGAACTTTAAAGTGTTTAAGTTTTGATTCACGGATATTTTTCATAAATGGAATGATATTGGATATACCATAAATCGCCAAACTAGTAAGAGAGTTTCTTTATTTGTTTGTTTAAATTATATAAAACAAGTTGGTGGTGGCGTAAAAAGTATTTCAAAAGTGGGTGGGGGTGTTAATTAGGGTGGGGGCGTTAAATCGGGATTTTACAGTACACATATTTCTATTTAAAGTTTTATTTTTGGAAGATGACCCACAAAGTGATCCTTCATTAAAAATATGCTCAATTCTACTAGACAAGCAATAAATATAATATCATTCTGTCATATGTAGCAGTTCCGATTGAAAATCCTTTCCGACGGGATTCGCCATTACCCAAGAGACAGATATTCCTATCTGAACTGCAAACAAATGTCAGATATTTTTTCAACAAATTTCCATGGAATATAATATCTTTTCATCCATAACTTTTTTCTTACAATAGTGTATGAATTTAAAACTTTATTCATAACAGCCAAATTACATCATCCTAAACAGGTAATTTCATTCTAATAATTTTACGCCAAAATGAAGTCATTTTAACGTGCTTTATTGATGCGCTATAAAATGCGCTAAAATGACGCTATTGTACAGCACTTTTCATTATTTTGTCAATTTTTCTAAAAGTCGTCATCTTAATAATCGTGTAATAATCTCACCTCTATACCAGTCCTTTGCATCACAGGTCTGATTCCGTTAGGTACAGTGAAAAGATTACCTCGTTTTGGTGGCATAAAAGGTAGGTCTTTTCCATTCATCTGAAAATAATTATTCATAAATTAAATATATTTACCAATGACATATTACACTCACTCACCAATCAAATTCTATTACATGTATATATTCTATAAACAAGAAATTCATCTGAAAGCCAATACTATTGAAATTTGTTGAAATAGAAAATACAATTTTGTGTTCAAAGTTGACCTGATTTCATATCAATTTTCTCCCTCAGAATTTCAATATACAACTTAACAATAAATAAAATTACTGAAGTATAATTTTAAAATTGAGATTAAAACCTGAAATAAGCACATAACAAAAATGTTAGTCAATACTAGCAATGAGTACAGGCAAACTAAATGTTAAAATCTAGTGTAATATATACTTGTTTAAATCTAGTATGATATGTATAGGTTAGTGTTTAATAATACGTATTAACAAAAATAATTTGATCAAGCGGGCTGCAGGCACCCGAACAAATAATTTTTGTTAATGCGTATTATTAAACATTTGAACCTATTCAATGATCAACATTTTTATCTTTTAACCCAAAACAAAGCATTTCTCTAATCTGTTTATAGTTAGACTGGTTAGCTGACTGATTAAGTAAATTTTTTTCGTTAGTACACATTAACCAAAGTTAGACTTAGCAGAAATTTGAAAAATACTGCAATGTGATTGGCTAAAAAATAATGTTGATAATTTAATACTATCATATATTATTAAATCACCATTATCTCTAAAAACGCTCAATTAATTATCTGTTAAAAGGGAGAATACAGAATTATTATATCATAATTGCATGCATGAGTTATAATAGAATTCTTATCTACACATATGAGGAACACATGCATTGTTCAAAAATATATATACTTCCAAATTCCTGTACCTAATAATTATTAATTTTGGAAACACAACCAGTTCACAAGATTTTTTCCCTGCTTTTGCCTATTTTGACCTTTATTAAAACAAGGTAAATTGCTTTCAGCTACATTAAATCTATTAATTGTCATCTGCATAATTATTCTGCATCTAGAGACCCTGGTAGGATTTAACAAGGGGGAGAATCACGCCGTTCGTTACCCAAACAAACAAGATGGCGGATGCAGCCAAAAAGTAGGTTTTTCCCTTTTTTCTCTGAAATTCGTGATGTTCTGATGTTAAAGTACATATAACAACCTTCTACACAATTTTCCTGGCACACAGGATGTTATTTCATGATGTTTCGTCCCATACTTCATCTGAAATGCGCGTCACCAGATTCGAAGCGAGAGAATTTTCCACCGGTTTGATCGTGGTAACGTACGGCTTTTTTCTCTCAAATTCACTGTTTCTTTTACATATATGTATATTAACTGAAACCACTGACTTAAAAAAGTTGTAATATGTTGTCAAGTAAGCATTCATGCCAATTCTGGCTAGATTTACTGCTGTGAAATATTAAATATCGGGGCATTTTGATAAATGATAACGTATTGGCGCACAAAAATATCAATGATAACGTACGGCGCATTTTTTTCTGATTAATTGATTTTCTTTATAATAGAAAAAATATGTTTACAAGACATAAGTGGATGTGTAGAACCAAATTAAGAAACTGAAATAAAAAATATCAGTGTCCAGCTTTATTTGTCATCCAATGAAAGCGTTGTATTTCTTTAAAAAAAATTGTGTAAATTTTCATAAAAAAGAAGAACAAAAGTCGATGATACATCAAAGTCCGTTCATAGCAGCCTTTTATTTTTCATAGTACTTCATAGAACCGCGTTTGTGCAAATGGACAGGTATAGTGATGAAATAAAGTTAATACTAATGAAGCCAAATGAAGCTTGACACTAGCTGTTCTACAGAAATAAGAAATATTCTCCGGTCGCTATCGCTCCCGTCGAAATAGAAAAACACGGATGAACACTTACATATACTTCATAGATAGTGTAAGAGTAGCGTAATAATTTTTAAAATTGTTCTTTCATAAAGATAATGACGTCATTTAAGCACATGAGCGGTCTGGCATTAAAGGTTTCAGACGGGTTTCCGGCATGGATAAAAACACCGAAGTCCAAATACAATTTGAAACTTCATAATTAACGCTAGAAATTAATAAGCAAATTCCAATGTCACTCTTTTATTGCTGATACCTGCAATACTTTTTTTAAAAGAAATTATTGTTTTTGTTGGGGCGTTTGTGAAAAAAAACGCCAGAATATGATAGTCAAATTCTTGCATGTAATTGTTTTAATCAACTTATGACATTCCTTTTATTTACAATTATGAAATCCGCAACTGATGCGAAGGGACCTTCATATTTTTAGGATATATGTATAAACAACGGTAATTGCGTTTCTGTGTTAAAAATCGATTTATATACAACAATTTTGCATTAATAGTTCATGTAATGTATGCTTTTTGTATGTATGTACATGTATACGTGTGTATGTATATGTAAATACAAGAGACCTATAAGTTACTGGTTTAAAGATCAATTTTGAAAATGTTCATTATGTAACTCCTTCAGAAAATTTCGGCTGGTATTTACCCCTTTACCTCATATATACGCGAAACAACACACTTTTCGACCCCTTTTAGGCCCTCAGTGAAAAAAATGTCCTTTTTTGGACCCCAAACACATGTTTTCGTTTGAGAAACGTTGCTAAAAAAGTGAGCACTTTTTCGGCGCCGCCCCCCATCCAAAAGATAACATCAGGGGGTTGCCAGAAGGGGATGTGGCCCCCCTTCTGTTTTGGGGGGTTTGAAGAGGGGCGGTAGTCCCCCTCATCGCCTAAGAAAATTTTTGGACTTGCGAGAGACTAAAAATGACCCAGGTCGATCATAAGGTAACGTGTAACCAACGGCTGAAAAGCCTTTGACTCTATCCTCAATCCCTTGAGAAGTTGCAGCACTTTGAAATAAATTTTGATGAAAAAACTCAAGGCAAAATAGTGATTTATGGCAATATTGAGAATGTCCCCATGTTGCCATGGTAACAGGAAATTTTAGACGGAGCATGTCGTTAACAAAGGCAATGGTCCAAGTCAACATTTGTGCCAAGTTTGATTAGTATTGAAAACATTTTTCAAAGTTTCATAGCAGTTTTGAACTTGTTAACAGGGGCTTTTTTAATGAAAACGGCCATTTTTCACAATATGGCTCATGAGGGGAAAGGAGTTACATGTTTATATGAACTGTTCGTTATTATGCATGTTTTATGTCCTCATTGGCTTTAAAGCCAAATGGAATAAAATAAAATGTCTACTGTCTACTATAATAAAAAAACTGTGAGGCTATGTCGCGTAATTATATCTGACGCCAAAGTGGCACAACGTCACGCTAAATGGTAGCGTTTTAATATTAACCGCCCGTCTAATAAACAATTTTTTTTTTTATTTACTAAATTCAATTAAGTTTTTCGCATAACATTATTTTCTAACTCGTTCAATAAACTCATTATAGAACCTACATTCATTCATTTTTCTCTGTTATGTATTTTTCTTTCAATTAGCGACCATATTGAATAAACACAGGCTCATCTCATCTGGGTGTAAGCTAGTCGCAATCAATTTTCGTTTTTTAAATGTTGACGGGTTCAAATATTAAGATTTCCTTATCAGAAATTTGTTAGGAATGATTTGGAAAAGAAAATATATCAAGCCGTCCGTACCTTTTTAACATTTTTGCTCTGCTGAATGCGTTTCTTCTTTCCAATTAGGGGATAAGACCATAATTATCGCACAACACTGGCGAAATTTAATGTAAAGACAACAACACACAAATGTTTCCTTAATGCTATACAAAATATTCTCAAACTATACACGTGTGTTTTAATTGGTATATTAACAACGAATATATACTATGCCACCAGCTAGAAAGATATTTATTTCCGATAGTACAGCATTGTTCAATTAATTATTTCTTACCGGACCCACATTTTTTTCAGATAACTATCATTTCCTACACTAGAAATGTGTCATCATGCCACGGATGCCCCCGCATGTAGCCAAAATTTCAGATGTTATAATATTTAGTTCCAAATTTGTTTGCACAAATTATTTTTTTCATTTTAAGTTCAAAGCCCTTAAAACTTTTCAATGTTAACACAAACCATTTTCATACAATGTTCAAGGCACTGAAATTATTCAGTCTAAACCTTTTGAAAATAGCATATTTCATATTTGTAGCCAAAATAATGGCTACATTCATTTCAGTGCTGAAAATGAAAGTTCAAAATTTTTCCAACATGCAAGAAAGATAAGTTTGTCCAAAATCATTGAACCACGACCAAATTCAAACTTAAACTGCTTATTCCTAAGATGTATCTATATTATTTTCAAAGTGAAAGGGACATAACTCTGCCAAAAAGTCATCGAACCATGACCAAATTCAAACTTGACCTGCCCATTCCTTTGACATATCCATATGTCAAATTTGAGTAGTTGGGTAGATAATGAACAGAAACTGTAAATTTCATATTATTTTCAAAGTAAAAGGGGCATTACTCTGCCAAAAATCATTGAACCATGACCAAATTCCAACTTGGCCTGGGCATTCCAAAAATATATCCATATGTCAAATTTGAGTTGAATGTGTTGTACCATTGGCGAGATAATGAACGGAAACTGAAAATTTCATATTATTTTAAAGTAAAAGGGGCATAACTCTGCCAAAAATCATCGAACCATGACCAAATTCGAACTTGACCTGTATTTTCTCACGACATATCCATATGTCAAATTTGAGTTGAATGTGTGCAACCGTTACTAAGATAATGAACGGAAACTGATGATGACGGAATGACAGACTGACGGAATGACGGAAGGACGGAATGACGGAAGGACGGAATGACGGAAGGACGGAACAGGGTAACACTATATGCCCCGGCCATTACATGGCGGGGGCATAATAAAAATAATTCATTATCAGCTTATTGGACAAATTGAAATCCACCAAGTAATAAAATGCGCCGTACGTTATCATTGATATTTTGTGCGCCATACGTTATCATTTCCGAAAAATGCCCCGATATTAATATTTAAGCAGTAAATCTAGCCAGAATTGGCATGATTGCTTACTTGACAACATATTACAACTTTTTTAAGTCAGTGGTTTCAGTTAATATACATATATGTAAGAGAAAAAGCCGTACGTTACCACGATCAAACCGGTTGAAAATTCTCTCGCTTTGAATCTGGTGACGCGCATTTCAGATGAAGTACGGGACGAAACATCATGAAATAACATCCTGTGTGCCAGGAAAATTGTGTAGAAGGTTGTTATATGTACTTTAACATCAGAACATCACGAATTTCAGAGAAAAAAGGGAAAAACCTACTTTTTGGCTGCATCCGCCATCTTGTTTGTTTGGGTAACGAACGGCGTGATTCTCCCCCTTGTTTAAACCCACTGCTTAAAGGGCCAGTGACTGAATTAAGGATTTTCACCTCTTATTTACAAGGGATATGATGAAATTTAGATATATGACTAATTTTGTTTGTTTGTTTTGGGTTTTACGTCACATTGACACAGTATAGGTCATATCGCGATGTTTCAGCTTTACTGGTGGAGGAAGACCTCAGGTGCCCTTCCGTGCATTATTTCAGGCACAAACGGGCACCTAAGTAGAACCACCGACATTCCAAAAGCTAGCTGGATGGCTTCCTCACATGAAAGAATCCAAAGTCCCTGTCGGGATTCGAACCCACAGCGGTGAGGGGCAAGTGGTTTGAAGTCAACAACCTTAATCACGCGGACACGGACGCCCCTATATGACTAATTTGATATCATCTTTGAGTGGTATGTTGAATATTGCTTATCTTTTAACATATCATTATTTAATTTTGTTAGTCAAACATGTTAAGCATCAAGCCAAATTTAAAGTCATATCCAGATAGAAAAGCTTTCAATTGGGATACTTCCATATCTGTTTGGTCCTTTAGTTTTGTTTTGTGTGTTTGTTTGTTTGTTTCTCTTTTCTATTTACTTCAAAGAAAACAGAATATTTTCCTCTTTAAACAGAACACCACTCTATTCACTTTAAACAGAACACTTTCCTTTCAACTATAAATTGAACACTTTCTTTTCATCATTGTTTAGTATACATTGATTTTTCTACAGCAAATTTTAAGACCAAATAATATAAAATAAAAAAGAAAGGTATGTCTCAGAGAATTCTAGAATAAAATCATAAAATATATTTTTGTCACTAGCTAATTATATAATCTACACATTTGAGAGTTAGAAGGAAGACATGGAAAATACTTATACATGAAAAGACATGTAATTCTATCTTATTTTCTATGGCAACCACCAGGTCCACCACCAGCTAATTAGCTGCAAAGAAGTCTATACAGGTATAAGTAGTGAAACTCCATATTAAATTTACTAGCAAAAATTATAATTATACAATTAAAAACTTTCATTTCTAGTTATTAACCATGCTATGTTTATATTTAAATACTGAATGGATTCTTTATCACAATTTTTAGACTCTTTGTAGGACGTTGCCTTAATGTAATTGAGACAAAGTTTCTGTCACAATATTAAATGACTATTAATCTTTCAACCAATTAGCTTGTAATTGCTGGATCATAACAAGACAAACATCTGGAGACTAGCACCGCATTATTTCTTATTCCAATCAGGTGAAAACATAGCAATTTTTCTTGCTTTTTTTGTAAAAAAAAGAGCAAACAGTGCAAATAAATAAATACAAGAGCGATCAGTGATCACATGTGTCGCCTCATGATGGCTAATTTCATGTTGGGACAAGTTTTGTGACAGACAGACAAACAGACGGACAGTGCACAACAAGACTTGGTACTGATCATTCCTGTAAAGTTTGGATAAAATTGCACTAGTAGTTTATGATAAGTAGTCCGGACAAGCTTTTGTGTATCTGGCAACACACAGAAAAAAAACACCTTTTTATCAAAGGGCCATAACTCAGATAAAAATCATTCAACCGGAAAACCCGTGCAATATGCGCAAGGACTTGAGCTACAGATCAATCCTGTAAAGTTTCATTGAAATTGCATTAGTGGTATAAGAGAAGTAGTCCGGACAAACTTTAAAAATAAAAAATATTAAAGGGCCATAACTCTTACAAAAATCATTGAACCGGAAAATGCTGACAATATGCACAACAAGACTTGGTACTGATCATTCCTGTAAAGTTTGGATGAAATTGCACCAGTAGTTTATGAGGAGTAATCCGGACAAGCTTTTGTGTATCTGGCAACACACAGAAAAAAACACCATTTTATCAAAGGGCAATAACTCGGATAAAAATCATTCAACCGGAAAACCTGTGCAATATGCGCAAGGACTTGAGCTACAGATCAATCCTGTAAAGTTTCATTGAAATTGCATTAGTGGTATAAGAGAAATAGACAGGACAAACTTTTAAAATAAAAATTATTAAAGGGCCATAACTCTTACAAAAATCATTGAACCGGAAAATGCTGACAATATGCACAACTAGACTTGGTACTGGTCATTCCTGTTTGGATGAAATTGCACCAGCAGTTAATGAGGAGTAGTCTGGACAAGTTTTGTGACGGACGGACGGACAGACGGACGTTCTAACAGGAGAGTAATTATGTGGCTACTCTATTGTTCTCTCTATTGTTCTTTTTAGCCACACAAAAGAAAATAGCCACATAAAAGCATTACGGAATGAATGACATCAAAGAGAAAGAACAGTTACCTATTGTCCCTCTAGCCACATAATTACTCTCCTGTGAGTGCGGACAGACAGACAGACGGACAGACAGAGAAGTGATCCCTATATGTCGCCACTACTCCGTAGAGGCGACACAATAAGCCAACTGGCCAACAATGCTTTTGTATCTAAATGGTCTTAACTGGATGGTATGGAATTCTGTCAATGGATTTTTTGTAATAATGACATAAATATATGATTTTAACACTACACTTATTGATCAATCAGCTGTTAACTGGATGCCAACATAAGATTGCTTATATATGTAGTTGAAAGTTGCTTCATTCCTTATGTTCTGGCCTAGGTGTTTGTTTTATTTTTTGGTTGGGTTAAAGTCACACCAACACAGTATAGGTCATATGGTGACTTTTCAGCTTTACTGATGGAGGAAGACCTCCAGTGCCTTCCTGTACATTATTTCAGGCACCAACAGGCACCAGAGTTTGACCATTGACATTCCGTGAGTTGGCTTGACAGCTTCCTCACATGAAACATCCGAAGTCCCTGTTGGGATTCGAACCCACAGCATTAGGGGCAAGTGGTTTGAAGTCAACAATCTTAACCACTCAGACTCAGACATCCCTTCCAGTTAGTTGCAAGATTGTAATAATGCAAAAAAATAGCACCAGAGGGCAATTGGGATTCTTACCAAATCTAACTGAATAGCCTTTTACTGATAACATATTGAAAATTATGACCAATTTATATTGATAAGTACAATTATTTCATACTGTAATTAGTACATATAATTATGTCTTACTATGGTAAAGATTAAATGTATATAGAAAATAAAGATAGGGTAGGACAGGGGCTGGCAAAAATAACCACAAACACAATGGCTATGTTATGCCATTGTGTGAACTATTAAAAGTGTTAAAATATTTCACAGTAAGAATCCATTCAATATTTTAAACAAGCTATAAAGTATATATTTCCCTACGCCATCACATACCTTGGTCTAGTTTATGGAAATAAAACAGAATGAAAAGAGTTTAATAACATAATCACATTTAGTACTATAATGTCAAATCTGTCCATCTTGAAATGATTTCTGTTCAGATTTTAATATTTGAAACTTAAAAAATCTATGCATTGTTATAAAGGCAAAAATACTGGTCAATCAATGTTCCCATCCCAAGAAAGTTGTTTTGAAAAAAGCTACAGGATGGCAATACTATCTGGATACATGTAATCTACTTTCAGCTTTAATGGCCTTGATCTGGTCTACCTAAAATCCAAACTTTATTCTGAATTTTCAAGAATCTCATATCAATTCTATTTTTTTTTATCATTTATACAGGCATAAAAGCTGATTAATCTTCTGATAATGTCCACTTTGTCAAGACTGCATGAAAGTAAGGTAGCTGTTGCAATAACTTATAACATTTAAGGTAGCCCTTTCATTTTTCTGTAGTTTTGATTATTGCATTTTCTCACAAGTTTCTGTTATTTTCATATAAAAGTTGTATCTATAATGCAATAGATATTATAGTAATTAACTGATCATGTTCAATATGGACAGGTTTGTTGACTTATTTTAATCCCATACATCACCCAACTTGGTAAATATTTGTACATATCAAGGTACAACATTTTTTAATAACATGATTATGGAACAATGCTGTTAACTTAAACTAAATGAAGCATAAATAATTAACATTTAAATAACTGTGAACAAAAATTATAATAATCAACAGTGCCTTATTAAATAAAAATTAAAAGAATATAAAGAATGGTTTTAATGATGTTTTGAATAATTATTATGTAGAAGCAAAAGTAGATTTAAAAAGCTTATCCATTAAAATATGTTTGTTTCAAAACTTTAATGTGTTTTTTTTTGTAATTAACCCCTAAATTGTTTCACAGAATTAAATTACAGCTTCTTTCCAACACATGGTGGTTTGAGCATTTTTGAATTAAGGAGTCATCAAAAATACAATTAAACCAAAAATTCATCCATTAATTTTCATAGAACAAGGTGATCAAAAGATAATCAATACATGTCTTGCTCTATGATTTATACATGTCTTCCTTTTAAGAGCTTTCTTTAAGCCATAATTTCAGTTTTTCATAATTGTAAACAGTTATGGTGATGCTGAAGTTCATTCCACCAACAATCATGTGTGGGTTAGAAGCTTTAAGCCTTTTAAACCTTTTTTTGTCAAAAGCCACTATCTCAAACTGAAAATTACAACAAGTAAATCAGAAACAAACAGTATTTCATGGCTTAATACAACATGTTACCATGACAACCATTTCAAACCTGACACTCACCTGGAAGAGTTCAAATGCTGCAAGGAGTTCCCCTCCTGAATCTTTGCCACGCTTAATCTCATACCACTGTAGCACTGGTGACCGGGCATCCCCTGGGTCCAGTTTTACCATTGGATGAGCTTTAGCTCTTCCTAAGAACTCAGGTTCACCCTGAAAAAAATGATATTTAATTTCATGATTATTGAATATTCAGTTACCTGTCTCAAATACATTATCTGGTCAATATTTCTAAGGTTCAGTTTTACACTTGTTTAACTTAAATGTGCACAAATGAAACTCAGTTTTAAATCTCACCTTCTTTCTTTTGTCCCCCAGTCAAATTCTTAAAGCAATGAGCCACCATCATGAGAAAAAACCAACACTTAACCATCTTTTGTTGCTTTTTTAATTGACATATTTACTTTTTGAAGATATTCATTTTTTTGTCTCTTTTAAATAATAAAAAGCAATTGAAAAATTTATGTTCAGCACCTCAAGAGTATTTTATATTCATTTTTAACATTAAAATGAACATCTTTTTACATCATCATTATGGTCATGCTTGTGGTCAATATATAGTGTTACAGAAGACTGTAATAATATCCAATATATTATTCATTTCTCATATCTTTAAAGACACATCATATAGTGAGAACATCATATAGTGACTTTCTAGATTTACTGGTGGAGGACGTCTCAGATTCCACTCAATGCATTGTTTAAGGCACATGTTAGCGCCAAAGTAGAACCTCTGACCTTCTGTAAGCTCAGCTTCCTTACATAAAATATTCCAAAGTCCTTGATGGGATTTGAACCCACAGTGGTGAGGGCCAAGTAATGCATAGAAAGTGACCTTTGTTAATTACTCAGTACAAAATTAAGACATTCTTGCAATAATTATCTAACAATCTTAATCATGTTGCAATTAAAATTACATTAATAGCAGTGTAGTCAAAAAGACTCCACCCAACATGCATACTTACAAAGGTATCATGGTCAAACAGCTCTATATAGATATCTGGTGGTTGGGCCTCGATCGTACGTGGATTACCGTGTATCTCAAACTCTTCAAAGATCAGGGTTTGATCCCATGTTGGACATAAACTCTTCTTAATGTTCTCTGTACGTAAACTCTGAGTGAGGAACGACACGCGAGCAAACGGGTCCGACATGCCCGAGTCGTCCATGGCAAGAATATCACGAGCTTGATAAATGTAGGCTCGTAGCTGGTACTTAAACGTATCTGTATTAAATTATCATAACACAATTTTTATAATTAACACATATCTATAGGTAGGTATAAAAGGTAGAAAAAAATCAAGAAATAAAACAACAAAATCACACACTTTAAATTCCACTGCTAATGAATTACTTTGATTTTAATTGCTTTCACTCTTTTTTCTTTCAAGTCATTCAGTATCATATAAAACATTTCTTACTCACAACTTTGTGAACATATCAATTACATGTATAATCATTTCAAATAAAAGAAGTTAAGTATAAAAGAATCTTGTTTATGCAGGTAATAAAATTCAAAATTTCACCAGGTTACATAATTATAAATAAGTCCTATATATAACATAAAAACAACAACTTACTTTTAAATTGCAGGAACATTCTAGGAGCAGACATCTGTGAGATCTCTTCACTTTCATCATCACTGTCCTGTAAAAATATAGGTCACATGGTTTATATATACATGTACATTCATTTCACCTTACCTTTACCTGCTGGAACAGAAAACAATCAGCCTTTGCCAGCAGTATAGAGCCAGGCCAGTCTGCATATCTGTACAAAATGACCAGGTTCTATATTGTAAGAAGCTTAATGTTTGTATTTTGTTATTGAAATCTTTTTAAAACTTTGAATAGCCTATTCCAAATTCAAAGCAGGGTAAATCCATTAAAAAATTTCAGCAGGTTAAAGACTAGTAATTCCTACATGCGTTATCGTACACTTTTGTGCAAACAAAAGCTATCAATAAATGAAGTTGGTGGTAAAACACTTATATGGAAACAACAGAATGTTGTGAAATGATTTTGTCCTTTTTTATTTTAAGCTGCTACAATTTCTCTTGATCTCATTGTGTAAATTGGAATCCTCCCTTTTTTAATTCAATGGAAACAAGATATGAAATAAATGTAGTACAGGAATATAATTATGATACAAATGATATTGTGGCTAAATAACAACACAAAACACCATCATAAAAGCTGATTGTTATGAAAATTGGAATTACATATGTCATTGAAAAGTATGAATTATTAATAATACATGAAATTGATGAAAATAAGAATGAAATAACAAATAAAACATTATAAAAAAATAATATTGCATATTTTCACATAACAGAAAAGTTATGCCATGGCAACATATCAAAAGCAAGTTAAAAGTTTACCAATGTCTACAATAAACAATGAGAGTGACTCAGCCATTCAACAGAAGTACACTTCATTCACAATCATGCCTATTTTATTACAATTAAAGGCGTGTCAAGAAATATCATGCAACCTATTTCAATTGTTTAAATAACTTAAACTGTTTTGTTATCTATAAACAGAACTTCTATATTCTATTCTTCAAGTGTTCAATTCCTAATTACAATATAATAACATGCTTTCTTATAACATAAATAACTCAATGAACATGTAAAAAAATATGTTTCATGCAAAAGTATAAAAATTAGGATATTAAACTTTACATAATTATGATGCAAAAAAAATGGAAATTTATATAAAGAAAGAATAACTAAAAAGAATCATTTGTGTATTCCTTAATGAGGCTTTGTTATATATTCATAATGAATTAATTGTTTTGTTTTTACTCGGTCTTGACTTATTTTGGAAAAAGCAAAACAGTACAACTGTGAGCAACAAGATAAGTTACCATATATACAACTAAATGAAACCATTTGAAATTTTATGTAAAAAAAAAACAATAGAATTTAAAGTTTTTTCCTTACAAATCTTTCCTAATAAGTCAAAAGATATTGTTTTTGCTGTAGAACTTGATTTTCAGATTTTGATTTTCTGATTTCAAAACGGATTTTTTTTCTTTTATTTGAAAGAATTAAAAAACAAACCTGGATAACTATTTTAATCTGAACAGTAAATTTGTAAAGTTTTTAACCAGTAATGATATTAAAATTGGATTAAATAAAATGTTCTAGCATCTAAACATATCTCAAACTACTTACAAGTTTCATGAATGAGAAGCTACCCTGTTTCAATATTGCATTATAAGGCAGTTAGAAAACAAAATGGAAAGGACAGTCATAACTGGTAACACCCCTGAATGTCGCTCAGACAAAGCATAAAATATAATTATATTTATCATATTCAGAGGAATCATCTATTTTTAGCTTTTGTGACCTTGAACATGACCCATTTAAGGGTTGAGGTCAATGATAAGTATTGTGACATGTGATATGTATGATAGTATATGAGTCTATAAAAGAAAGTGTTAAGACAGATAAAGAAGGGCTGAGGTATAATATCTAAAGATGAGAATGACTCTTTTAAAGTTCAATGGTTAATTTTAATAAATACAACTTCAAAATTAAGTCATTTCAGTGGTTTCCAAAAAGGTCATGAGTTACCTGGTTTCATCAAACCATCAGAAATCAGTAAAATTTATAAACACTGCAATAAAAGTAGTGCAAGAATTTTCATAATAAAGTGAGCTATGACATGGCAAATCAATGAATGCAATCAGAAATGAATGTGCAAGAATTAAGATCTTCATGGGCTACATATCACAGCAATTAAACATAGACAGACAAAAATTCATGTGCAAGAATTATGTCTACAAAGCAAGGAACACAGTCAGACAACTTATAATTAGCAAGAATTCAGTCATTTTTGTGACTGTATCACGGTTGAAGGTAGTGAGAATTAGAATCATTTGAGAACAAGTGAGATTAAATCTAGTGAGAACAAGAATCAGTCAGTATGTTTCTGTTTAAATACTGAGAAGGATTATTAATATGTATAATGATGATGAATTTTCAAATTTGAAATTAAAAATATTTTACAAATGCTATCTAGATTTTTCTTGGTATCATCTTTGGTATTAAAATACATAATTATATGAGTCATTATTATGGCTTATGAGATTGTATTCAGGTATGTTACACAACACAGCATATTATTTTATATTATAATTGTCATTTATATCCAGATACACTACTAGACATTATTTAGTATTTAATGAATAAAAAAGTTGCAGAGAATATTAGTGCTGACATTAACTTTGTTCATTCTAGAAAGACTGACATCAGAATCTTAAACAACATTAAACTGAATATGAAATTTTCTCATATGACACTCTTATAATTTCTACAATCATAGCAAACAATGTTCTACAAACTGACTGTAGGACTTAACAACCCAAACGTTATATTCACTTGCAAACACCCTATAACTATCCAAATTCACTAACAGACATCTTTAGCAAACTACATTCACTAACAGCTAATTTCCTCTGAACAATACAAAATATCCATTTTCTAGTATCAGTACCAGTAGTCTCTACTATAATTGGTAGTCACAACATTCCAATATTGGTAGTCACTATATCCCAATATTGGTAGTCACAATATTTCAATATTGGTAGTCACAAAATTCCAATATTAGTAGTCATGATATTCCAATATTGGTAGTCACAATATTAGAATATTGGTAGTCATAATATTCTAGAGCTTGAAGTCATAATAGTCTGTAACTAGTAGTCAAAATATTTCAGAAATGGTAGTCAAAACAATCCAGAACTGGAAGTCAAAATATTCCAGAACTGGTAGTCAAAACAATCTAGAACTGGAAGTCATGATAGTCCATAGCTAGTAGCCAAAACATTACAGAACTGGTAGTAAAAATATTCTAGAAATGTACATGTGGTAGTCATAATAGTCCAAACATCCAGAACTGGTAGTCAAAATATTCTAGAACTGGTACATGTGGTAGTCATAATAGTCCAAACATACCAGAACTGGTAGTCAAAACATTCTAGAACTGGTAGTCATAATATTCCAGAACTGGTACATGTGGTAGTCATAATAGTCCAAACATTCCAGAACTTGTAGTCAAAACATTCTAGAACTGGTAGTCATAATATTCCAGAACTGGTACATGTGGTAGTCATAATAGTCCAAACATTCCAGAACTGGTAGTCAAAATATTCTAGAACTGGTAGTCATAATAGCCCATTACTAGTAGCCAAAACAATCCAGAAAAGGTTGTCAAAATATTCCAGAACTGGTACATGTGGTAGTCATAATAGTCCAAACATTCCAAAACTGGTAGTCAAAATATTCTAGAACTGGTAGTCATAATAGCCCATAACTAGTAGCCAAAACAATCCAGAAAAAGTTGTCAAAATATTCCAGAACTGGTAGTTAAAACCTTCTAAAACTGGTAGTCAAAACATTCCAGAACTGGTAGTTAAAACCTTCTAGAACTTGTAGTCAAAATATTCTAGAACTGGAAGCCACAAAGAGTCTCAATATTCTATATGTGGCAATAATACATAGGGACTTCAATGCTGCAAACCAAATAGCGTAACTTGCTATAGTGATTCTAACACATAATATTATACCATTATCATATTAGTAAATTAGAAATTCTATACAAGACTAGTGAAATGTTAAACACAAATTATTTTATCATTTTAAGTAAAAACAAAATTCCCATCATCATGATACACATTTAGCACATTCATTATTCACAAAAATGCTTTTTAAAAGTTAGCAAAAAATCAAACAGAAAAACTAAAATAATAACCTTCTTTTTTGACTTTGACTGTTCAAAAAATAAAAACAAAGTAGTACATAAAACATGATAATTATAACTGCATGCAGAATGTATGTCATATTTATACTTGAATAAAGCAGTGTAAAAAGTGATATTATTAGCATTATTATTACTAATAGCATTAAAATGAAACAAGCATGAAAACTGAAATAAAATTTCACATATCTTCACCTTAGTGCAGTAGTGTATACCCGCCTTATATAATTTAATAATAGTTAACGGGCATAACTGTACTAAGGTGACAATATATATTACTATAATGAATGCTCAAATCTTAGCAAAAGTGACATTTTCCTGGGTAAAAAAGTAACCAGAGTCCACATCTGGCACACATCAAAATTACATAAAAGGGAAATTGGATTTATTCTCACATTAAAGTATGATAATTTTACTAAATGAATGCATTATGACAGATGAAAATGAAAAATTTAATTTCTACTCAAGTTCTTAAACTTCATTATTATTTATCTATTAAACTACTTATATAGTATATAGTTTGTATATATTAGATTACTGCTAATATTTTTGTGTATATTGGATTATATATACTTTCTCTACTAGCTAAAATTACAATGAATGTATATTTTAATGTAATATAATCATACATAATAAATTATACTAGTATGTACAAGATAAATATATATGTAAATAAAGTAAAGTACATACATCAGCTTCCTGCATACTGAAGAAGCAAGGTGCACCAGGATCAACGTTCACCATCTTGCGGTGCCAGCGTCGACGTCGCACAAGGTCCATCTTCCTCTCTATATGGTGAAACTTCATGTTAAACAAGGGAGCATACTCCCATCCCTCTGTGGCCGCCTGTTTATGTTTCTCCTAAAAATAAATTATGAATGTGCTATTAAGTTAAAATAACATATAAATATATATAGGATTTCAAAAAAGTTGGCATTTCATGAAATAATAGCAAATGTATTTTTTATCACAATATGATATCATAAAAAAATTGGAAAATTGTCATGTGACCTGGCAACTTAAAATAATGTAACTAAATGACTTCACACAAATATGACATTATACAGGCCAAGAAAATTTCAAATAAACATGTTCTTGAAACGCATCGGCAGAATCCTATGAAAACTTTGGATACACCACTTTTCATACACCAAAATATAATATATTTACTGATATATTTCTTTAAAAATTGCTATCTACATTAACAACAATATTAAAGATATCAACCATAAAATATGACAAATTTTCAACCATAATATCATTCTATGTAAAAACCTTGGTGAGAGCATCTTGTACGATAGATACAATTTTTTTTTTTTTTGCTAATGACAGATTTTTCACCTTTAAGTCTCAAAATACAACAGACTTGATAAGAATGATCGTGAACTTCAAAAAAAATTAAAACATAAACTTAAAAAAATATCAACAAAGAATTGATGCAGTTAGATAATGCACACACATACAAACAAAAGATATCCTCTTGTCTATGGCAGTCCTTGACATAATTGAATTTTTCCATGAAAACATTTTGTTCAAACCTTGAGACACATTTGTACATTTAATCAATGTGCAATAAAGAGTAAACACACACACATAACAAAACATTAATTGAAATGTTTCATCGAATCAAGTTACAAATTTGTTTATTTTTTTATATTTTTTTAGGTCAGCTTTCATCACACAAACACAGTATAGGTCATGGAAGACCTCAGGTGCCCTTCCCTGCATTATTTCAGGTGCAAACGGGCACCAGAGTAGAACTGACAACGTTCCTAAATATAGCAGGATAACTTCCTCACATGAAAGACTCCAAAGTCCTTGTTGGGATCCGAACCCTCAGCAGAGAGGGCCAAGTGGTTTGAAGTCAACAACCTTAATCACTCTGCCACAGACACCCCCAGTTGAGTTTAAACAAACATTTATATTTACAGACTGTAAAACAAAACCTGAAATAATTCATCAGGTGAAACTGAACATCGTTCTCGCTTTGACTTTATAAGGGAACATGTATCTTTAAAATGAGTCTTTCCATTTAGTATGAAATGTGTTCCTAAAGGCACAATTTAAAGGACCAGGGAATAAACCAAACTTCAAGGGCTTAATTATAAACTGTTGTATCTCAATTATTATTCCATGCCAAGTTACAACCTCTGCACATCCTGCTCTCAACATAAAAGCCATGCAGCTTAATAACTTAAATTGAGGACTTAACACCAAGACAAGTGATCACATCTTATAACAAAACACACAAATTTACATAGTTTCCCATGCTAATATACTTACCAAATAATCCTGAAGTATAAAGTTACTACTATAATATTTCAGGTAAGATAAAAGAGATAAAGAATTTCTGATAAATTAGACATGGTATCATTAAAGAGATGTTGTGGCTGAAATGTGCTCTGGTATATTCAATGTGGCTCCCTGTCGTGATCTGGATTGTAAACTACCAACACCATCATCAAGAGATGACATCATATTATGGAAGAGCAGGACAAAGAAACTAGGTTATATTTTAAAGGTGACAATATTTCAGAAAATGATAATTAGAAAATTTCAGATCATGATATCATGGCCGGGCTATATTTCAGAAAATAACAGTACATGTTAATAATGTATGAACTAATGAATAGGAATAATATTTAAGAAAATGCAATACAGAAATTTATCAAATAATCAAATCAGGAAACTTTTAAAATTAAAAAAAAAACAACAGGAAGCTATTTTTCAGGTTATGAAAGTTTCGGCTATATTTCAGACAATGAAATTAGATAACAGTTACAGAATTTGAAGAAATAATTCTAATGGTAATGAAAATCATGAAATATTTCAGATGATAAATGATAGTCAAAGAAGGACCCTTAATGAATAAAATAAATACATGTATTGAATATCAAAGGAAGAATGGTTTTGGCTATGAGAATATTGATGTGCCACACTACACCACTGTATCATTCACTCCTTGTTTGATCAAAGATTGGGATGTTTAAATTTTTTTGTACTTATACATTTTATATCTATGACTACATTGTGAATCAACGTAATATCTACTCATACTTAATGGTGTAATGAAGAAATATTTTTTACCTTTTCTTTCTTTTGTTTCATATTTTCTACAAGTCGTCTAGATCTAACCCATCTACGACGTCTACACAGATGATATCTCCTCTCTGTAGATCCCCAGCCTCCCATTGTAGCCTCAACACAGTACTCAAATCCTACATTATGTACAAAATAAATGTTTATCTCAATGATAACTTGAAATGTGTCCATAGGACACGGATGCCCCCACACGCCACTGTTCTGTCAATCTTATGACTCTAGGTCAAATATTTTTTGGATTGCATGTGCCACAAGTTGAAAACTAAAAATCAACAAAGGGCCATTATTCTGTTAAATTTTGTCGCAGCAAAAATTCCTTCCTTTACTATCATCTACACATTAAGGTTGTTCATCCCTGTAAGTTTAAGCAAAATCTGCCATCCGGTTTAAGAGGAGTTGCGTTCACAAAATTTCTACATAGTATATAGTGAAAAAATCAACAAAGGGCCATAATTCTGTTAAATTTGGTCGCAGCAAAAATTCCTTCCTTTACTACCATCTACACATTAAGGTTGTTCATCCCTGGAAGTTTAAGCAAAATCTGCCATCTGGTTTAAGAGGAGTAACTGTTGCGTTCACAAAATTTCTACATAGTATATAGTGAATAAAACAACAAAGGGCCATAATTCTGTTAAATTTGGTCGCAGCAAAAATTCCTTCCTTTACTACCATCTACACATTAAGGTAGTTCATCCCTAGAAGTTTAAGCAAAATCTTCCATCCGGTTTAAGAGGAGTTACGTTCACAAGATTTCGGGACGTAGGGACAGACGTACGGACGGACGTTTTGTTTGTTTTTTGGGTTTTTCGTCACATCGACACAGTATAGGTCATATTGCGACGTTCCAGCTTTACTGGTGGAGGAAGACCTCAGGTGCCCTTCCGTGCATTATTTCAGGCACAAACGGGTACCTGAGTAGAACCACCGACGTTCCGTAAGCTAGCTGGATAGCTTCCTCACATGAAAGAATCCAAAGTCCCTGTCGGGATTCCAACCCACAGAGGTGAGGGGCAAGTGGTTTGAAGTCAACGACCTTAACCACTCGGCCACGGACGGATTTACGGACGGACGGACAAGTGCAACGCTATATGCTCCCACTTTGTGGGGGTATAAAAACAAAATCCCTTTAATGTATTTTTAATGTATTTAATAATTTTATGAAAACATGGATAAATTTATCAGTTATCAAAGCTTGAATTAATTCTTCACATTTTCAAGCAAATTTATGATAATTTCTATAAAACTGCCTGCTAAGCTGTTCATAACTTTACTGGTGGAGGAAGACCTTGTGTGCCTCTCTGTGCCTTATTTCAGGCACAAAAGGGCATCCGAGTTGAACCACCGATGTTCCTTCAGCCAGCTGGAAAGCTTCCTCACATGAAAGAATCTAAAGTCCCTGGTGGGATTTCAACCCACAGCAAGTGATATGAAGTCAGTATTGTTAATCATTTGGCCATGTACACCCCCATCCTCATTTTAATTAGCACTGGTAGATGGACGTAGATTGCCTTGTCTATACCCTTACTATGAACATACCTTCTTCATCAACAGCTCTGCCCAGATCTATCTGCCAGTCATCCTCCCATACCCAACCAGCTGGTAACTCCATCTCTCCTTTAGAGGGTGACGGGTCACCTTTCTGTAAATACAGCACACAAATCTTGAATTCTGTAGTTAACTTATAAAAACATTGAATAAAGTAAAATTTATTGTGTCCGAATACAATACTTTAGTTGTTGTTGTGGGGTTTTTTTTATTTACAATATGTGAAAATGTCTAAAAAGAATGTTTGTTTCTTTCATGATTTATTTTTGTTACCCAACGTTCCTTTGCATGAATAGCACTGGGATATTCTAAATAAATAAGCTTCTTATAGTATGCAGAAGCAATTTACCCCCACAAAAACTGACAACAAAAATTTAACCACACTTTAATTATAATCAGCAGAAAAATAACCAACCATTTCCAGTCATCTAACTAGAACAAAAAGAACTTACAACATTTGACCAAGGTCTGGTTGACTCTACCCAGTTGGTTCCAGGCAGTCTCATCTGACACTCGTATACATCATCAATAAATGTTCGGTGCCCGGCATCTTTGTCATATAACATACTGAAATTTAAAATGCAAAACAATTAAAAGTCTAACTTTAAAATAAACATGAAAACTTAAAACTACTGGTAGACCGATCTATTACATTAATAAAGAAAATCTGTTCATGAAACAAAACAGTGCCTGTCTGTTCAAATAAATATAACAAAATTTTAGTGAAATTTCCTGAGATTTGAAAATCTGACCTTTCAGGTTAAGGTCATCTTGGGGTCAAGGTTATATTTTCATAACAGGAAGAAAATCTAGCTATAGAAGCCAAGGTGAATGTTGTCAGTAAGGATATAAGATGGTAACAAAACATCTGATTTGACAATCAATACTGAGGTATAAAAATTTAAAATTAAAACTTTGAAGTGAGATTTGGCCATATCTCCAACAACTACTTGGTTGGTCAACTAACTAGATTATAATCTTCTGGTGAAGTTTTAGAATTTACCTTCAGTTAATAGATGAAGTATTTTCATCATAAATATATATAAATAAATACCTCAATTCAGGGTTAATATACCATTCACCTTCCCATTGCCAGCCGGGTGGGGGTACAAACTTCTCTTTTGTTAATTTTACCTGAAAATTTTCACACAAGTTTTTTAAAGAAATCCATACCAAACTTATATTCAACAAAAATCAAAATTTAAATCATTGATATCTTTTTTTAATATAACTATTTATATCAAAAACCTCAGTATTTGTATTCAGTTTATGCTACCTGAAAAATTAAATGTGTAATTAGAATTTCTTTAACTAAATAATTATTACTCATCTATGGGTACTGAAGCAGTTGCTTTAACAATATTAGAGTTTATATAATATGAAACCTTTGTATGACTTATTTGCAACAGAAAAGTAAATTCATAAATTACAAATGTGTCTATAGGACAGACAAGCCCCCACATTTCACTATTTCGACAGCATGATGTGAAAGGGTCTTAACTCCTTCTTTATTCAATACGAGTTACAACCCTTTCACACCAAGCCCTCGAAAATTTAAGTTAGTCAATGGACAGACAGCGTAAAAGCGGGACAGACATACAATGGAAAATCAATATTTCCTTAACAGTAGGCATAAAAAAAGATAATAAATTTTTTACATTAACATTGAAATTTTCTCACTAAAATATTTTTTCACTTACCTTTCCCTGAGAGTCAGAGAATTTTGGTCTACTCATCATTGGTCCCCTGTTGGTCCAGTTACCCAGAATGCTCACTTGGTTCTCATACTGAAAAATCAATTACAAATATTAGTTGTCTTGGCTAGAAAAACTTTTTTTACTTACTACCACAATCACTCTGGCAAGATTGTGTCTTATTATAATAGTTTTATTGGTATTCTGAGAAATAATTTTCTCTATATATTTAAATTATGAAATGAAATTACAGTATGATCAACAAAGTTTTTTCACTGCAGTGCAGCCAATACTCTCACAATTACTGAACTTATTAAATAATTTCAACACTTGTATGTGTAAGTCAGATATTTCTCGGTATATCATAAGTAATGCTAAAATAGTTAAAATATGAACTTTACAGTCACCCAAAATGTCAATAGAGAAAAACTTTCTCTCTAAAAATTTTTGAACATAAATGAAAAGACTGGTGAAACCAATGTGCAATGTATTACATTCAAGCGCAGCACCATTAATATGAAGATACTGTATTAAAATATCAGACATCCATGATATTCTAGAATAAATTCTAAACTCTTCTTATTTAAACAACCAGATGCTATGAAATCAAAGAGAACTTGAATAGTAAATTGTTTCAACTTTTTTACTATCTACATCATTTACAATATACGTCAACAAATAATCAATGGAACTTACAGTTTCAGCAAACACTGCCATTTCACCTTCTTTCTGCATCTGGTGCCATGCTTCCTCCTCCGACTGCAGACCGAGCCAAAGTTTGATCCTTAATAGAGCTGGAACATCGTGCTTCTTCTCTTCCTTGTGACCAGGATACTGTGCAAGACAAAACAAAAGTATCAGTTTTGGTTGTAACAATATTACAATTAAATTTATTTATTTCGCTTTCAATATCATCATACATGTGAACTCTCACACATTTAGCGAGAGACTCCCACTTTCTGCAGATTTTTCTTAAAATAAGATGTATTTTCACAAATTAAAGAAATCTCCCTGTCAGAACTTTCTTCTTTGTTTATTGCAAATTCTAAAATCTCCCACTTTTTGATGAAAAATCTCCCACTTAATGATCATCGAAAAAAGTTCATATGTATCTTTTCATTTGTACTGTTATAAACAATCTTTTGTTTAGTCCGGAATTAATTTTTAATTTGTGATTTTTGCTTAGATGTATTAATATCATTAAAAAACAGATGTGTAACAAAGAGAATGGTCAATGGTAAAATGAATATACAAAATTTTATAAAGAGTTTAGTAACTTAAACCATTTGTCAGACAAATCTATAACTAAAGCTGATGCCATTTTGAATGTACTTTGGGCCGGTGGCCTTATCGTCACCTTAGGGCAATAACAGAATAAGTCCTTCTATATTTAATAGCAGTTAATCAGTTATTGCACTAAGGTGACGTTTTATTGCAACATTGTTGATGTCAGACAAATTAATGAGAAAAAGAACAAATCATAAGAAGAATGATAGTTAAGTTTGTATAAAGAATAACTTATATCTGCAAATAATTCACTAAAACCAGTCAGTAGAAGATCAAAAGTACATCAGTGGTTAGCATGTCCACCAAGCCAGCCCAAAAAAAGGCCTATAATTCTACTAGCTAAGTATTTGTTTAACCTGATACTGTTCTATACAATATTGACCTATTACTTTATGTTTGATATTTAACAATGACATCTGTTCTTGCCTGGGCTTAAATTTAGTTTAACTAAAACATCATAGTAAACAAAAATCTGGAAGAAGGGTGATCCCTCGGCAGCATTTAAATCACAAGAAAATTACACGAAAATTGTAGACTATGTTTGATTCAGACTGTACAGGATGAATAATGAATAATTGCAACATCTGTAATGCCCCCTGGCTTAAGCCTTACTCAATTTTCAACACTTAAGTGCTAGAATCAATGATCCCGAAGGACCAGAAAAATTTAACAACCAACATTGGCTTTTGGAACAAAATCCTTCATCTAAGAATTAACGCTCACCTTCATTTGTATAGCTTGTATCTTGCCACATTCTCTGCCACAATACATGGGGTTCTTGGAGTAGAGAAGAGTATGTGCCGGGATACGGTAGTAAGCTATTCTCTTCTCTCCACTGATCATCCAGATTATGACATCTGGCATACTGTTCTGAGGCTATAAGGTATATAATTTAGAGCATTTTAATGTAACAAGAATTCTAAGACTTTTGGAGTTGTTGAAAATCATATAAAAGGAAAGAAGAAAGCAATCTTAATTATTTCCATTTTTATTTTCTTTAAGGAACTGCACTTAGGTTTTTTGGCATTAACAGATTGAATTTTGACTCTCTTTTTTTTAGAATTGTGTAGCATTGATTAAGGTTTGGTGCAAATAATTTTATTATCAATTTATTTTCCATATAAATCCACTTTAAATGCACCAGTAAATCTATGGTTTCAGTCTTGCAAAGAATTTTACATTGTTTCATGTGATGAAGGTATCCATCTAACATAATGCCAGGTATGACCGATGTTCTTCTCAGTTGGACACACTGCAAGGATGGACACTTTATGTCTTCCTTCACCAATAAAGCTAGGAGGTTATCATAAACATATGACCTTCACAGTGTAAATGTCACTTAAAAGGTAATGACAGAAAAAAGTTACCTCTACAGCCAGGTTATGTAGGATTTGTAAAAAGTTTTCTGCCTCATTGAGGGCTTCATTGATATCAGTGGCACTTTCTCGTAGGTTTGTTGCCATCTCTATAAGAGTTTCCATCTCATACTGTCTATAGGTGGTTAACAGAGTATCAAGTTCTGTAGGTAGATGTGTACCTTTCTTTGGGGTAGGTAATGGTTTCCTGTAAATATAAGTATTGTATCAAGCACCAAATACAGTCATCAAGTCATTATAACTGGGTTAGAAGCTAAGCCTTGGTGACAATCTAGAGCTACATTGATATCAATATAAAACAAGAGGGCCATGATGGCCCTAGATCGCTCACCTGATTTATCAAACTCATCCAAACAATTACCTAGACAAGCATTCTGACCAAGTCTCATGACAGGTGAGTCAAAAATGTGACCACTACAGTGTTAACAAGGATTATCCATATTTGAGCAGTGCGACCTAGTTTTTTACCCAGGTGACACATATTCAAACTTGACCTAGAAATCATCAAAACAAACTTTTAGACCAATTTCAAGGATACTTGGATCAAAACAGTAGCAACTAGAGTGTTAACAAGATTTTTCTATTTTTAGCTCCGGTGACCTAGTTCCACATGCGATTTCGAACTCATCCAAGCAATTACCTATACAAGCATCCTGACCAAGTTTGATGATAACTGAGTCGAAAATGTGACCACTAGAATGTTAACAAGGTTTTTCCATATTTTGGGCGGTGTGACCTAGTTTTTTTCATCCAAGATGACCAATGTACGAACTTGACTTAGAAATCATCAAAAACAAACTTTCAGACCAATTAACAGAATATTTGGATCACAACAGTAGCCACTAGAGTGTTAACAAGATTTTTCTATTTTTAGCTCCAGTGACCTACTTTTTCATCCGAGATGACCCATGTTCAATTTCTTCCCAGCAATGACCTAGACAAGTTTCCTGACCAAGTTTGATGACAATTGAGTCAAAATTGTGACCACTAGAGTGTTAACAAGGTTTTTCTATTTTTAGCTCCTGTGACCTAGTTTTTCATCCGAGATGACCCATGTTCGAACTCATCCGAGCTATCACCTAGACAAGCATCTTGATCAAGTTTGATGATGATTGATGCAAAAATGTGACCACTAGAGTGTTAACAAGGTTTTTCTATTTTTAGCTCCGGTGACCTACTTTTTCATCCGAGATGACCCATGTTCACACTCATCCGAGCTATCAACTATATAAGCATCCTGACCAAGTTTGATGATGATTGATGCAAAAATGTGACCCCTAGAGTGTTAACAAGGTTTTTCTATTTTTAGCTCCGGTGACCTACTTTTTCATCCGAGATGACCATTGTTCGAACTCATCCGAGCTATCACCTAGACAAGCATCTTGACCAAGTTTGATGATGATTGATGCAAAAATGTGACCGCTAGAGTGTTAACAAGGTTTTTCTATTTTTAGCTCCGGTGACCTACTTTTTCATCCGAGATGACCCATGTTCGAACTCATCCCAGCTATCACCTAGACAAACATCCTGACCAAGTTTGATGATGATTGAGGCAAAAATGTGACCTCTAGAGTGTTAACAAGGTTTTTCTATTTTTAGCTCTTGTGACCTAGTTTCTCATCCGAGATGACCCATGTTCGAACTCATCCGAGCTATCAACTAGATAAGCATCCTGACCAAGTTTGATGATGATTGAGGCAAAAATGTGACCGCTAGAGTGTTAACAACTAAATGTGAACGGACGACGGACGGACGGACGACGGACAATCATCATTCCTAAAAGCTCACCCTGAGCATGCTCAGGTGAGCTAAAAAACTTAAAGTTAAGTTTAAAAATATTCTTTAACACGATTGTGAAAGAATGTTTCCAACTACATATTAATATCAAGTCTGCCTCCTGGAATTAACCAGTATTTGATGAAACATGGCCTTGAAGTTATAAAACATTTTTCCCAAGTTCAGTTTCAAATCTCAGGATTTTCTTTGGTTAGTGTACATTCTGTGGCAGTTTCTGACCAATGAAATACCTGAGATCTGAGTTTGAGCACAGACTTAGAGAATTTCTTTATAACCCTTGGACCATAGTGGTCATGACTTGAGTAGGGTTCATACATCTTAACCACTGGACTACCTGAGCCACTCACATCTTATCTCATTAAAATCATATCCCAAAGGACAATTTGTTAGCTGTATGCAAACTGTGTACTTTCATCAAAATGGGCTCCTATCTCACAGTTTTTGCATAGACGCTTTACATTTTTTTGTATCTCCTAAAAGAGGCACAATAACAAAATTGCAAAATCATGCAGTAAATCAAGCATGGATGAATCCTTTTGAAAACCAATTATGATTTACTGCTTTACACAGGGGACAATGATTGTATATATTGCTCACACAGAAGAAAGATTAGGCTAAACTTACTTGCAGTCTTCAACCAACTGATCTAGAGCTGAAATCAGTAGCTGAGCCAGTTCTGGTGTTGGCAGTTTAGCTTTTACACCAACCTTTACTTGTTCAATGTTAGATTCCTACAAATATTTAATAAGTTTGATTGAATGTATTACATAATTGCAAATGAAACAAGATACATGTATACAGAAAATGTTATAAGCTGGATGGTTACTTATATACATAATTTGATGGTTGATCACAAAACTGTTGTAAGTCCTTCTTTATTTCATATAAGTTATTGCAGGTTTCTTGTCAACCCTTAAGTGCTAGATATTATTTAACAACAACTTCATACTAACTTTACAAAGTTATAGGAGCAATATGCAAAACTGTAGAGATAATGCCTTCAAAGAAGTTTAGATAAACTGTTAAAACATTGATCATTTTACATTATGTAAGGGTATTTTGAATAGCCAATCAACACGTCCTGTGACCTAGATGGTCTTATTTCCTCAATTGTTGTTGGGGAATGCAACCCTAGCCAACATGGGTCAACATGAAGCAATGCTGGAGAAGTTGACAGAATACTTACCAGTGCAGCTATAATGCCTTCAAACAAGTTTAGAGCCTCCAGTCTCCAGGCAATATCCTCCCACTGGGCATCAACCACCACACAGGGCTTGGTACCACCCCAAGGTAAGAAGTAGTAGTGGGAACCATCAAATACAGCATTGGTCGGCTGGGTAGTTGATGCACACGGAGCTATGTAATCATCCAGCTTGTTACCGTAGTTACCTATAGAATTAAGTTATCTCCAATAATTCACATATAGAGATCAATATGACAACATCTCCATTCCCAATTAATCATTCTTCATGTACAGTTATCATCTTCCATGCACAGCCAACAATTAGGACTAGCAGAAACTATTTGCTCAAAGAACGTCATATTCATTCAAAGAACACTTTAATTCAAATGGGTTTAAAGATAACTGGATCGATATAAATTGATATACCATAGTTACATATTGTTATAAATAGTTCTTAACTTCCATGTGATTTTTTGCTGTATACATCATACCTAACTATGATTATTCATGGGGTTGACATTTTAATAACATTTGCTTATCTTGACCGTATTTTCTCAATTTCTAAAGGTTACGTTTTTTCTGTTTTTGCAATATCTCGTTTATATCTATGTCTTTATGATAACTATGATAAATGTCAAAGTAAATAACTTCCAGAACAGATACTGTTGTGTTTGCATGCACACTCACAAACGTGCAAACACTAAAGTGCAAAAATTGTACGTATTAATCCAGATTATCTCTACAATAAATTGTTGAGACACAATCATTTTATTACTCATTATACATACCTATGCTAACTTCAAACTCCACTGGGGCATCTATAGCACTGACCATGGTTGCATTTAAGAAAGCTGCATGTAACTTAAAACGTCTTTTTCTCATAAATTTCTGAAAAATTCACACAAACAATTATTTTGAAAGTCTACTAATTTCTTCAAATCATTTTTAATTTATATCCGATTACAGTAACTATTTACATATTATCAAAATTCATGTGAACACAATTATTCATTGTACATTTTTCAACCTTTGAATTGACTGATTAACATTTCACTAGCATCATCTAATGTTCATTATTCACTTAAATAAACCAAATTATGCTGCTTCTTTTATAAATAACCAAATAACATTTAATATGTCATAAAAAGACAAGGGCATGGAAAATAACATTAAGTAATTAAAAATATCTATCTTTGTATATCAAAGTTTGGTAAGGCACAGTACCTGTACTTTAAGAACATCTTCAGAGCCAATATCTTCTACAGGAACATCAGGTAACTCTCCCCCTATAGTCTTCAATTCAACCATTGCTCTGCCTCTGAATGCTACACCTTCACCCTATGTTAATATAACAACAAAATATTTACAGTTTGATAAATACATCTTATATTCTTAAGGTTATTTCCCTAAGAAATTTGATTTATCTACTTTAGTCTTAATCATTATACAAATTATGTAATTCAATTAATTATATATACTTGTACTATAAATAGGATAGTCTTTCCTTGCAGATTAGACTAATGTTTGTTATTTTTACCTTTTCCAGAAATTTCATTTGATATAGAGGGTGCCAGATAAGGTGCATGCTATACGATGAGGTCATGAATAAAAGTTTATGAATGAACCGCATTAAAAAGACGTAATTTAGTGCATTAAAAAATAAAACTGTGTGCCTAGGATGACATCACTTTGCCATTATGAATAAAGAGATAAATTTATACACTATTGTTAGAAAATAGTAATAGAAACAAGAGGGCCATGATGGCCCAAAGTCGCTCACCTGTATATAGGCCCCCGGAGCGGGGCCAGTTTAAACCCCAGGGCTTTTATTTGAACAAACTTGGTTGACCACCTATTAGAAGATGTTTCATGCTAAACATCTAAGGTCTAGCTTATTGGGTGTTTTAAAAGAAGATTTTTTTATGTATATATATATATATATATATATATATATATATATATATATATATATATATATATATGTATATGTATATGTATATGTATATGTATATACATATGTAATTTATATATATATATTATATATATACAATATACATACATACATATATATATATATATATATATATATATATATATATATATATATATATATGTATTGCATTTTTTGGTGTGTGTGTATATTTTGAAACTATGTATGTATCTATATTGTATATATATATCTTATATATATGTAAATATATATGTATGTATGTATGTATATATATATATATATATATATATAAATATGTATGTATATATATATATATATATATATATATATATATATATATAATATATATATATATATATATATATATAATATGTATATATCTAAAAAAAAAAAAAGTCGAGCTAATGAATGACCCCCGGGGCGGGGCCAATTTTGACCCCAGGGGCTCTTATTTGAACGAACATGGTAGACATCCATTTGAACATGTTTCCTGCTAAATATCTTAGCTCTAGCTCTTTGCATTCTTTAAAAGAAAATTTTTTTAAGTTTTTACTATATGCATATAGGGAAAATCAATGACCCCCTGGGGCGGGGCCAATTTTGACCCCAGGGCTTTTATTTTGAACAAACTTGGTAGACACCCATTAGAAGATGTTTCATGCTAAATATCTTAGCTCTAGCTCTTTGGGTTCTTTAAAAGAAGATTTTTTAAGTTTTTACTATATACATATAGGGAAAAACAATGACCCCCAGGGCGGGGCCGATTTTAATTCTAGGAACAAAAAATTTGAACAAATTTGGTTTTGGACCTATAGATGATTACCATAGACCAAATATCAAAGCTCTAAGCCATTTACTTTCAGACCAGAAGATTTTTTTCAAGTTTTCACTATATGTATATAATGAAAATCAATGACCTCCGAGGGCGGGGCCAATTTTGACCCGAGGGCCATTATTTGAACAATCTTTGGTAGAGGTCTACCACACAATGTTTCATGCCAAATATCTTACCTGTAGCCTTTGCCAATTCAGAGAAAGAAGATTTTTTTATGTTTTACTATATACATATTAGAAAAACCTATGACCCCCCGGGGCGGGGCCAATTTTGACACTAGGGACAAAATTTGTACAACTTTGGTATTGGACCTTCAGATGATACCATAGACGAAATATCAAAGCTCTAGGCCATTTACTTTCAGACCAGAAGATTTTTCAAGTTTTCACTATATGTATGTAATGAAAATCAATGACCCCCCGGGGCCGGGCCAATTTTTGACCCTAGGGCCATTATTTGAACAATCTTGATAGAGGTCTACTACACAATGTTTCATGCCAAATATCAAATCTGTAGCCTTTGCCAATTCAGAGAAGAAGATTTTTTTAGATTTTACTATATACATATAAGGAAAAACCTATGACCCCCCGGGGCGGGGCCAATTTTGACACTAGGGACAAAATTTGAACAACTTTGGTAGAGGACCCATAGATGATACCATATACCAAAAATCAAAGCTCTAGGCCATTTAGTTTCAGACCAGAAGATTTTTCAAGTTTTCACTATATATTTTGAATGAAAATCAATGACCCCCCAGGGCGGGGCCAATTTTGACCCTAGGGCCATTATTTGAACAATCTTGATAAAGGTCTACTACACAATGTTTCATGCCAAATATCTAATCTGTAGCCTTTGCCAAATCAGAGAAGAAGATTTTTTTAGATTTACCTATAGAACATATAAGGAAAAAACCTATGACCCCCCGGGGCGGGCCAATTTTGACACTAGGGACAAAATTTGAACAACTTTGGTAGAGGACCCATAGATGATACCATATACCAAAAATCAAAGCTCTGCCCATGTACTTTCAGACAAGAAGATTTTTTAATTTTGTGTTTTTTTGAAATCCTTTTTCTGGCCCTGTGACCTACATATGCAACAGACCGGAACCATTTGAACAACTTTGAAAAGGGAACACCCAAGGATCATTTCTGTAAAGTTTGGTTGATGTGCAGTCATTGGTTTCAGAGGAGATGTTGTTTATGTGAAAAGTTGACGACGCACGACGCACGACGACGGACGAAGGACACAGGGCGATCACAATAGCTCACCCTGAGCATTGCTCAGGTGAGCTAAAAATGACATTAATTTCCATGAAAATTTATATTATTTTGGTAAATCATTTAAAATATGGTAGAATATGCAAGAGAAAATATATATGGCAAGTGTTTGTGGTTAAGATCAGAATATCTGTCCCTCTGTTACTAGCCCATGGGTGATAACTCAGCAAGCCTCAATACCGCCCACTAGGCAGATACCCTCAGGTTGGCTATTTCTATCTGAACCACAATATATGACAGATTTTATAAGTATGCCCCAGTGAAAGATTTTTCTTTGCAGTTTTACGTATATTTAGGCAACATTTAACGATAAACCACTAAAATTACCTTTCCATTGTTCAGGTCTTCATACTCATCTGGCAGTTCCGAGAATTCTCTTGGCGAGCCGTAGAAATTAACAAAGCATGGACCAAAAGTAGGTAGAAAACCTACAACAATAAAATCAAGGGAATAAACATTATGCTTCATAAAGCGGATCACTCATATACAAATGATTATCTTCTATAAGAAAATAAAGTTAACATGAACTATGACAACATTTCAGATCTGAACAGCACAAATTTAGATTTTTAAAGATATATCACCCACTCGTAGGCTTTGCAAATTTAAATTAAATTTATGAATATGACTTTTGGATCAAATAAGTTATTAAGCATTATGATACAGCCTTTATTATATGGTAATGAAACTCAAAAATATTAATACATTTAAGAAAAGTTACATTTATTGTAACTAAAACAAAAACACAAAGTAAAATATAATTTCCTTACAATCCAAGTGTTCAAGTACCTGATACAGATAAAATGTTTATCAAAATTTGCTATTTTATTACAATTTCTATGTATAAAAAAAAACATTTTAGCAAACAAATTTTAGTACCATATGAAAAAGAATAAAATCCATTCCATCTTTAAATTGTAACGTGACTCTGTAAAAATGTCTACAAAATCTACTAAACAGGCAAATGGGAGAGAGAGAAAAAAGGAGAGAATTAATTGGCACCTACAAAAATTAAATTCCAAGGCAATTTTTATGCATCAATCAAGATGTTTTCTTTATTCAAACACTAAACAGAGCAATAAAATAGGTCCTGTAAAAACATAATTCTGCATACATGTACTTCTATCACAAGCAAAAGATTGGAAGAGCAAGTTAAAATTACAAAACAGTGAGTTGCAAAATATGAAACAGTGAGTTGAATTACAGTTTCTAGCTATATAATCTTGCTCTTATAATTGAAAGATAGTCCTATAACGCTTGATTTCTTTATTTCAGATAGACATCTATAAAGTAATTATTTCATTTTAGATTCCTAATAAAAACTTATTTTATCACCTGTAGTCATTTCCCTACAAAATTTTTCTGGGCTCTACAAATTAAGTAAACTGGCCAACCTTGTAATCTCCAATTTAATTTGCAGTTAAGGATAAAGTTGAGTATGTAATAAATGATAATTCAAAAATAATATATCTATATATCTATGCTCGCCCATATGGTCTCTTTCTGGTGGCGACCAATAACAAACCCAAACACACACATCAAAGTTATATCTTTAAATGAAAATGTTAGGCAAAGTAAATTATATTATCATTAAAAGTGAAAACTTATACAAACCTTAGGAACATTGTTAAAACAATTATTAATCTAGTATTAACTTGACATTATGTAATATTTTTATTTTCTTTATTAGAAAAGTGAAAAGATACATAATTATGCTTGGAAATATAATATAGCAATCACAAAGAAAACATTTAGAAACAATCATTAGCATAAAAAACACCCAGTGTTTTGAAAAATATAGAATATATTTTTACCCTCATCTTTGTCTATATAATCAAAATATAACAAAGTATATTAATTAGAGGAAATTTTAAAAAGCTATGGAACAAAAACAACATATTACACGATCAACTAATAGTTAGATATATTCTGTCTTTAAAATGCTTTACCAAGTTATGAATCTAATGCCTATTTGAATATATATCTGTATTTCTATTTATTTCACATGTTTATTCATGTTAATACTAAAATTTGAAACAATCCTTGAAACAAACCTAACTGTAAAATTATCTTCTATTTCATTGAAAAGAAACACCATGATTGAAGGTAAAGAATAATCTTAAGTTTACCAAAATGTATATTCTTGTATTACAATAATTATAATCTCACTGGAAAATATTCCATTATAAAATTAACCAACTTTCAAAGGCATGAAATCTATTAGATGTACAGCTATTTAACAATTATGTATGAAATAACAAACTATTTCAAGTGTGACTTGAAAAAAAGCATGTCATGCAAGCATTTCTTAGGATAATACAGTAGTGATAACTGAAGCTTGATATACAATATTGTGACCTTACTGCAGTAATGAGTTATCTCCTATTAAATGATTTAATAAGTTAACCCATTACTGCACTAAGATGCTGATAATGTTGTATTACAGTTAACATAGTGTTACAATAGCAGTTGTGATGACGATTGAGCCGTGTCACGACAAAACTAACATAATGGGTTTGCCACCAGCATGTCCGCGCAGTCTGATCAGGATCCATGCTGTTCGCTATCAGTTTCTATATTTGTTATAGGGTCTGTAAGCGAACAGCATGGATCCTGATCAGACTGCGCGGATGCGCAGGCTGGTCTGGATCCATGCTGGTCGCAAACCCATTATGTTGGTTTTGTCATGATGCGCTCGTGCATAGACTTAAAGTTAAGGGATCAATTGTAACAAGAAATCAAGGTACAGTACTTGTATAATCCAAGTCTCAATTACTTTCACTATTGATACCAGCAGGTTATACGTTAATTGAAATTCTTTATCATATTTACTCTCCAGAATAAATACAAATGTATGAAATTGGCAGATTGAATTTTTCAATCAAGCAGGTAATTTGATACATTCAAGATCTTCCAAGTGATCATCCAGAATGCAAATATTATACAAAAACATCAGAGAAAAGCAGGAATCTGAGGAACAATTTTCTCCATGCCTGGGTGCATTATATTCTCTACAGGTTAAAAAAATGATACACTCATTGGTTATATAAAAAAGTTCATCTATTGACACACTGCATTATAGGTCCACGTTTCTAATTCCTAAAACACTCAATTCTAGGTCAACATTTCTTACATCTAAAACACTCAAGTCTAGGTCAACATTTCTAACATCTTTCTAATACATTTCATTCTAGGGTGAAAATACGCCTATAACATACATTAGGTGGAATGGAATCAGGCTATTAAATATGGAGATCTTACTTTCAATTTTCAGAACAGCAAGGAAATGTATAAGAGCAAACAAAGAATTGTATACCCTGATCTCCGGGCGATGATATATGTGACACTTCGAGAAAAGTAGTTCCGATTACATCGTCCTCCGTTATTCTGTCCCTGTAGGAAGGTAAAAAGTTCGAGACTCTAAGACAGAGGTTAAAGGTTACCTGACAATTTCATTAAGACGGTTAAAACTCTGAGTGGCTCATTCAGTGTTTGGGGTAGGGGTAGGTGGGAACACTGGATGTTAAGTATAGTTCAATTAACTATTATCATGCTATATATGGAGTATATTTTATGTACCAAGCTGGAGCAAACTCAGACAACAAATGAGATATAGAAACCCGCATAACTGTTATCAAGAATAACATCATGATGTTTCAGAAATTGAAAATTACACTCGTCCGCTCGTAATTATGAGTAGAATTTAAGAGAATTCGATGAAGAACGAGTAGAAAAATGTTGCCTGCACGTTGGATTTAGAAGCTGCTTCTTCTCCTAGTGACTCTGAAAATATTTTTCAATGCCTGTGTTTGCATCAGAGTACTTAATTTCAAATTGTTCAATAAATTCATGGCAAGCCGTAAAATTTAACATTGCTATTCTTTGCTCAAGCTTGGCGTATTATATATTTTTTTAATGTTTTGAGTAAAAAATAATACTGTGTTAGTATCTGAAATAAATAGAAGTCACTGTTATAACTATATACCTGTACATGTATATATACTATATAAACACCAAAAATATACATTGTACATGTTAGCTATATCGATTGATAAAGGTAAGGGTATATGTGTACATGTAACTTTGTAATCTAGTACCATAAAATGTAATTGATACATCACCAATAAAATGAAAGCATGCGATGTAAAGTAAAGGCTAGGTTCATGTACAGCTTGTTCAAGTTATACAGGTGAAAATTAATCTTAAACTTCTTTTTTCGCATGGATTTTTTGTAGATTTTCTTTGCAATGATTTGTTTTCAATAATTACATGTCAACATCTTTGTAAAGCTGGATTATAAGATGTCTGCCTCTCTTGAGTTCGAGTCCTATTACTGTCACAACCATGATACAATGATTCCTGTTATGTAACAAGTATTTATAAGTTGCAGACTAGTATAAGTAGGTTGCAGTCTAGTATTAGTAGGTTCAAGACCAGAATTAGTAAGTTCGAGACCAGCATTGGTAAGTTCCAGACCTGAATTGATAGACCAGTATTGGTAAGTTCCAGACAAGTATTGGTAAGTTCTAGACAAGTATTGGTAAGTTCTAGACCAGTATTGGTAAGTTCCAGAACTGAATTGATAGACCAGTATTGGTAAGTTCCAGACCAGTATTGGTAAGTTCCAGACAAGTATTGGTAAGTTTCAGACAAGTATTGGTAAGTTTCAGGCCAGTATTGTTAAGTTCCAGACCAATATTGGTAAGTTCAAGTTAAAGTAATTAAGACACAACACTATTGTGTTGAATCATTGAAAAACTACACAACATAAACCTTGCCTTTACTTTGTATTGATAAATAATATGATACATGTATAAGTAACACAAAATGGTTAAAGAATTCCCCCGGAAAACCTGAAATGGTGTATTAAGCAAAATAAACTTATAAATTTGAAAACTTCTGAAATCAATCAAAAAGTATATTTAATGTCAAGTATATGCCTACATTATATTTCTAAAGACTGCACCAATCCAGAATTGCCAAAAAAAAGCATAAAAACATGAAATTCCCTCCAAAGAAATAATAGCCCATAGTAAACTTAAGCCAGTCCAGTCTCAAGCATTTCAGGTGTTCTATAGGAAAACTCAAAACAAAACAAAACAGCGCGCATTCAGCAGCCCCTGAAAGCTGAAGGCATTCAATGTGTTGACACTTACATAATTTGGTGTTCTAATATTCTATCAGTATTGTAAAAAAGAAAAATTCAGACCCAACATTTGATATTCCACTAACAGATTAATTCATCATTAATTTTTGTTAAACATTTGACCAATATTACAATTTGGAAAACCTTTTTAAATGTTTAATTTCAAGTCCCACAAACATTGTAAAGGTCGTACCACCTCAATTTAAAAAACCTTTTTCTGAGATCTGTCTCAAATGTCAGGAGGGGGGATCGGGTTATGTCACAAAAGGGCCTTGAGTAGACCCGACAAGGTTCCGTAAGCTAGCTGAATAGCTTCCTCACATGAAAGAATCTAATGTCCAATCCACAGCGATGAAGAGCAAGTGGTTTGAAGTCAAGGACCTTAACGGAAGCACAATCTCAGGAAATTCATTTGTCAATATTCACCCTTGGCTGGTATCTCAGCAATTAAATACCCAATATTTATAACCATATACCCTGTTAAATGAAATATTCTAATCATGAAATGGTACCTGACTAGGTTACAGTCTGCTTTCTGTAAATTATCAGGATAGCTTCAGCATTTAAAAGTATTATGAATTCCCTGTTGGGGTTTTGTTGGGGTTTTGAGCCCACAGCAGTTTGATGGTTAAGTGATTCGAAGGCATTGACTGAATCACTCTGCTACAGAAGTCCCCTTGTAAAAAATAGTGTCAGTGAAGATACCATAAGAATTTATGAAACAAGATATTGCTAGTCTTGTACTAGGCAAGTAAAATTCTTAAGTAAATTTATTGGTCATTGTGAGATTAATGGATCAATCATAATAAGATCCATATGAGGTCAATTTAAATAAGATCCATATGAGGTCAATTTAAATAAGATCCATATGAGGTCAATTACAATAAGATCTATATAGGGTCAATTATATAATCATATTTAGGTCAATTATAATAAGATCCATCAGCTAACTCAATAGTTTCATGTATGTAAAGCATTTCTTTATTTAGAACTTTAAATATACTGTCAATATTCTCAAATATTAATGATAATGTGTACGGTATGTCTGAATTTTTCAACATTACAATGCTGATATTGACAACATATAGAGAAACTACCTGCGATGTTCTTTAGAAATGGTAACAAGGGCTACATGTAATGTATGCTACTTTCTATATAAACTACTAGCCTTAACAAAGTTTCTATTCAACCTGTTTGAACAACTAATCTAAAATTACCAAACAAAAAAAATCAGTATTCAGTTTTATACTATTACGCTAGATAAATGTCTGTGCAAAATTACAGCACAATGTTTAACTGCCATGCAGAAACCATTGTCTCGCACTCAGATGAGAAAGTAGTAATCAGTTATCAAATAGCCCTTATGAACATTTCCTTTGGCATCAAAAATTAATCCATCTATAAATATAAGTTATATAAGCCAAAGTATGACTTATGTGATTGGACGAACCATTATCTCCGAGGGCCGATATTAGTGACACTCGTAACCATGCAGTAGCTATGCAATCATCTTCTGTTATCCTATCCCTAAATTATTGTAACAGTAAAACATTAGTACAAAAAATGATTATAAATGTTAAAGGGACTCCACTGAGGTTTTTTGACATGACATGACTAGAAATATCTTTCCGAAATTTGTGAACCATTTGATAAATATCTGAGCAAATTTTATGATATTCCCACCAGAATAATCTTTTTATTGTGCAAAATGATTACTCAAATCGTACTAAGAATTGCACTATGATTTTCGATTTAATTCAGAGTATATTTCTTTAATCATCCTTTGCAGACTTTTTTTACATTTTCAGTACTTTACTTGGCGTATTAAAGTCAAAAATTCAAGTTTTACATTTTAAGGCTTATTACCTCAGTGGAGCTCCTTTAGACAAATGTAACGAAAATGTAAGTATGTAGAAATTATCATTTCAGTTATTTTCAAGGACAAAAAGGTGAAAATAAGTTGACTAGGTAAAATGGGTGGATAATCAAGGGAATGTGACATCTACATTGTACATGTGCAATGTGCTGTGAGCTACTGTCTTATTTATTTTTAATAATTTTTTTAAGGTTAACTAAAACAAGTTGAAATTTTCATTTAACATTATGACCCTAAACAACATTCCATTTTTTTTCCAATGAAATGACCTTTGATCTTCTAGTTATAGAAATTCTGCAAGTCATCAAATAGTATTGGTCAATCCAGTAAGTATATTAACATATTTATCACCAATGTTATTTTTACATTTGTAAATCTGAATTTACTATAATTCTTTAATTATTTCAACTTTGACCTTTATATACATACCTACATAAATCTCAATAAATCCTCAACGATGAATCAAGTATTTCCAGAATATAATTCAGTAATATCATTCAATATTTTAGGAACAAAAATATTTTAACAGTAAAGGAAATCAGCCAGGTAACAGCTTTACTTTCAATTTTTTTTTTTTCAAACAATAATTTTCATATAACTAGTTAATTTTTCAAACTTAATAAATGTAATACAATGTTGATTCATCATCAAAATAGTTTCAAAATTTCTTTTTTATTTATTTCTTACCAATCTTTCATAGACAGTCGGATCTTTTCACACATGGATGGGAACTGTAAACCTATCTTTAATTTCTGGTTGTATTCTGGATGGTCATTACAGTACATTATCTTTGTTTGGACCTAAAAAAATTATATTAACATAATGTTATAAGGGATTGGAATACATTTTTATGAAAATAAAATACAGTTAAATCTCTGTTGAAGACCACCTCTGTATAAAGAGCACCATGTGAATAAAGACCACTCTTAAGCAAACTTTCATTGATAAAAAAATACAACAGAGTACACTACAAATAAAGAGCATTTGTCTATAAAGGCCATGTATGGTCTCTCCTTTGGAGGACCCTAACTGTATAATGCAGACCTCACAAAATTGTGGATATGTGTTTTATAGCACGTATGAAGTCAAGGGAAGGAGTCCAAATTTTACATGATATATGTTATTTTAAAGTTGTGGAAAGCTTTTATAAACAGCTTTAAAAACAGCAAAGATTAGAATGATTATAAATTATTTTATGTTATAAGATTGACTAATTTTAAGTTTATTTTACCTCTTTACCAGCAAAACTCATAAGGAAGTACGGATCTACAAGCTCCTTTATTTCCTCACCAATCCGGAAAAACTTCTTCACTCCTTGTAAAAAGGCAGTGTCCACTGAAATCAATGACTATCAATGAAATTGATCATTTCAATTGAAAATGAAAAAGATTTATTAGCTGATCAAACAGTCAAAAATCTAGAAGTTTTATAATTATGCTGATACTTAACATGTTTGCAGCAAAGAATTCAAATCAAAAATAAAACTTTTAGAAGGTAATGCAAGTTATTGGTCAAAGCAACAAGTCATATGCATGAAACTCAGAATATTTTTATATATTCATCTCTCTTTGCATACTTTTTGTTATATTTGTGAGATTTTAAGTAACAAAAGCACTGTAAAGGTCACAGTGCAACTTTCAAACTATTCTGGAGGAAGACCTCAGGCGACACCTTTGTGCATCATCTCAGGCACTCCAGTAGAACCACAAACCTTTGTTACGCTAGCCATATATTATATTACATATAATTATCTAAGTATCCTATGTACTCGACAAGATTCAAACTTACAGTGGTAAGGGGTAAGTTATTTGAAGTCAACGACCTTAAACATGGCCACAAAGGACCATTATCACTCCTTAAACCATCGAGTCAGCAGAACAATGCAAGACTGCATATCCACTAAGTCAGACCAAACTTTGTATAGTTAGTTAACAATGATACCGATATATCTCGGGTAGTACTTACTCCTAGGTATATCTTCACACTTGTACACATTGAGAGCAAAAGTTGCTGGCCTCAACTGAACACCAGCTGGTCGCAGAAGGTTACTGTAATAATATGACATATTCTGATACTTGAGTAACTATTTAACATCTTGTTTAGTTTTTATTTCAGAATTTACTCTTTAAAATACATTCATATTTCAATAAATCAACAGACATCTTGTCTGTCTGAAACCCTCTCCCAATTTTTATACACATGTATTTGAATTTATGTCACAATAAGGTAGTTGTAGAAGATAATTACACAGCTTGGCAGAAAATTCTTTGTCAACACAATAAAACGACCTTAGTTTAGTGACAAACCTATGTTGACCTCATATGCTACCTAACAGAGCTATACTGCCTAACAAACTTGCAATAACTGACAGACTATAATAGGTGTAAGTATTTTTGGTACTAACTTTAACAAAAATTTCAGCACAATCTCTGCAGAGCAGCCCTTTATATAGCAAAAACCTCTTTACAACAAGCAATTATCATAGTATTGCAAGCAATCCATAAGTCCCCTACCGGTAAGAGCCCAAGCAACATTCTGAAGGGCCATTGGCCATTCACTTAGGTTCCTATTTTAAGTAAATTTGTTGAAAAAGTTCTTTAAAAGTGATCACAGGAAACAGTTTTTATGTACAGACAGACGGACACTCTAAAGTTATTTTTTAAACATCCCTGTTATCAAAATATAACATTTTTAAAATCCTATCATGATTGAAGAAGTTGGAGTAAAAATTACCAATTTCTCAAAAAAAAGTCTAAGTTCAAAAGGGGCATAATTCTCCCTAATAGTCTTGCTAGAGTATTGAACACTCACAAATGTTGAGTGACAATAAGAAACATTTATATGAAGTTTGAAGTAGATACATTCAGAAAAAGAAGTTATTAAAAAAAAAACAATGTTTTTTAATGAAAATTTTAAGTTCAAGGGAGGTAATTCTGATAATTTTTGTGCTAGAGTTGTAAACCTTGTCACATATGATGTGGTTGATGACAAGCAACTTATATTTAAAGTTTGAAGAAAATACCTTAAGAAATAAAGAACTTATAGTGAAAAAACTTAAAAACTAGAATCAGAAATCTTGAAATTCAGTCTATTTGTTGCCATAGCAACCAGAATTTTCAACATAGGAAGATAAAAAAGGATGTGCATAATTTCCATATTGCCATCTACCAATTTGTCAAGTTTCATAAACATATTTTCAGTACTTTTTGTGTTATCACTGGATCCAGGTTATGTGTAAAATTTGCCATATTTTCAGTCTATTTGTTGCCATAGCAACCAGAATTTTCAACATAGGAAGAAAAGAAAAAGACGTGCATAATCTCCATACTGTCATCTATCCATATATCAAGTTTCATAAAAATATTTTCAGTACTTTTTGCGTTATCGCGGGATCCAGGTTATGTGTAAAATTTGCCATATTTTCAGTCTATTTGTTGCCATAGCAACCAGAATTTTCAACATAGGAAGAAAAGAAAAAGACGTGCATAATCTCCATACTGCCATCTATCCATATATCAAGTTTCATTAAAATATTTTCAGTACTTTTTGCATTATCGCGGGATCCAGTTTTGTGGACGGACGGACTGACGGACGGACAGACGGACGGACGGACGGACGGACAGACGGACAGACGGACGGAGGGTAAACCTAAAGTCCCCTCCGGTAAACCGGTAGGGGACTAAAAACAGTATCATATCTTCCCAAAGAAAAACCTCAATAAATAAACTTCTACACCTCTTATCAAGAACCAAAATGTCTTGTCTCCCGAAGGTTATTGCTTTGCAGAGGAGATCATACTGTATTTAAAACTCCAAATTCTAGAAAGTAAATCAAGGTTAAAAGGTTAAAGGTTAAATTTACCTCTCAATATCCTCAGATTCATCGGATGTTGTGTTGGCACTCATGGACTGTTTATGAAAAGAAATAACAACATGACACTCAGTGTTTTTTTTAAAGTAAGATATCAAAGTATATAGATAGCATTGCAATTAAATTTGATTGTAACTCAGGCAATAATTATGTATCACTCCTACAATTGTGCCACGAATTGATACCAAGAAATGGTGTTCTATGTATAAAGTGAAGTAATTAATGAGTCTGTCTACATGTCTCATGCCCACAACTGTTAATATTCTAAAGTTATCACATTATTTTTTTTTATTTAAAAAAGAAACCTCAGCCAGGCACAGTGACCCCAAACAAACAAACAAAACAGAATTTTTGTAAAGATATACTATGCTCTAATTTGATAACAGAAATGATTTATAATGTCTACAAAGTCTGTTTGTTTATATAAAATAAACATGTTTTGACTTCATTCAAAGTATATATGTCATGTTTAAAACTCTACAAACTATAGGTGGTCACAATATGAATATATTATGTCGTTAAAGAAACGGGCAGACCAACTTTACTTGTCCTGTAGATAGGAACATGGCTTCTAATACATTTTTAGTCAAATTAGACATATTCAAGGATTTAAATAAACTTCTTTGGTTAAAATATTTTACTGAAGGATGAGCATAGTATATCTTTAAATTACATATGCATATAAATTTTATGCAGACATTGAGACCGAACTGTAAGTTATTGTCAAATTATCTATATAATGTGAAACCTATATTTTGTAGTTCTATGAAAAACCACAAGTTTTGGTAAACTGATACCAGTCTATGGTTTAATGTACATAATTATGTAATGTAAATTATAGTATGCACAGATGTCTCTGTTTGTTTATCATTCAATGCGACTGTGTATCATTGATATTGTTTAAAACAAGAGCTGCCAGAAGGACTTGTAAGCTCACCTATTCTCAGAGCTTGACTGTTAAACAAAGAGCATAAGTATTGAAGGATATCTATATTAGTGAAAATTCAAATGAATTCTTTCAGGGTCACAAAGTTGCAAGTAAAACCTTTAAATGTTAAGATGCCACAACAGTGAGCCTTAATTATTCTTCTATTATAATGTTAAGCTAAATATGATAGAGTAATGACCTGTATGTAATATAACAATATAATTATACTCTATCATATAAACACATCATAGCTTTAATTCAACAGATAATTTGATCTAATTTAGTTGATTTTCACATTACTTAAGTCATAATTATGCCATCTTATGATCTATGAACTGTGTAACAAGTGTAAAATCCTCTAAATTGTGAGCCTATTAATTCAATTTATCTTAGGAAAATATATAGCAAAAATAATGTCTTTTGACCTAAAACATCAAACAATGTAACATTGACCTACAGGATCCTAGCAATGATTGTTATTTGCCTATGCCATCAGTATGGAGCCGGACCTCGCCTGCAAATCTGTACTGTCTGACCAACTATTGACAGGGAAGGAAAAAAACTTACCGGTGGGGTATCACCAGGCCCCAAGACTATTGCACAAAACTTCAGGTATCCTTTGGCACCAGCCATACTGTCCTCGGGATCACCTAGTAACAGCCATTTATTTACAAAGGCATGATTTCCTTGTTCCCATACCATACCAATGTCCATCTGGAATTCAGGAAAAAATTACTATCACAAACATAAACTTGTAAATAATCTAAATTTATAAGGAAGATTATTATTTCTTTATTCTTGAACTAATAACGATTTAAATTATATAGTATTCAAATTCTTCACAAGTCTCTATGAGAATTCTCCTTAAAGCACACAAATTGGCAGGGTTTGGATTATGAGATCTTTAGAAATTGTGTTCTTGCTTAATTGTCATGCCCTTAGATACCCTTAATTAGTTTTCACTTGTTTTTACAGGCAACTTCTACATAATAATGTATGCATGTAACTTGTTTACATGCTATTCATAAGCATGAGAAATTATGCCTTCATACTCTCAAAACAGTAATTCTGATTACCTTCACAAATCCATAATCTCTACTGTCTTTATCTACACATTTTGTTATTAATCAAACGCCCTTATATCAACAATGGACAGGTTCCAAATTCAAAGTAAGATAAGTCAAGCCGGTGCTAGGGGGCATGAGGGATGTTGTACTTTTTCATTATATTCCTTATGTACAGACTCAATCAAACCGAATCAAAATTTTCATGTAATTTTGTTGTGATTAATGCTTCTGAGTAATCACCATTTTTCAGATTTCTATCATACACATAAAGGTAAGCCTTACCTTGAACGACCCTATCATGGCATCAGATCTAAGTTTACGAGAATTAAACACAGTAAATTCTAAAAGTTCATCAAACAACTCTGCTGGTGATGCATTAAAATTGAAAAAGAATGTTTCATTCCAGAATGGTGAGTTCGTGGATTTCTGCACACGGGTCTGCTTCACTTGGTTGAAGCAGGTCACTTTACACACTGGTTGAATGTTTGATCCTTCAATTTGACGTCCCTCCAAGATTTTGATTCGGATCTATAAAAAGAAATGTATGATTTCAATGCAAACAATTTCCACATGTTCTAATATACAGGAGTAACTTTTAATGATTCTAATTTACTAGTCAATTAAAAGTGTATAACCATAATTTGCACTCTCCCAGAACACATCCCCTAAGGTAAAAGGGGATTCTGACTGTTCAATTTTCAAATCTTTGGAAATGTTAATGTCCTGGTTAAAGCCACAGCATTAAAATTTAAACTTGTACCCTCAGCCATTTTGGAACAAATAAAATACCACTGCATTAATCTTGTGGGGTCAGACAAAAGGTTTCCTCGACCCAAACCCGAGGGAGGGGTAAGTGGGGTTGCAGTTAAAGCTGGCATATAAATAGATGTAAATTCTTATGAAAATATCTACAGAAAGTCACTTGAGCTTTAAGCATTTCAGAGGATATCCAGCTGATCATGATATACATTCATTTTGCCTGTCACTAATGATTGAGAAAAAAGAAAAGTGTTGCTTTTTTTCATTGTTTAAAATAGTCACATTAAGAAAATTTGTTTCATAAAACATGGGGGACACGTTTTGATATGCATGCAACAAAGAAATACAAGAAATTATTGTTAACCTGGAAGTCCTGAGGCTTATTTGACAACTTCCCTCGGAATCTTCTTTTGCCCATTTTCTTCTTCTTTTTGGGACGTGGCTTTGGTTGTCCGGTGACAGGATCTATTTCCGGAGGTCCTGGATCAACCTCTTCTTCCTCTTCCTCCTCGCCCTCCCCTTCATCATCCAGCGTGACTTCCTGTCCGCCACCGCCAGCTGCTGTTGTGGCAGCCGCAGGTCCAGCTTGCTTCTGACCAGGAGGAGGGGCATAAGTAACCTTCATTTTAAGTTTTGTCTGAAAATCAGATATATTTTATTAACATTTGTTTTAAATCAATATTAATATACTATAAGTTTTGATACAAGTTTTTCACACTATTGTGGTAATGAACAAGTATTCAAGTAATCTTTGAATTGCTTTTTTGATTTATTATGAAATGATACTGTAACTGACAGGTTTACACCTACAGTAAAATAATGTTTATTGGTACCCTATACATAACATCTCTGTCATATTTCAGTCTGTTGTTCTGTTGATTGTACCTATCCTAAACTCATACCTATCCTAGACTCTTATCAATCCTAGACTCATATCTACACTAGACTCATACCTATCCTAGACACATACCTATCCTAGACTCATATCTATCCTAGACTCATACCTATCCTAGACTCATACCTATCCTAAACTCATACCTATCCTACACATACCTATCCTAGACACATACCTATCCTAGACTTGTACCTATTCTAGACTTGTACATTTCCTAGAGTAATATCTATTCTAGTAAATGCCTATCCTAGACTCATACCAATTATAGATTTATATCTTTCCTAGTACATGCCTATCATAGACTTATACCTGCCCTAGACTCATACCTATCCTAAACTCATACCTATCCTACTCATACCTATCCTAGACTCATACCTATCCTAGACTCATATCTATCCTAGACTCATACCTATCCTAAACTCATACCTATCCTACACATACCTATCCTAGACACATACCTATCCTAGACTTGTACCTATTCTAGACTTGTACATTTCCTAGAGTAATATCTATTCTAGTAAATGCCTATCCTAGACTCATACCAATTATAGATTTATATCTTTCCTAGTACATGCCTATCATAGACTTATACCTGCCCTAGACTCATACCTATCCTAAACTCATACCTATCCTACTCATACCTATCCTAGGCTCATATCTTTCCCAGACTCACACCTTTCCTAAACTGATACTATCCTACTCATCACCTATCCTAGGCTCATATCTATCCTAGGCTTGTACCTATTCTAGACTCGTACATATCCTAGACTCATGCCTATCATTGTACATGTCTATTCTAGACTAACACCTATCCTAGACTCATACAGGTCTATCCTAGACTCATACAGGTCTATCCTAGACAATAACATATCCTAGACTCATAGCTATCCTAGACATATACCTATCCTAGACTCATATATATCCTAGACTCATACATATCCTAACCTCATATCATTGAATTTATAATGCTGGATACAATGCTTCCTTGCAACCATATCATATCTTTATTCTTTAACCACAACAATGAAATTTTTCCAGCCATGAAAGCATATTACATTCAAACAAACAGGACATATTTCACATGACATTAAAGGGAAGTGTAATTATAATAAGATGTTTACACAGTAAGAGATAATCTATAGAAACACTACCCTAACATAAACAAGGTAAACATTGTTATACCAATAAATCAATGCTCACATCTCCTTAGTCATCAAAATTTAATATTAGGTAGGACATGTGAGAGAGAGAGATTTTATCTGCATTATCTTATTTCTGTTTGGTAAGCAATAAAAGACTGATTGTCTTAGTATCAACACATATTTCAACAATATTCATGACTTAAAAATTTCATAAATAAATAAAAGTGTATTCTTAACATACCCAGAAAGTACAAAATTAACACACAAATTTTAAGCTGGGCTAGATTAAACAAATTTAGGGGCCCCAATGCCCTTAACCAGCTGAATATCTAAAATGAAATTGTCCAGATTGCAACTTTGGAATTGTCCATAAAAGAATTTGAGGATATCAAAATGATACTGTTCAACCAGCAGTATAAAGCCTGGTCAAACTTCACGGATGTGTCGGCTGTACTATATTGGTGAAAAAGGTTAATTAGTTTTGTTTCCAGCGTGGTAGGGTTAGATTAAAATATACTTAATCTAAGACCTACCTGAGTCAAAGGCTGGCCATTGCCATCCATCAATATCGTATCTACATCTTTACTCTGTGTACCACCCCTACACAAGTCTGCCAATGGCACTTTAGCAGTACCCAGCAACCTGTGGAGATATAAGAATAACCATATAAAGATTTATTAACCTTTATCTATTTGATGCTAGATAATTGAAATCAATCTTTAGTGTAAAATGGAATATAGTTACATATAATATTATAAAGCTTGGTTAAAACATGTGTAATATAATATTGTTAGCATCATATAAAGCATGACTTGCTTATTTGAATTTATGGACCAACTAACACTGATGTTATACCAGGAAGCCAACTTATTATCCTAGTGAGACTCGAACCTGAAGAACCTCTAAATTGTAACACCTAAACTCAAGCTACATCTTTCCTAGTAGTTGATATCCTGAACTCAAATGTGTGTGTTTTTCCCTGGTACAAACTTTTACCATTATAGCATCATGGTGCACTACCGTTCACATTATGGATTTGTCAACCTGTTGTGCTTATTTTCAATGTTGTAACTGTTAAAGTTTGTTTTTACCCTGGGATTAGCTGAGAAACAAAAATTCTTAGTTTCACAGTATGATTACTGAAGAGGAGTGAGTGATACAGTATGAATCTATACTAAGGGAGATAACTCCATCAGACTTACTAAGAATATTCCCTGGAGGGGTGTAAAGTAATACAGTCTACCTTTGCATTCTTACTAACCATTGAGGCATGCTGGGCTATATATATTAAATGTCCAGGCATACAAACATAAACACATTGTGTTACATTATAATACAGACAATATTGTGAGAGTGTAACATAATGTATCACCATGATTTTAGACATGATTTAAACATTAAAGAAAATGTTTGAACACTCTATCTATAATAAAAATTTTACCAAGGACAATCAAAATACCTTAAAGGAATGTTTTTGTGTGCTTATATTGCAAAAATGTTATGTTTAATCTGGACTTTTTCCAATATATTTATGCTAAACTTAACACAGATTACACAATTATTGTTATTAACAGGTAGTTCAACATTTAAAGGCACATTATGCCTCAGATGCAATTTTTTTTCTCTCCACACATAAGTTTTATAATGTTTATATAGTGACTTAAGAGCAGGTAAAATCTTTATCACCTGAAGAAAGAAGTGCTGAATATAAAATTATTTGTCATAAATGTAACAAAATGTAAACAAAGAAGCATTTAAACTTCCATACAATATACTAAATCAATATATAACTTTAATAATTGCTTAAAAGCAAAAGTACAGGTAATTGGCCAATTTGTAATTTTTGGAAACTATATCCAAAAGAGCTTGTGAAATAAAAATAAGGCATAATGGGCCTTTAAATCTAAGTCCTGATAATATTTAACTTAAGTCATAAAATCATGACCTCAATATGTACAATGTATAAGATAAAAATTATTACATTGCAATGTTTTGTATTGGTAAAAAAAATATATTCAAATGCATGCAAAATGCATACTGGTAAATGGTATACATCATCAAGGATCTTGTCAAATTTACTCAGCTGTGCAATAAACTGTACATGTTATGGCATGATTCGCAAATAAATCATTTTTGTGAAAATGTGTAAATATATAGATGATGAGTGGGAGTATTTGTCAGATATCTCCTCTAACATATGATTTGTACAAATATTTTACACCTAAAGTAAGGCAACACCACAAGACAATGACTGATATTTTGTCAAGGTTACGAATATTATAACTTGTCATTGTAACAGTCACATCAAATATGTTTAAGAGATTCATTAATTCAAAATTTCACCATTACCATGAGTTAAAATTTTGAATTCAGCACACATAAGCCAGCTCTAGGGGGGCATGGAATGTTAACTTGCACTTTCCATTATCGTCCATGAAACATTTTCAATTTTGTCAATTTGGGCATTCTTTAGGAAATCTGTTTCGTAGTGTGTCCAGCTTTGTAAATTCTGAACTATTTATTGATTAGCAGTCAAAGGGATTTAATGGAAAAATATCAAGTGTAAAGATGCCTTATGAAGAACTCTGGGGGAAGATATTTTTTTGCCCTTCTGAGATCATGACAATGCTTCGTTAATATTGGCACCAGGACAGACATTCTTAAAAGCATCTGCACATAATAAAGCCAAAATAAGCATGCTTAAACATAAACAAGAGCAGAACTTTTCTACTGAAAACAATGGCACTAATAACCCTGAGAAAATAGAACAATGGCTGTTTTGACACAGAAAATTCTCTGGGATAATTCAAATACAATATTCTCAGTGATAAAAAAAAGCTCTTAGGTGTCAAAACCAGCCATGCCTATAAAGATATGAGAACAAACACCAGTGAGTGTTTCATGGATATTTACCCTCTATCATGTAGTAAGAAATAATTCAGATAATCAGGCAGAACAAAAAACTACTTATTATCTTTATTGGTCATGTTTTGTGTAATCTTACATATGATAATTCTAACAGCCCCAATTACTGATCCAGAAATTACTAAATAGATAATTACATGTAATTTTAGAAATTGTGGTGCACCAAAATTACTATTGTACAAATGTCAAGCAATTCTGGCAGGAACTAATATACTATATGTACCATTTAAACCTGGGTGTTTCTTTCATGTCTACATAGGGGGTTCTATTGAATTTTACCTTTCCCACTCTATATTAATTAATATTACATGCAGATTAGGAGAGAAACAATGAATAGACTCCCCCCTCTCCTTCCCCAATCCCCATGGTTGAAATTAATGCTTTAGATTTCTGTAGAACAATTTTTCTTTAGCAATAACATTGAATTGTCCTCTGATCAACAAGAAAAAGAAATCTGCTCAGTTTAATAATAACTCTGACTCTACAATGGACAAAAAGACGAAGTTAACCAAATTTATACGAGTTCAACTTAGGCATCCAGCAATGGCATTAATGCATTTTCACATTACTTCCCTTTGGTTTTTTCTTTAAATACTATAGCAATTACTGCAACTAATTTATAATAGTCTGGTTATAAATTTTCAGTAGAAGAATCACACTGGCCATAGCTTTTGCAGAAGTGGTGAGTCCATTGCAGCGGCGGTGGAGTATTCGTCGCAGAAGCGGTGGATAAAATATGGCCGTTTGCTGTTGTCGGTAAGTATATGACTGAATTTTGTTTTATGTTTTAATGTTTTACTTGAAACACTCAGTGAGACTGGAGCCCACATTTGTACTCTTTTAACCTATTACACGCACACGGTGCAATTCATTGCCGTTTATGCAAACACTTCTGTACAGTTTGATGAGGGGACGCCATTTTTGCCTAATTTTGGTTAAAACACATACAAATATGTGCAAAACGACCCCATAATACAACGGCATCACATCGAATGAATGATATATTCACAAATTAACCATAATTAGGAAAATTGGGAAATTATTCCCTGCGGTCTGGAGACCGCAGGGTATTGGTACGCGTTTTACTTTTGAGGCATGGAGGAGCACGTGACCTGTTTTCGGTACATGGAGGAGCATGTGATCTGTAAACCGTATATGATTGGTTAATTGACCTTTTCGAAAACCCAGCTAAATACCGTTTGCCGGTACGTTACGGATTTACCAATGTCCGAATTACACCTAATTGAGAACAAAAATCTATTACGTGAGATTTCTAATTTTCTATAATCATTTTACCGTTCAAGGTGGAAAAACTTGAATGATGTGTTTGAAAATTATCAATGTTTCTTTAATATCTATCCCAAATTTTACAAACAATAAATTGTTTATACTGAAAATCTGCAAAATGAAAATATTCGTAGTGGCATCTGCCATAATAAAAAGAGATATTTTCTGCGTAAACTTGTGTGTTTACTTTATTTATTTTTTGCTCGGAATTATTCATAAAATGGTAGGCCTATTTAATAATTTTCTTAAAAAGAAATAATTGTTTTATGTTCGACCTTCTCCGGTCTTCAACGGTCACATGCAGTTTCCAAAGACCTTCTTCTATATTGTTCGATTATTGTCAACTATATTCCTGTTACAAACGTTTATTTATCCCCCCAAATAATGTTGAAAATAGTTAAATGAAATATCTTTATATCATTAAAATGTTCACCGCAGGAAACCATTTTACTTATTCTTGCCTTTTTATAAAATAAATGACAAAAAATGTTTTTGTTGTAGACGGAGGTGGATTCGATTGCAACGCAGTGCGGTGGGCCCGATACCATATTTGTATATTTTAAAAGTTTAACTTGACGTAACGCACTTTTCAATTGAGTTCGGTCCTTTTCTTACTTTGACTCCTGAGAAACTTGATTATTTGATGTTTAAAGCGACATTAATTATTATACCCGGTATATACGCTCGTACAAATATATGTCCCATGTCCGCTATCATTTTCCTTCCATTGAAAATTACTTCAGCCGTAATTATCATAAAATAATCCACGTTCAACAATTTATTGCGGGTTATTACTAAGTATCAAGTATTTTTGAGTGTGAATGCACCATTCCAGTTGAAAAGCGCAGGAAAGTAAGAACATATATAGTGCCCTTTATCATATTTGTATTTCCAAGTTCATATTAGGGATCATGCATTTGACAACCCGGACCGCTGAGGAAACGGCGGAAACTAAGTCATAATAGTTGACCTTGATGCACCACCGAAAGGAAATTTAGCGATGTGCAGGGAATTCAACAAATGTGATAAATTCAGCCAAAATATCACATGTGTCAGACATTTACTTGTTACACGTGATCACGTGTTATACCTTATAACCAATGCCGATTTCTGACTTATTAAAAGCGGCATGGCAGGGATATATATATGCATATATTTTTGCATTACGGCATATGAGTTATAAAAACATAAAGTTAACACATATTCATGGCATTTTCGAGACTATCATTTTAGTTATAAAGATTTTGAAAGGCTATACAATATGGCCGTATATAAACTGTTGTTTGAAAATATAATATATAGACATACAATACTTATTAAATAAACAGTAGTTGTGTATATAAATATATAAACTTTATAATACTGTTTGTTTGTAACGTAATTTGTAATTGGAAAATCGAGACATTTATTTAATTACAGAGATTTTGGTTTATTTGTAACTTTATTTTCTGATTTTTACACACATGTACAAGTATTAAAAAGAATTTCGATAGCTATTAATATTGCGAACAACCGTTTATATACGACCATATAGCCTGTTGGATTTATTTATAACGAACTCATAATACATCAAGCATTTTTGTTAGAAAAAAATGAGATAATTTCATAAATCGACGGCAGCCATGTATTTAAAAAGTACATTGTATGTATATAAACGTCACGATTAGCCAATGAAGTGACGTAACAAACGTGCAGTATAGGGTCACATGCACGCAAAATTAAGGAGGTTCAATACAATTATATTCTTTAAATTGAGCATGATGCTAGTCACCGATCTCATTTCCTGTATGTGAATTTGATTTTTTCCTTAATTGTGGTTATTTCAAGGTCATACAACTTAAATGTAAGTCTGAAATTTTTTCCCCGCTTGTTATGTTCTTCACTATATTTGGGTACATTTTCAAAGAATGACTTAATTCCATAAAATATTTCTATTATCTTTTTTTTATTTCATTTCATACTTTTCATTCTTTAAACACATACCATAGTCTTTTTTCTATGTCACAATTTAAGAAAAGAAGAAAAAGTAAAGCTTAAAACGCGTAGGTCTTTACAAAAAAAGTAATAGAGAAAACTTTTCCTGAAATAACTTATACGCTGTAAACATAAAATTTATTTAAATTGGTGTTCTCAGTATATGGTATTAATATAACACAGTGACATTCAAATTCTTAAACTATACAAAAATGGTATCGTGCCCACCACACTGCCTTGCAATCGAATCCACTGCCGTCTGCGACGAAAACATTTTTTGTCATTTATTTCATAAAAAGGCAAGAATAATTTGCCAAATTTTCCTAATTATGGTTCATTTGTTAAAGTATCATTCATTCGATGTGATGCCGTTGTATTATGTGGTCGTTTTGCACACATTTGTATGTGTTTTAACCAAAATTAGGCAAAAGTGGCGTCCCCTCATCAAACTGTACAGAAGTGTTTGCATAAACGGCAATGAATTGCACCGTGTGCGTGTAATAGGTTGAAAGAGTACATATGTGGGTTCCAGTCTCACTGAGTGTTTCAAGTAAAACATTAAAACATAAAAAACAAAATTCAGTCAACAGCAAACGGCCATATTTTATCCACCGCTTCTGCGACGAATACTCCACCGCCGCTGCATGGACCCACCGCTTCTGCGAAAGCTATGGCCAGTGTGAGAATTGTGTGGTATAATTAATATACAAGTGCAAAAAAAAACAACAATTATTTTGATATTTAAATTTATGTTGTTTCTTCCTGGTTCAGTGTTGAACAATTATCTGGTGAAATATACAATAAATGATAGTTATATGTACTAAATATATAATGCAAATGTCAATTGTTACCCCTCCCTCCTCATTTACACAGGTGAGCCAGGGGACATGTCAGAAGTTGATCAGCCGAACAGGCTTTCCTGGACAACTTACCAATTCATGTATAAAACAAAACTATTTTACGACTGATATATGTCTCCTTAATAAAAACCCTTGAAAACATTTTACATGACAGATAATTTATAAACATGCATAAGTAAATGAGACCCTTTCAAAACAGGAATTTATTATTTCCTCTTTCATTGCAAATGTTTCACCTTACTTCATTTCATTAACATTATTTATCTATTTTCTAAATAGTTAAATGGTTAAAAGATTTTTTTCAAAGCAAATTGAAGACAATTCCTTAAGTTCAAAGTAAGTTTGAAAGACTTAATAACCAAACCATAATTCATTAGCCTACATAAATAATGTCCCATCATTAATGTAGAGCTAGGCTGGTCTGAACAACTATGCAGTCTGACCAGGCTCTTTCAGGTAATGTCATTCTTTTATTTTGATAATAAAAGCCCTTAAACATTGAACAAAATGCAAAAATGGGCAAATCCATTACAACAATTCAACAGGTTAAAAGTTCAGATCTTTCTTGCCATATTACTTTATAATTATCCTAATCTTAAAATGTACACAGGCAGCAATAACTTTAATTCAGTCTGGATCGATCAGAGTACAAAGTCTAAATACACATACACAGTACTATGAAAATGCCACTGAACTTGACCTATTGTTTCCAATTTTAAGGAAGTCAATAGTCAATTCTGGCAGTTTTGTCAAAATACATGGAAAGGAAAATCACAGGGCCAGGCTTTTTTTAAATACTGGTCACCACAGGACATTATTGCCTCAAAATGTTAACAATAATATAATGTCAGCACAAATCTATCAATGGTGCAGTAAAGTATTTCAGGACTACAAACCAATACCAATTATTATTGACAGGTCACACTGGTCAAACTGGTCAAACAGTCTGTCATGAATGGAGAAAACAAAACAAGACCTAACTGACCACACAGATATTGGATTACTAAATTGCACTGTGTTAGTAAATTTCCGTCTAGATCAGATATTGATTCAATCTTCCAGATTTAGTGAAAAACACACCATTTGCCACATTCATGAGAAGAATTTCCAGAGCCAGTAGCTCAGTACATAATTATAGGGAAAAAATAAACAATTTGTCACATAAATAAATTTCATATAACTTGGAGTCTGAAGTCAGAAAGTCTGTTGTGTCTATCACAGGTTAAACATATGTAATGTAAGCATATATTCACAATATGTGTTTATTTTACAATCTCTGGAAGATAAAAGTGAAATAAATTCACTGTAGAAAATATTTATCTTCTTCAAACTATGTTCATGCTATCGGTTTACCTTGGCAAAGAATGTTTTACATTACTTAAGTCTTGAAATATCTTTATATATAGTATGGTCCATTTAATATTACGTGTAAAAGTTGTTTATTATTATGATTTCAACCAGCTTAAACCTCCAAATTTAATTGAAACTCTAAAATTTAAATCAAGAATATTTTAATTCAACATTTCATCCCAGAGGTCCATCATACTCTCAAAGGGTAGATGGACCCTCATTAAGCTTAGAATACACACATTTCATTCTAGTCAATACAAATAGTAATAAGCCTTCTTATAATGTAAGATTTTGCACTTTCTGATAATAACCAAATATTATTATGTATCCTGCAGGAATGTGCTAGTATTATGAATGATTTAACAGGTCTGAATGAAAGTTGTCATAAAATTTTAATTTTTCCAGTCATGAAATAATAATATTACACCTTGGAGACTTTATTCATGACTGCTTTGCTAAAATGATCAAAGCTTCAAGATAAAAAATCAATCATTCTTGTACATAGTGAAAGATTATCAGATCATAGGTGTTGAAAGATCACAGGTGTTGGAATCTATTATTCTAGATTTTTTTTGGAAGTAGCCAAATAAAACCACCAACCTTCCATAAGCTTGTAAAATAGTTTCCTCAAGTTAAAATAATCTGAATTTCCTACCTAGATTCAAACAAACATTGCCAAGGGTCAAATGATTCAAAGGTTCATAAGCAATTAATGCAAACCTTAAGCATTCAACAATACGGTTAGAGGCCCTTTTCCAAGCTCATCTCCCTGATTTTCAAGTCATACTAACATGTGCACAAGTAAAGAACCTGAGGTCAGGCTCCACGTCTGCATATTCTCACTATAACTATCTGTTGGTTGTTCAAACATTCTTAAAAGTTAAAATTCAATAAACTTACAATTATTGATAATTCTGTAACCAGGTCAGACCAAGTAAATTAATATAATATATAATAATTTGAGACGCCTCATGACAAAACCAACATAGTGTGTTTGCGACCAGCATGGATCCAGACCAGCCAGCGCATCCGTGCAGTCTGATCAGGATCCATGCTGTTCGCTATCAGTTTCTCTGCTTGTTATTGAGTATGTAAGCTACAGCATGGATCCTGATCAGACTGTGTGGATGCGCAGGCTGGTCTGGATCCATGCTGGTCGCAAACCCATTATGTTGGTTTTGTCATGACACAGCTCATTTAGTTGAGGTATTAATACAAGAATACAAGAACAGTTGCTGCTTTAAAAAGTATTGTACCTGTTTCTACCAACTCTTTCCCAGTCCTTGACTTCCACCTCCAGCTGGTCATTTCCACTGATTGGTACACCTCCAAGATCAAACTCTAATGTCTGAAATAAACAGGTTCATTTATCATAATTACATCAACCTTTCACAAAAAGGAAACGCAAGTAAAAAAGAAAATCTTATAATCAATGCTTAGTATAAAAATATCATGCTTAGCATAAAATGACTTAGAATGATCAACATTAATAAAACTTAAAATACTTAAATTTGACAATGGTTAAATTTAGTAACGCTGAGATTGCATATGCAAAGCTAAGACATAGTTTTGATAGATTGAATAAATTGGCAATCTTTTAATTGAATGGCAATGCTTTGATTGAATATTGCAATGCTTCAATTTAATGGCAAGAGTTTGATTAAATTACAAGGCTTTGATTGAATGGCAAGGCTTTGATTGAATATGGCAAGGTTCAGTTAAATATGTCAATGCCTTGATTGAATGGCAATGCTTTGATTGACTGACAAGCCTTTGATTAAATAGCAAGACCTTGAATGAATATGGTAATCTTTTAATTGAATGGCAATACTTTGATTGAATATGGCAATGCCTTGATTGAATGGCAATCTTTTAATTGAATGGCAATGCTTTGATTGAATATGGCAATGATTTGATTGAATATGGCAATGATTTGATTGAATATGGCAATGATTTGATTGAATATGGCAATGCTTTGATTTAATGGCAAGACTTTGATTAAATAGCAAGACCTTGAATGAATATGGTAATCTTTTAATTGAATGGCAATACTTTGATTGAATATGGCAATGCTTGAAATAATTGACAATGCCTTGATTGAATGGCAAGGACGTGACTGAATATATTGCAAGCTTTGATTGAATGGCAAGTCTTCAATTCCTTAGGCAAAATTCAAAGATATAATAAGAGCACCACACACATTGTTAGCACTTGTCTAGTAAAGACAGCAGCAATGATAACAGCTCGACATTTGTTTAGAAACAGACAAGCTAACAAAGGTCTTTGAAAATGCATCATCAAGTAATTTACTTTTGCATACAAATTAAAGCAACGGCCATTATCCAAAATGATATTTTTCAGTTCCCATGTGCAGATGGAGCTGATGTGCAGTCAAACTGAGCCTTTGGTGTGTATTTTAATAACACTCTCCATATAATATACATGTATATATTATTAATTATTATCCAAGTTAAATATTATAAATATTTTATCACAAGGGATTCTGTTATTATTAAAGTAAGGTTTAAACAAGTAATAGATATAACAGGTTGATAGAGACTATCAAGCACTTGATAATGAATGAGTGAAGTATGTCCGACACCACTTATCTACAGTGTGTCAAACATTCTTCACCTCTCAATATCTTGATAATATATTATACTACCTATCATGATTGAATGACACACAGTCAACTTTATTAGTAAACTAATCGTCACATTTTCAATAGCTGAATTTTTCTTCGATAAACTAATAATCACATTTTCAATATTAAAAATTATCATTATATCGATCTACAATAAAGTAATGGTCCCATTTTCAAATTTTCACAGCAATCCATAACCTCCTGATCCATGTCTTATGGTCACATTAATCCTAGTACCATAATATGGTCACATTTTCTAGTAAAATAATATGGTCACATTTTTGAAATTTCAACACATTGTATGACTGATTAACTTACGGTCAGATTTTTTCATATACTAGTTAGTATATTTTATCTAAAGAAATAGATATGGCTATTAGATTGTATTAGTTTAAACATAATGGTAAATTCATTTCAAAGAAAGCATTAACCTTAAAAATATATCTATAAATCTGATATGCAATGAAATTTTGTTGAGGAAATTTTGTTGAAATACTGTAGAAAATTTTTTCTCTATGCTGGGAGTCCACAGCAACTCCATTACATGCTCAACTGACATGATCCCACTTCAATACAGCTGAGTAGTGTTTACTAGATTAATAAAACAATTACTGAAAGTGATAAGCCTAATTGCCACCACTATTGAGTCTGCTGACCAGGCACTATACTGTTGAAATCCTTTAAACTTTGAATGGAATGTTCCAAATTCAAAGCAGGGCAAATCCATTATACAAATTCAGAAGGATCAGGGTTAATCTGGTTATGTAACAGGATTTAGTTATACAGTGGATAACTTCCAAAAACAACAGGCAATATGCACAAAAATACATTTCATAGCACCCTTTCCTAAATTAAAGTCAAAAGTTGCATATTTTTTCTCATTTGTTAACATGAATGTTATTTATCAATAAATAAGAATGCTTTATAAGATCATTTTGACCAACAAAAATTGATAAGATTAAATAATATATACAATGTATGTGTTTTCTTTAAAATTTTCCATATAAAACTCAATATGTCACATAAAAAATACAATATACACCATTGCGTGACATTCTTTACACACGGTTTTTGATGTGTATATTTCAAAGTGAAACATTAAGATGTTATTTCAAATGTTTATGAATCATAGGTAAAGGTACGTGTAAAAACATCATGAAATCGTTAGTGCGTATACACTTTATGATAGACTATGACAACTTTGAATGATCAGCAATTTCTTATTGACGACTGTATAACATGTACCAATGCATAAATACCCCAAGGTCATTCATTTTACCCGGATGAATCGAGTCACATAAGAAGAGAAATGATATTATTATTGAATGGTGAAAGTTTGATAATCCCCTTTTCAATAATTCATGCTTTTCAATAATTCATGCATATCAATTCATGTATTACCAGATATAAATATTAGCATTTAAACTTAAATAGTTTATTTTAACTATAATTAGCCCGCTTCTACCAATATGTCCAGTGCAGTTACCAAGATCAGTCGAAACATCCATGCCATCTGATCATGGTCTGCACCAGCTCACTATTCAGTTAATTACCTATGATGAATAGTTATATACATATTGAAGATTGACGATATTAATTGGGGTGAAGTGCATTTAAGATATTAAGCAAGGTAATTAATGGTTAAAAATAGTAAAGTGCAGTCACTTAAATATAAACTTTTAAAGTAATAGAAATCTAAAAGAAATATAAAAGTGAGTTTCTCTGATGCAATTTACACAAACTGCAGCAATTTATATAATTGTAATTTTATCTCCAATGGTGGGCTGTTTATCTCACCATATACACTAGAATTTGCCATTTTCATTTTTTGTTGTTCAAAACTTTATACAATTGGCATCATTGTTATCTAGAATTATATTCAAATTAGAAAATAATAATGCACATTTCCGAGAGTTGATCTCCCAACCTCTCAATAGTAAGTACTGGACCAGAAACTGTTACAGTTTTGACCTCAGTTGAGTAATTTCAATTGGCACTTAAAATGACATTATGAAAATAGATATTCATTCAAACAGTTAAGCACATCATATCAAAGACATTATTGTTATTTACATGATCTGCATGTCAACAAAATGTAGGCACACACATCATGCAGTTTCCATATATAGAACCAAGGCTGTTCTTTGTTTAAAATAACATTGTAAGTGGGAGTTAAAGGTACATATAATTATGACATGAAGAGTTTAAATAGTAATTTAAATATTCAATGCTTTATTGTTTATAAATAATTTAAAGGGTATCAACAATATAGCATTGTAAACCACTTAGACTGATTAAATTCTGACATTATATGACACACCTGTTATTAAAACTCAGATAACATTACATATGTTATCATATACCATATGTTACATTGGTTATCAATTCATCATATCAGCTCAATGTAACCTTAGTAATCATTATTATAATGTCTGTACAAACATCTTATTTTTTGTAATCATACTTTACAATAAGGATCAAACATATTATTATGGTATAAACATGTTTTATTCATGTTTAATTTAATACATGTATATATCATTATTTTTTTTCAGTTTTATTCTATAAAACAAACCAGTGTTTATTTATTGTCAATTTAATGAGGAACCATGGTTACATGGACTTTGGTACAACTCACACCCTCAAACTTGACCTTTAAATGTCCTTGACAGTCAAGGTCAAATTATTGAATTTTGGTTAAGTTGTCATACTGTAATTTTATAATTTATGTACAGATTTGATTCATACATACGAGTTGAGAGGCATTTCTGAACCAATAGACCTCTCATTCAACTTTCTAATTCAAAAATTTGCCTAGGTTAATCATGTGAGCCATAGATTCAGGCCTAATATTCTGCAAATATATATGGCATCAGTTAAATATCTTACAATATAGTCAGTACTGAGTACATATATATTCAATCACACCAGACTAATCAATTTGAAATTCTGAAGCAGAAAACCATTTTAAACTACAAAAGAAATTGAACATGCTCCAGGGTAAGTTGACATTACATAACTACCATTTAGCAGGGTCATGGTTTAAAATGAAACAATTTTCATTTTTTCAATTTAATCATATATGCATGCAGTCAATACAAATGTACCTGTCTTATTTGAGTCGTTCATACAATCTTTTTTATGTTTACAAAAGAAATTTTTTTTGCTATCTAAAGTTATGTAAAATATCTCAACCAAGCCTAAAATTTTATTATAGGTAAATTATTAGTTTTTGAGTAGGATTTCTACATAGACATGGTGCAAATGTGTGGGTTGAGGACATTTTGATAAACTATGCAAAGGTTTAACATTAATCTGGTCCCCCAATACAAATATTCACCCTGGCAAGAGTATTTTGATATGTCAAACTTAAACTGATTACCACTGGACTTTATATATCTGATCTCTCTATGTTGGTATGCATGTACTTCATATTAAAGAAGCTATGTCATAAATTAACAATTTATTTGCACTAGCTTAAAGGGGCTATATGCTTTAATTTTCAAAATTTTCTACAGTGACAGCAATGTTACTTAATTTCACATAATTTCATGTTTGCATTCCTAAATCATGCATCACCCATACATAACATGTCAAGTGTCAAGAACTTAACATTCACTTTGACAAATCATTTTAATGTTATCATTATCTATTAATGATAACTATATGATAACCTATTAGTATTATTAAATAATTGTTACATTTGTAGATTTGAGCATTCTTTAAAGGTTTTGATGTGTCCCGATTGACAACATTTTTTCGAAATTTGTGTAGAAATAAATTCCAAGTTTTGTCCAATTACTAATGTGTGCAAATTTTAATATCAATCCCTCACCATATTTTCCCATAATTATCAATTTTATTACGCAAAATAACCCAAAAATGAAAAGGGTTGGACAAAAAATCAATTTTCAATTTAATTCTGAGAATATTTCTTTGTTCCTTAATGTTAAGTTTTTAATTTTAAATTTAATTATTTCACTTGATATTTTTCAGATTTTCAAATATTATGTTTTTAAGCATTTGCACCTCAATGGAATTCCTTTAATGCTTTCAATGCAAGAACATAATGAATTATCATCACTTAATTATATTTCACTCTTATCTGACCTGTGTAATACCACTAGTATAGCCACTGCTTGTTGTTGTTTCTTTTTTTCACCCCTTTTTTTACACTTATATTGCAAAATTTAAATTGGGGACAAAATACCGTATATACATGTAGCATTTTTAGGAGCACAGTGTCATTGTAGGGTGGTTAAATATCTGTCTTTCTTGATCAACTCCGAGATCACTAATAGGAGTACTTTTCTGCAAGGGGTTACAATATTGTTTTAAAGCAGTGACCTGAATACCCTTTAAGCCTTCATCATAATCCAGTTAAAGTCATTTGATTTAGAAATTTAACCTCACTTAAAGATCAAACTATTTTAAAAGTACTTGACAATTTTTTACTCTTCATGCCTATCAAATGAAATACATTGTAATGTCCTTAGAGATGATCATGTTATTTCTTCCTGAACTGACTTTAGACCTTTATATTATTATTAAAAAAATCTCAAAAAAACAAAACAAAACAACTTCCCTTTATTATAAGATATAATTTTTGTCATGTCATATAAAAATATCAATTTGGAGCAGAATTCATGTTACACTTCTAACATAAAGTGAACTTATAATCTTCCTTATTATTAACAATTAAAATTTCTTAACACTTGTGCCATCATTCTGCATAGATAATTGTTTATGCCACCATAATGCAAACAAGTGCCAGAAAGGGGTTGGGGGTCATGACCTCCCCTGGGATTCGGCTATTATGTATAAAATATAATATAACATCAAGGTCTTGATAATACTGTCCTAGGATGATAACTTGAGCCTTTGTTTACATAACAAAGACCAATAACAATGCGAAAAATAGGTGAGGCAGATCAATGCTACAACCTATAAAAATTAAAAGAAAACTACATAATCATATGACTTGTTAGCGCAGTAGGTAGAGCAACCGTGTTGGTAATGCGTTTTTTGCCCGTACAGGCAGAAGTTCGACTACTGGTAAGACACTTCTTTTTTACCTCAGAAAACAGTCAATTGTTCAGAAAACAAGTTTGACCGTTTTTTCATATACATACATGAATATGATATCGAATATTTTATTACACTGCGATCAAAAAATACAAAAAGAAAATAGAATGGAATTTAAAAAAAAAATAAATATATACTATAAAATATATATTATAAGAAGAAAACAAAAAGGAAAACGAAAAATAAATAAAGAATAATGATAAAAAACAGAAGAAAAAACTGTGGTTATAAAATGACACTAAGTTGGGTTCGAACCTATGAGTACAAAACACTAATAGTTACAATTACTCCGACCTACCGACAGAGCCATAACGGTAATACACAAACGATTCTGTAAGAATAATGCTATATAGTATATGTAAGTGTTTACTTTACGATATCGGATAATAATCCAGATAACCCCGTTTTTCGACTTTCCCATGTACTGTTAAGACCAAATTATCATCTTAGGACAGTAACTTACATTAAATCATCATGTAAATTATTGACTCATGACCCCCCCCCCCCCAATATGAGGGGGAAAATACCCCTCGTTAAAATATTGACTAAATGCCGTCCCTGATATTAGGGGTAAACCTGATGAATGCTTAAACACAAATGCCGACACCGATGCTGACGCCTGATGCAATGATTTTTTTCAGAACAACCTGTGGATATCTGAAGGGGAAATTATAGCACAATAAATCAGAAAAGGGGGAAGAATATGCATAGGGCATTTCATGAGAAAATATAGGATTTTTATGGGATTCTAAAATATTTTGGGCTAGGCCGGGAAAGAGCCTTTATTTGCCTGTAAATTAACATAGAGAAAAATCAGTGGAAAGTCAAGCTAAAATATAAGCATATGGTAGCATAAATAATGGAAGTTTCTTGATAATTTACATATTAATATATAAAGTTTTACCTCATTCCATTTGGGATTTAAGTCTGATTTTATAACTTGCGTCTTTTTGGATATCCCTGCAACATAAAAGTACATGTATACTTTTAAAGGAAAGAAAATGCAATAATTAACTAGTATCATGTAATTAATATTTGGGATACTTAAGGGTAAGATGTACTTTAATATTGTTAAATAATACACATGACAATCCCTAAACTGCAATGAGGATATACTCTTTACAAATATTCTAGATAGTGTGCAAAATAAAAATTGCAAATATTTCAAACATGTTTGACGATCTAACAATGTATTTTAAAGTGGAGCCTATAAATACACTGACAATCCCATTAAGTAGTTGGCAAACTACATTATTATTATATATCGTTTAACATTTAGTACTATAAATCTGTCATAGTATTGTTATAATTATATGTAGCTTTTTCACTTTGTCTCTCTTTTTTTTCTTAAGAAAAAAAAAATATTATCAAGCTGACATTATTTAAGGCAAATATCTATAAACTATATCTAATAATATAATAAAAATAAATAAACTGTATTTTTGCCAAAATACAGGGAATATTATATAAATACTACATAACAGACAAAAACGATCTTTTACTATGAGCTAAATTAAAAATGCTGGCCAACACATTTCATATTATTATTAAAAAAAAATACTTTTTACAAGAGCTTTTATTGCAACATTTTCAGTTTCATTTATATTTAATTACTATTTATTTTGACAGAAATGAATAAATAAAATTTCCATACATAAAAGTAAATTTAAAAGCTATGGTTTTTTATAATGCTTAAACTCATAAGTAAGAATCTGCAAACTTCGTATAGAAAATGCAATACACAAACAACGAATACACACCTATTTCAACATGTATGTTCTATTTATAGAAACATCTTACCTTGATACTTCAAAGTGGTGTACGGATCACTTTCACCAAAAGTTTCCAAATTCGGAACATTTGAAGCGCTAATAACTTCTACCTTCAAAGACATGGTTCTTTACTCTAATGTATTTTCTAAAAATCCATTTTAATCAAAACACCTTTCCTTGAGAATTTTGTCGATTTCCCCTTCCTTCTTTACACTCCGTGCATCTTGTTAAGTGTGGGTGTGACTTGACAGCCGATGTACCGGCTAGTTGAATTGTGGGTAATTGCAATTAAGCGAACAGGTGAATAAAGGGAGACTAATGCGTTTTATTTCCAGAATTAAATACAATCGTGTGTTGAATGAGTTACCTCGCTTGAAATCACGCGATAAAATCTAAAATTTAACAGGACTTTTTAATAACTGGAAACAGGATCCAGTTTTAGTGAAATAACGAAGATTGTTAGATGTAAGGAGCTATCTAGAAGTAGAATTTCTAATCTAAATGATCACATGTGATTGTCTGTTTCACATATATATAGCTATGTATACTGCGAGCAAAATGCACGCGCATCACGTGAAGTAGTCGCAAGGGAGTTTTCGCTTTTAAGCTTATCTATGAGATCTTTGATGAGATGAAACCGCAAACGTATTTTGAAATAAAAAATATTTTGAATGAACAATTAACATTTACTGTATTGATGTGTTTCTACACACATATTTTCTAAAGGGAACTTGAAGGCGATGGCTCTCGTGATTAATTTACATATGAGCCGCGCCATGACAAAACCAACATAATGGGTTTGCGACCAGCATGGATCCAGACCAGCCTGCGCAGTCTGATCAGGAGTCATGCTGTTCGCTACCAGTTTCTCTACTTGTTATAGGGTTTGTAAACGAACAGCATGGATCCTGATCAGACTACGCGGATGCTCAGGCTGGTCTGGATCCATGCTGGTCGCAAACGCACTATGTTGGTTTTGTCGTGACGCGGCTCAATGATAATGGTGGTCTCATACTGACTGTTTGCGCCGAAACAGCCCGTTCCGGCAAGTCATTCCACGAGCTGGGAATTCGAATACATTAAAGAAATGTTAGACTTCTTAAAGGGAGACACAGGCAAAATTTTCATTTCTTAGTTTTGAATTTTTCGTTCCTAATTCTGTAAATGCCCTCAAAATAAATATATTAGACAGTCAAAGGAACAAAACTTTGCTCCATATTAAGAATAAATTGGCGGTTTCCTAACCTGACCCGCGTGGGTCAGGTTAGAGCGCTAGGATTTCACAATAGTTGTCACAGTGAACTCTGGAAACGTTAAAGAACATGTCAAATGAATGATTTAAGTTTGTTTCAATCATACAATATCCATAGTATCTGTTAATGTAACTTCAACGATTTTTTAAGTCACCTGACTTGTTTTTAAATTATTCGGTGATTCTATAGGCATTAAATTTTGTTAAACATATATAGATATATTTATGCTTCAAATCCAAAATATAGAGAATTTTAACAGAAATTTATGCTGAAACTTTTAGAAATGTCATTTTAGCGCGAGATGAGTACAAAAGATCACTTTAATATTTTTGTCATTATTTTGCCTGAATATCCCTTTAAAGAAGGCATTGAAAAGTAACGAAATACAAAATATAGCATAACTTAAAGTTTATTATAATTATTATAATAGTGTGCTCGCATCATGTGAATTCAAAACTATATAAAGAAGCAACACAAACATGTGTTGATATTACAATGTATTATACGTGTTCTAGTCTCTGATAGTTCAATGTTTCAATGGCCATTTACACTGTTTGTCATATTATGTATGCTTATGAAATCGAAATTTTATATGTACATGAATGAGATTTAAATAAATAAATAAAAAAAAATAATGTATATGCATGTATATTGTTTTGTTTCAAAAGTGTATACATAGTTTAAACATCTTATGAGAGAAACTTATCATTTCTGCCGTAGCTGCGTTCTGTTGGAACAAATGATTCCATGCTTTGAAAAACCATTGTCATCTTAGTTAATGGGTAAATCTTTACATATTTTTTTATAGGAAAATAATTTATGATGAGTGTTTGTATATATTGTAAAGATTTGTGCCTTACCATATATTATATAGATAGCAATATTGTCCTTGATTTTAAGGATGTTACTTACATGTACGTCGTCTTGTGTTAGGGTTATATAGTTGATTTTTTTCAATTTGCCCAAGAAGTGTGAAAACATCAGCTCTACATCCGTGAAACAGTTAATATTTCAAATGCAGAAGCTTTTCATTAAACAATTTGAATGTATCTAATGAGTATGCTCAAATAAACTTCCAATATGGATATTGATAAAAAAATAAATTTCCGCTGATCCAAATGTGCGCTATAACTCGATATGTGCTGAATCACAGGGTAAGTGTTCAACTTTTTTTTTAATATTAATATAAAATTCAAAGCTTATTTTAAAAAAGAAAATTGAAATGTGATTCTACACTAATGACTTTCCTTTATATTTACCTATTTTTGTTCCGGATTTTTATGCAGTCTTCATCGAGATATTATTTCCGTCGTAAGTTCTGGTGTGCCCAAAATATCAAATGCGTATGAATAAAAATGTCGATAAACATACTCTAAATACAGAGTTTTCACAAAATCTTACCACCAAACGATGCTTAACATTCAAACAAACCGTTATTGAAAATTGTATTGAGATGGTCTCAAAATAAAGGAATTGCTGGTCAAAATTCCATCTGAGCTCCATATGTGCTGAAGAGATTCATAGGGGATATAGCCCTACTCGTAGTGCAAGACATATGCCTTACGATCATGGAGTAGCTTCCATCCAAGACTATGCCCCCGTTATTATCCAGGGAAAGGGCGGGGACAAGTTACACTTTGGCTTACTCATGACAAAAGTGCTGACTGCTAAATTAATATAAATGTATTTTGTTGCTAGGTAGAACCGTACGAGTTTTTTCCTGCCATATGCGGGGATCGATCTCATGTACATTAAGCACCGATATATTTCTTTAATTACATGTGCCTGAATACCATTGGACAAGATGACAGTATCGGTTGTGTCAGACATATAATATGGCAGCTGTAAATGTTTGATATCAAATGTTGTCCCGTATATCATATCAGTGTTGTCATATTTACCTTTGGAATCATTGATTTTGTTCAGGAATGAACACCGCTTTAACCGGTGCTAGGGGTGTGAGTGATGCTGTACCCTTTTCATCATATCGTACAAACAGTCTCAATCAAACAATAAAACAACAAGAACAAATTGTAAAAGTAAGTCAGCTGATGTAAAAGTTTAAGTCTGCGTAAGGTTAAATGGTAAGGTCAAGGTCACATAAAAGTGAAAAACAGACAAGACGACTTATATTGCGACAACAGCTGCAGCTTCTAGATGTCAATATTCTGTTTCAAGTCGATTAGAGGGGTGGGTCAGTATTCTACAGGATTCTGAGTAGAGAGGGTGCAATATTTCTTCACAGGATTAAGTATTTAATAGAAAGTTGGTAACATTTTCATATGGTAACATTTTCATATTTACTTAGTTATAACGTCATGTCCGTGCCGTCTGTTCATAGACTGCACTGTATGGTCGATGTCAATTTAATAATACATGTATACTTTTTGAAAGATGAATGGTTTAGTCTAGACAATGTGTATACGGGTGGTGAATTTCCATTGCATAAAGGCAGTAGATATTGTCGCGCGACACTCTTCAAAAGTTGTAAAAATATTGTCTTGTTAAATATAAATTTAGCTAAAAGGGGTAGTAAATCTGCAATGCCGTGCAGTTGTTCCTCTTATCACACAGAATCGCTGTGACAGTTTTGCCAATCTATAAAAAAATATTCAGTTGTTAAAACTATAGAAATATCTGGTAAAAGTTCACATGTATGATCATGTTATATTTGTAATTTTATTGGTATTAAATAGAAATGAATGAGGCATTACAGTATCGCTCTTACACACTATATACTAACAGTCTTATACAAATCTCCTTTACTGTAAGTGAAAAAAGTTAAATTGCCTTGCTACCACCCACCTTCTAGAGCGATTAAAACGCTGTAAAAAGAAAGTAGCATTTTATTCATAATTTTAACCGTAAGAAAACGGCAAAATGACTGCACGACACGGCATCTTTAAAGCTCCATGTCTTCAAAGGAGCCAAATCAACCTTGAGGAAAATGTTCTAACATTTTGATAAAAGTAAAATTATTCAAAATTAAAGAAACAATTTACATGTTAAATGAAATTAATTACTGATTTTGCAATATTGAGCAGAATATTTTCACAGCGTGACTAACAAAGTTTGGGCTATTTTGCATACTCTACCTATTTTGGGCAATTATAAGTGTCGTTTTGCCATGTGTTAATTGCTATTTTCATTCACTTGACAATATTTTACTTATTAATACAGTTTAAGCATTTTCGTGAAAATTAGCAAGAATTTGGATACATGCTGCTTTGAAATGACACCGTCTAAGTATAATTATCTATCAACCGCGCATTGCTTTCAATATACATGTAGATGAATTTGACAAAGTCATGAAACTTGTTACTATGTTTCCAACCATATTTCTATTAGGCACTTACTCATATATTATAGGAAGAAATAATCCAAAGGAAATTTTATCGTCGCCATGCCTTGTTGAATGTTTTCATTGACCATGGAAATACTAAGATATCGGACAAAACTCGGGGTAAAAAGTTATATAACGAGGCCAGCTCTGTCAATACTCACATTTGGGATATTAAGATGATCAGCTAATCATGTACATGTATAGGGACTTGCCAGACTGCATGTGTGTTCAGACTCGGAGGGGTTTAATATATTTGGTCCCAAAAGATCCCCAGTCCCTTTCCCATCCCGGTATATTTTGCCCCGAACTTTTACAAATGATCCTTAGGAAATTTTTTACACTTAAAAATTCCCAACAAAAAACAAAAATTTTAATTGTTATAATTCCAATCTGGTGTATAAATGCTCATGTAAAATGTAATTATTTAAAAACATGTCCTGTTAGTAAAATCGAAATACAAATTTAAAGGATTTTGGTATCCAGTACATTATTTGTACAATACTTAAATTTAGTTTGAATAAATACTTTTGTTTGAAAGTTATAGCCCACGTCGGACAAACGTATATGTCGCGGGGACATATACGGCCGAATAAATCACAAGGCTGTGTTTTATGGGCCTTATTACGTTCCCTGCCAATTTTTGGAAGTAAATGGCCTGGACCTAATATGTCACACCATTTTACATTTTACTTCAGTAAACTTTACAATTATAATTTCGTCGTTTTAACCTACCTTACAATCAAACGTAAATAAACCGATCATCACCACCACCACCAAAACAACAACAAAACATCTTATGTTCATCAAATTTGAGTCAAAAACTGTTGTCTTAAATATTTGTTGGACATTTTATATTTTTATTTTGATAAAAATTTTCGATAATGTATGTCCCCACCCTGAGGGAGAGGGGGATTGAAAACGTTTTACTGTCCCGTGCGCCTGTTGCCGAGTACGTGCGTCTGTCCCGTTCCCGATGCTCCATAAATACTTTAGTTAGGGGTCATGAATTTTGAATTACCAGTATTTGAACTTAAGGGCATGGTCATGGGCACTTGTAAGTTTTATCTTACGCGCCACAAAAACGGTGACTTTGACATGTACTTTTTAACAATGACTTTATTTACCATAAATAAATTAAGTATTTTACGCCGTGACTTAGATATAAGCAAAATCAAAACTTGTGTGTGTTAATCACGAAAAAATGATTTTTGAACACTTTCATAAATAATTTTTCTTCAGGCTGCAAACCAGATGTAATAATTTAAAAGGTCGGTACACACTAGAGGAGATAGTTTATGAATGGGTGTTCTGTTCACTCCACATTTATAACTTGCCCCCCCTAAACTTTGTACTATGCTAAAACCATCATGGTCTATGCATTCGAAATGGACGACTGAACGCGTTGAAGTTCAAACAAACTGTTTGACAGACTTAAACATGCATTCTACGTTTGCTTTTTGCATGGTTGCAGCATTTTTGCCATTCAAGCTCTAGGAAGCTGTGATTCTTTCTTGATGAATCACAAAGTATGGTTGATACAGTGATAAGAGGTAGTGGTGACCTAATGGCTAAGATGTTTGCCTCTCAATTCCAGGATTGTGGGTTCGAGTCAAACTCGGGTCACGACTATGTTTCCTCATTTGATACCAGTACTGGCTTGTTCCAGGAAGCGGACTCTAAAGTGATTAATATAAGTTGAAAGAACGTGTTTCGCAATCGAGCATAAATAAATATGTTGAAACTAATAGCTTGTAGATTTTTACAATATATATTTTAGTGCAAGACCCTTGTTTGAAAAAAGGAGAAAAAAAGAAAAAATATTTTACAATAAACAATCTTATCATAATAATTATGGTATTAAAATATAAAATGTATTTTGCAGATACAATTATTCATAATAAAAGTTGAACACTTTATATTTCAAAAGTAATTTAGTAAAATAGTTCAAATCTCGCACGAGATTCCGAGAAAATCGGGATTCGCTTATATTTGGAAGCTATGTATACTGTAGTGGCGCAAGCCGAGTCTGATATAGGTTTAGAAGCAGTGTAGGATTCAAATTCGCAATAGAATGAGTATTATTCTCAACAATGTATGACTTCTTTATTTCACACCACCATTTTTGACATTTTGACAGAACTTTGTTACTTCAATTACAATAAGGATATGATATAGATTTTGGACTCACAAAAAATTGAAAAACAGGCTATATGGTGCATGATATTGATTTCATATGAATCTTTTGGACTCTATTATTGGCATCGAGGCTTAATTGATAAGATTGGATTCTATTGGAACATCACATGGTGCAAATACTGAAAGTGCATTGGTTATATTTTATATGGTTTGAAATAAAGTGAGATTTACGCCAAATTATCGCTATAAATAAGTATACATAAAGTACCATTATGCGGTTCTGTCAATCTTAGTAAATGAGTGTACTCGAATCTTATTTGAATTCTTCTCTCTTAATTACTGATTAAATAATAATAATAATTATAATAATAATAATAATAATAATAATAATAATAATTTTAACAAAAACAATTATAATTTAGATTTAATCAATTTATTCATTAGTCTTTTAACAGTAACAAAACAATTATAACCGGAGTTCAGCCGTTGCAGCTGAATCTCTAATCTCAAAAATTCTCGCTCGTTATCGTAATCCACGTGATTTCAGTCCAGGTGATCCCTGCAGTTTGTTTAATCTTATTATATGTCTCTTATTTATATGTCTCTTATTTAACGTCCTTCGAAGAATTCCGCAAGTAACATACACATGTACGGATTTTTTGCAAGATAAATTGCATTTGTTTTAAATGGCGAATTGTATACTGATCTCGAACATGACCATATTAATCCTGTATAAGTGCAAGTAGCTTTTCCTTCCCTACAGGAAGTATTCAAATAGTTACACTAAATATTAAGTATTCACAACAAGTAATACTGTCTTATTGGTTCCACCATTTTCTCCCTCGGCGTGACACGTGTAATTGCCCATGTCGTGCACTGAAATCCTATGTTGCTTTATACGGAGCTCAAGAAAGCGCACTGGAAAATTATCATTTTCTTCTTCTTCTAAAACCTTAAAGAAAAGTAAAGTACAATACACTTAAAGCTACATGCTTCAAATCTTTACATAAAAATGTATAAATGAGCCGCGTCACGACAAAACCAACATAATGGGTTTGCGACCAGCATGGATCCAGACCAGCCTGCATATACGCGCAGTCTGATCAAGATCCATTCTGTTCGCTATTGGTTTCTCTACTTGTTATAAAGTTTGTAAGCGAACAGCATGGACCCTGATCAGACTGCATGAATGCGCAGGATGGTCTGGATCCATGCTTGTCGCAAACCCATGATGTTGGTTTTGTCGTGACGAGGCTCAAATATGTAAAATATTCAACATTGCATGTGACGGTCTTCATTTTAATTAAATTTACTATTAAATCGCCGTTGGTCCACACAATTACGTAGAAATAGAATACGTGTTCACTATTTTCACAAATTTCATATTTTTGAAAATAATCTGTGCAATAGGCTAGCTCATATCCATTTTAAGTACTTTTCAATTTTTTTAAAAACAGATAAACAAGGCTGTGCTTATAGGCACATAACGTATAAATTTGCGGGTAAGATATAAAAAGCAAAGAGTTAAAAATTGCAAATCAATTTTATTTATTTTAATGAACTCAATGAGAGTAAAATAAAAACAAAAGACCAAATAACTCTTCCAATAACTCTTATAATATATAACTTCTCTATTCTAATTCAAACTACATATCCAGTCATGTTCTCCGTACGTTGACAACGTCATTCGGACCATACCAGAAAAAAGGACAAACTTTCATTCTGCCGAATCGTATTTGCCGATTAATGGCATCATGAAATAAAGCAACATTAAATTTTGTAAAGGTATGTAAACAATGTACTAATCGCTACTATACCTCATATTTCCAATCTGTTGTAATTCTCTGGCCCTTACTGTTTATCCAAAAAGCCTCTTTCATTGGGGATGCTTGAATAGCACAGCCCATTGTCACCGCTTCACTAGGTGCGACATGTATCACAGACTCCATTACACTTACTTCCGGTAAAACTAAAATTAGTATTACATGAAATTAAAATTGTTCTTGCGGCTGCAATCAAATATTACTTTAACGCAAAATACCACAAAGTGGAGACATTCAAGTGCCTTATATGACATCTGTGTATATTTTGTATCAGAATATATCGTAGGTCAAAATATTAGTTTTTCATAGTATAAATATAAGTAAATAAAAGTGCAAATCTGAGGTTTGAATAGTAAATATTTTTGGGTTAATAGTGGTACAAATATTGGTTAATTAACGTACAAAATATGAATTTATTGGTTTGTCAAAGTACATATATATGAGTTTATCAAAGTACAAATATGGGTTAATTATAGTACATCTATGATTTATCATAGCACAAATATGATTTTATCATAGTACAAATATAATATTATCATAGCACACAAACAATATTATCATTGCACAAATATGATTTCATCATTGCACAAATATGATTTCATCATAGTACACATATAATTTTATCATAGCACACGTGCAATTTTTACATAACACAAATATGAGTTTATCATAGTACAAATATGACTTTATCATAGGACGAATATAATTTTATCATAGCACATGTGCAATTTTATCATAACACAAATATGATTTTATCATAGTACAAATATGACTTTATCATAGTACAAATATAATATTATCATAGCACACAAACAATTTTATCATTGCACAAATATGATTTCATCATTGCACAAATATGATTTCATCATAGTACAAATATAATTTTATCATAGCACACGTGCAATTTTATCATAACACAAATATGATTTTATCATAGTACAAATATGACTTTATCATAGGACGAATATAATTTTATCATAGCACATGTACAATTTTATCATAGCACAAATATGATTTTATCGATATCATAGCACACGTATGATTTTATCATACCACAAATATGATTGAATTATAGTATAAATATGATTTTATCAAAGCACACATATGATTTTGTCATAGTACAAATATGATTCTATCATAGCAAAAAATTTTTTTATTATTGTTTAAATATGAGTGTATCATACATGTAGTACAAATATTGGTTTATCATAGTACACATATAGGTTTATCATAGGACAACTATGGGGTTTATATTAGTATAAATATGGGTTTCTTTTGGGACAAATGGGTTTTATTATAGTAAAAATATGGGTTTCTTTTAGGACAAATGGTGTTTTATTATAGTATAAATATGGGTTACCATAGTACAAAATATGGGTTTACCATAGTACATATATGGGTTTATCATAGTACATATATGGGTTTATCATAGTACATATATGGGTTTATCATAGTACATATATGGGTTTATCATAGTACATATATGAGTTAATAATAGTTCAAGTATGAGTTAGTTTATCATACTAAAATATTTGTCTATACCACAACAAGTATGTTATATAACATATAAAAATATTTCATATAACATATAAAAATAATTTTAAATAAATCATGTTTGTGAAAAGAGGTTAGCATTCAAAAGCCCATTTGGAAATATAAATAAATTAAATGAAAATTTCAGAACTACACAACTGTACATTTTTATTCCTTTTGGTTTTTAAGTATGTTTCACAAGCAGGTTTTTTAGTATGTTTCACAAGCAGGTTTTTAGTATGTTTCACAAGCAATGATTCAACTGCAAGTTCTACTGACAACAAAACATATTGATTTGAAATATGTTGAACACTTTCACTTCTGTGAGAAAGATTCAAAGTTTTAATTTTATTTCTTTGTATAATAATAATGCTTTTTAATTCTTATTTTGTACCTTGAGTGATAACAGAGTAAAATCAAACTTGTGCTAACAAAGAGAAAAACAAAACTTGTACATATAATAAAGGAAATAATTCAAACTTCAGCTAAAAGAGAAAACTCAAACATTTCTTTAAAGAGATATTAAAAGAGATAATTCAAACTTACACTGAACAGTGAGTTGTATAGATTTTTCCTTGAATCCGTGATCGTTTGTTGCTTTACAAGTGTAATTATCACTGGCATATCTTGGAACGTTCCGAATTATCAACTTAGGTCCCTTGATACCTTCAATAACTGTCAATATAGAACACAATATATTTGATAAAATTTACTGACCAGTACATGCAACATATAAAATCAACATTTTCTCTTCAATTAATGTTGTAAAGTCTAAATGGTCAGATAAAAGCAACAATATTAATAATGTCTTTTGTAGTTAGTGGAACATTTAACGAGTTTATTATTATTATCAATGGTCATATATCTGCGTTTTCCAATGGGTAATAGATGGTTCATTGTTCTAAATTTACTTAAATTTTGCCTGTGTCAAATGGAAGTACATTTAAATATTTTCCAAAACAATGACTATATTTTTATGTACGATAAACTAAGCACTTAGAAGATGTATCAATAGAACTATGCTATTTTTGTAAATATTTTGATAATGTAGTCTAAGCTTCACAATACGTTTAAAGTGATTAATATCATTACTTTCTGTTGTTAAAAATATTCTGACATTAAAGCTTTTACAAATATTATCCGCTATTTTAACTTACATTTTCTGTGTCGAACCTCGATGCCATACTATATCCGGTTCCCGGTAAACCCAGAAAAAAATACATTTTAATCAACTAATGAATGTTCACGGATAATAACATGAGCTGGCGACGATTGATCCTCTTCTATTGTCGGTGTGTCTGTAAAGTTAATAAAACTTGAGTTTACCCACACTTTGTTCTTTTTCATACGTTTACATACAGTAATGATTTTTTTCTTTTGATTAACTAAAAAAAACTTAATTAGTGTCTAAAATAGAGCTAGTTAAGTTATAGAAATGAAACGGGGCGTCCGTGGCCGAGTGCTTTAAGGTCGTTGACTACAAACCACTTGTCTCACAACGTACTGGGTTTCAATACAACTTGAATTTCTTTTTAATTAAAACATGGACGTTGAACATATGTTACTCGTTATTTACACGATAGAAGAACATATAATTATGTTGTTTAATACTTAAAATATTTAAGTTTCCAATTTGCTACGCTGAAAAATAAATGAAAATTCAACCTAAATCAAAATCTGAAACAAGTAAGAACAGTTTAGATGTAAGTGAAACTTTCGAAATAATCTTTATAACTAAAATACAACAAAACTGTGAAGGTAAATGTTAAAACTTATACATTATGTATATATTTCAAGCGAACCTGAAGTGTCTTATTTTTCATGTGCTGTTACTAGATCTATAGTACAGCATATATACATGTATAGGATTGTGACATTAGATATCTTAAAGACGGTTTACATAGAAACTAAGTGGTCGTTTTATTATAAGGGTGTGAAAAAAAAACCCATAAAAACAGTCGAACATCTTGGTTATTACCAAAATAACTTATCCAAGAGCAGAGATTTGTGATTGAAAAAGGACGTAATAAATTACATACTCGCAGATACAAAGGTAAGTGATGTGATAAATAGAATTATCATGCACGATTTTCACGTACGTTCTAGGGCAACTGTGACCTCTGACAAAATGGTCCCCATTCGTTGTTCTGCACTTGTAAGTATCCGCAAATCGTCTGGTCAGTTTCAGTATATTAAGTTCAAACTCGCCAAAAAGCCAGGTTTTCTACCTTCATTTGTTTATTGTACCTCACATTTTGTATCCACGCGAAAGCATTTCGTGTCTACCATTAAAACCATCGTACCTTAAATATGTTTTTATATCGGTAAGTCATCTGGAGACGAAAGGCTTCTTTTCTTTTCAGAAATATATTTAACAACATATATAATATATATTTTAATCATATAATTTGAATGTACATATTTTGCTATAGACCTTTTTACAATACGATTTTCCATAGCAACGAATGTTGCATTTCGCGCATGCGCATTCTGCGTAGGGCAAAACGCAATAACGGTGTCTACAGTCTATCATTCTTTAAGGCTTTAATAAATGCAATTTCATGTTATGTCACCCAAAAACATTAATTTGGGGATGACTAAAGGCGGTAAGTACTGAAAACGTGAATTTATTTTTAAACAGATCTACGAAAATGTGCGGGAGTAATAATTCAATGGTCAAAAAGGGCACACACATGTCGTTTGTTTAAGGTATCATTAGACGACTTTTTCGTCAGTAATTTAAATTGAAACAGCAGGGTGTTATAGATAAAACTTTATTACCCTTGTATTACATAATTTTACCCCTGTATTACATAATATTACACAATTTGTATTGTACACTTCCTTAGAATAACTGGATTGGTCAGGCGGCAAGTGTCAAACAGATTGGCACGCGAACGGTTGTTCATTCAACCAGGACTTTTAAATACCATGATATAGTTAATCAGTTACGCTTATTAAAATGATAAATTATGTAACTTTTGAATATACCTATCAATGTTTATGGATTTTGAGAAGGGAAAAATTGTGTGACATGCATTATTAAAAATATCATGTATTACGAAGAAGCGGATAAAATGTGTGTTATATCTCTTGCAAACAACCCATCTTAATTCTCTAGATTTGAGAGAAAAAAATAATTATTTAAAATCTATTTATGTGACTTAATTTTTTTCTGTTTGCATCACAGGCAAGTCGGATAAAGGATAATATAATCAGGTATATTGAACATTATCACTTGTTCTGGTAATTTTCAGAATTAAAATTAATCTCGATTTCATGTTTTAAAATTTCTTTTGTTTTTATATGAACTATTTTCACAGCAAATAAGTTGACTTTTCATTTGCTAATAGATACATTTCCACATCTTCTTTAAAAAAAAATGATCTCAGTGTCAGTCCGTGATCGTAAATTCTTAACCAAGTATCTTTTCCATGCCTTTTTATGACATTCTTCGCCACAAAGCTATAAGTCATCTTTTCTATATTTTGTTAAAAGCTATTTCATATAATTTTCTACCGTATACCCTTGAAACTAACTCGATATCGTCTATGAACTTCTACTATATTTCTATGTAGGGCGAAGCATTTTCTGCCCTACGCAGATTGCGCATGCGCGAGAAAATTCTAATTCCGGTCGATTTTTCATAGCAACGGACCGCGTCGTTAAAAGGTCTATATTTACTGCATGGATAACATACATTAATTTGAACCAAATGTAAGAAAATGGTCTTAAAATTTTCTTTTTAAGTTTATTATGCTATACCCAAGTAACCAGTAATGACCAAGATTTGTCGACACTTCCGTGCCGTCTGTTCATGGTCTGCACTTTTTGCTATTAAATCAGTTTATATTTTTAATTATTCTCTAAAAATGGAAAATTCAAAGATGGGCAAGTCCAATTAAAATATTCAGCTTGAAAAGGAGTAATACAAATGAATCGCTCTTTAAACACAGATATTTTTTCAATTATGACTGCAATTACGATATTAAGTAAATTAAGTTATTGTTTCTATAACAGACAAAGGAAAGATTTTACTACCTATAATCTATTGAAGAGTGTTAATATGCCAATTAACGCTTTTTTAAAAATTGCATCAATTTGTCTCATGATACTGATGGGGACAATCAACTCTAAAATTGAAACTGACGACGTCATTCATAAAGGAAAATGATAATATTAATAACCATTCACCATCACTATCATGACCATTGCCAATCACCATCACCACCACCACCACCATCATCATCATCATCATCATCATTAATTCAATATAATATGTGAAGAATTTTAAGAGATGATTTAAATTTATTGTTTAATAAAAATAATAAAGAATGTGAAACACACAAAATAAAGTGGGCCAGGTTTCAGTAAATTTATTTAAGACCTACGTTTCGGCTTTTCAAATAGCCTTCATCAGGGTTAATTTGTTGTTGTACGCAGAAATGATAGAAACGCTGAAAACAGAACATGAAATACATTGACTTACTTCCACATTACTATTTGGGTACGACGGGGTCAGTCTGCACGGTAGTTTGCACGAGAAATCAAGCACACAAGACTTTGTAATTCCCTTGGACATATCACTAAGTATCACTTCCGTACAAACTACAAATTATAGAGAAAAAAGAATGCAAAAATAGGAATGAGTTCGAAGAAAAATAACTTAGTAACTTAACTAATTTAGTATTATAAATAATCATATTAGATTAGATTTCTCGGTCATTTTGGAGACACAATCAAACTGAAATGTTAAGTACAGTAATTCCAGACATCACACACCAATAGTTTTCCCAGATATAACAAAAGACTAATAGATTTTTTCGAATTATATAGTTTTTCCCAGATATCACAGAACTCTTGAATTGTTCTAGCATTTGAATTTTTCCAGATATCACATAACACTCATATTGTTCTTCAACTCAAGTTTTCCAAGCCATCACAAAACACCCAGTTTCTTCAAGGTGTATAGTTTTTCCATATATCACAAAAGTCTTGAATTGATAATAGCATTTATAGTTTTCCTATATCATTACGTTATACACTAACTTTTCTTGAAGTATGGTATTCCGAAATACATCACATAACACTCGTAGATTTGTTAAGTTCAGTTTTCCCATATTCTTAAATTGTTCTAATTTTATAGTTTTTTCAAGACACCTCTTTACACTCTTCATTTATTTCTAAATCACACAACACTCTAGAAATAGGCCTAGAAGTATTCCAGATATCACATAATACTTTAAAAATTTTTTTTTTTTTTTTTTTTTTTTTTTTTTTTTTTTTTTTTTTTTTTGGAACCACGTTTAAGGCCCGTTTATTTAAGAAAAAAATAATACAATACAAGTAAACAAACCATGATAACTTTAGCATTTTCATTGACATGTAGATAATTAAAGAAAAAAAAATTATTTTGTTATGTTTTTAGTTAGAATATATAAGACATTTTAAAAAGTTAAGAGGTTCATTCATTTATCCAATTACACAAGAAAAGGGGCAAAAGGTTGAAAAGTAAATAAAAAGTAAAAAGTAAATAAACTGCTTTAGTAGCATTTTTTTCTTCATGTACTATTTAGAAATCAAACAATTCAATTAGATTTATCCAGCAATTTTCAAATTCTTCTAGTGTATCATTTTGTAACGCAACAAATCTTTCAATTTTTAATCTGTTTAAAAATTTTCTTTTGAAGATACTTATATCTGGAGTTTGTTTTTTTAATTTACTGGTGTAAATGTAATATTTTGAAAAGAGAAAAATATACGATGTTTTCTTATCTTTAGCATGAAAGAAAGATCGTGAA